TTTTGACTATTTAGTTGTTTTTTTTTAAATTTAGTTTCTAAATGCCATTATTCAAATAACTGAGCCTCAGCAGTTCTTGGCTGTTCAGTGTGTGTTTTGGTCGTGGTGGGGAAGTTGGGACATATTTCCTCTTGGTGACATTCCTGAGCCCGAAAGCTGTGTGTGTGTGTGTGTGTGTGTGTGTGTGTGTGTGTATGTGTGTTGTGTTGTGTTGGGAGAGTCCAGAGCAATGTGAAGCACATTGTATTGTACTGCTGGTGTGTGAGGTCAGCACTTTCCTTCCCCCATGTCAGTCAGTCATTCCCCCCAGCACAGCACAACACACCACCCACCCACACTTCGCCGCTAACAGGACGAGTCCGCAGCGGAAACCGGAGGTCACCTAATCCCTCGGTGACTCCCCGACCCGTTGGCTCAGGGCTTTCCATTGTCGAGCGCCCTCGCTCAGCCACTTTCCATTTTGTTGTCCTGCCTGATAAGTCATTTTGTTTATTGGTGCATTTGGTCCCATTTTGGCCCCTTCCCCTAACCAGGAAGCAGACGGTTGTCGGCATCCAGCGTGTGACATGTTGGCCCAGTGTAGTGTAGTAAAGTGGTGTTGTGTTTGCCACCTGGCTGTCTGGATTTGACCAGCAACATGGAGAAATGTAGCCAAATGACTATGACTGCAGTCCAACTGAGGCCTCTGAAAGCTGCGACTTTCATGTAGATGAGGATTGGTTTCCTCAAAGTATGTGCTTTACTATAGAGCATTTTGAGTATGTTTGGTGCCTTCTTGACTCCACTTTTCACTCCCTGTATCCCTCCTCCTGTCGGTGCGCTTGAGTAGACAGAGGGAGCGAGAGGAGAAAGGGGCTCAGGGAATTTATTGTGTTTGTTAACAACCTCAGATGAAAGCCTGAGAGCAATTGTAAAACAGATGTAATGCCCTTACAGCTGCTCCATTGGTCAGCTAATCCTTTTGACTAATGGCCTACCCCCTCCCACACGCACACACTTCCATCAGCCCCTACACCTTTACCGCCCCCTGCTCCCCCCTCCCCTCCTCTACCTCAGTGACCCCTGGCTCATGTTACCGGCTCACCTCCCCCATCATAGACCCTCATTGTTCCAACCACCGACTCCCCCAAAATGCTAATGACACGTTGTCACTCTGCATGCAAACAAAATGACATGACATATTGCAATTAAGGGTCTGACCAACTCAGGAATGAAAATAAGGGGGGGGGAGTAGATGAGAGTACAGACAAAGCGGGGACTGACTCGCCTCCAGATGTATTTGGGGAGCTGCCCTGATAAAGATCTGACATTATATTTATTTTGTTATGGATTTATTTTTCCAAGATGTTTTTTGTTCACTGGCCATACTTCTGAATTTAACCTCCCTCCTCATAAGACAAGCCACTGTCTTCTGCTGCAGCTCTTTTGCCCTCCTCCTCCTCCTCCCCCTCCTCCTCCTCCTCCTCCGCTGTGAGCATGTGTTTGTTTTACTTGGCCACTGACTCCCTGTAAGCCATACACAGTTTAACTCACAACTACCCTGAAGCAGACATGACCCTTCTTCCTTTTAAAAGCCCAGCGCCGGACTCGATTGTGGGGGGTGGGGGGTTTCGGGGGGGCCCTGCCACTTACTCCTCCAGTCCAGAGGGCGATTTCTGTTGTCAAGCCACCATGTTACCCCATTCAACCATCTATCCGACCATGCATTCATCACTGTCGCCATCTCATCCATCTTAACTTCTGCCGACAAACCCCGGGGGGCCCTTTGGGGCTCCCACTCCAGAGCCACTCGGGCTCCCAGAATGTAACAGGCCCTTGCACTCACTCTCAATAAACAAACACAGAGCCACTCAGTGCACACGGGGCCTCTCAAATGACAAACAGTTCCTTGCTCTGTAGCAATAGGGAGGGGAAAAGGGCCAGTCTAAGTTTGTCAGATGTTTCAACTCAGATGAGGCTGAGAGACTTTTGTTTATGAGAGCGAAAGCATTCATCTCAGGAGCCCCCCAACTTGAGTAGCTATCTTTTTTTTGGTCATTTTGCTTGACAAGACACATATAGAGAGACAGGAAAGGCAGGGAGAGAGAGGGGATGACATGCAGCAGGGAGTCTTGGGCCGGACTGTGCTAAGGACTTCGCACTACCTGGTGAGCTACCAGGGTGCCCAACCCGCTTCGGATCAGTGCCCATGTTCATGTTGGGTCAACACATTTTGGCTTCCTTTACAGTTATTATTCTGTCTCTGGACTCTGGTAGTCTCAGTGCTGGTTCTCCATTTGGTCACGCTCCCCTGTGTTTCCATGCTTTGATTGGCTGCTTTAGGAAGGAAGACTGCATCAGCCTCACACTTCCTGCTTCCTGTTGTGTCCAGCAACAATCCGAAGCCCCCCCCTCCACCTTCTTCATGGAACCAAGAGGTTTCCTTTCACCGGACTTTGTTCTTTTGTCGAGGAATCCTCTTGTAAATACCTCAGCAGAAAGTCATCTAGTTTAATTTACTGTCACTGTGACTCATATGTTCAAGATACACAAACTCCTTCACCTTTGTATTGGAGAACTGATGCTGAAACTGAAGCTGCAGTGAAGGCACTCTGCTACAGGCCTCCTGTTGGGTGGTGTGCACTGGAATGCATCTTGATTATAGAGGCGGCTCACAGTGTAAGGCCATCATCCCCACAGACCTGACCACGATGCATTGCAGCCCTGCACTGTTTCGCCAAAAAGAGGCTAGTCCTCCTCTATTCAGTTGCCATGTGGCATTTCGGCTATTCCCATCTGCAGTGCTTGTGTGTGTATGTTTTTTCTTTCAGCACTTGAATGGCATGGCATTCTCCTTGCCTGCTGGTCAGTGGTGAATAGCAATGTTAATGGGTTAGCTGGGAGCCTTTAGTGAGGACTGGGAGGAGAGAAAGGAGGAAAGGAAGGAATTTGGGGATTACGAGGAGGAGAGGTAGGGGTATGAATTGGGGTTTGAGGCAGCAGCTGTTCCCCCTTCTCAATGGAAGAGTTCGCCCAGGCCTGTCTCTTTTCTTTCTCCCCTCTTTTCTTCAGTCCTCAGCAGGATACAGTATTCCCCTCTTTCTTTCTTGAACCTTCTGTTCCTTCGTAGCACTCGTCTGCCTCGCCCAATCTCTGCCTTGCTCGTGTTAATGAGTAGCGGTGGCTGTTAGTGAAACAGCTGGCCAAGACAGAGAGGAGATGCTGTCTTGAGGGGAAGGTTGAGTAACATGTAAGCCTATTGGACAAACTTACACATTCTTCCCATGCTGAGTATGTTTATTTCCACAATTGTTGTCAGATAATACACACCTCTTCACAGCAGCTCTGCCGCAACTTGGTGAACCACGATAGAAAAAGCTGAATGCAGTCGAAGAGAAACTCATGGTCAATCGAGTAAATCCCCTTGATATAACTTAAGTGGAGTGGGAGCCGTGTGCTTTCCGTCTTGTGTGTGGTCACTTGTGGCTTCCAAATGAACTTCATTCAAGTGAACCACAGTGAAAGGCAGCCATAGACCGAGACAGTATCTCTGAGTGAATCTGATATTGTCTTTGTCCTTGGCTCTGCTTTTCTGTCAGATTCTGACATTGAAACTGTGTGTTCGCCATAGATTTTTCATTGCTTTGCTACGGTCCCTGGCATGAACTTCAATCTCTCGCACATGCTTCATTTCAATTGGCTATCATCTCTTCTTTCTACATTGTCTGATCTCTCTCTTGCCATACTTGTCCTCATTTCCATTCTTTTTTTCTGTTCTCCCTTGCGCCTGTCTCTTCTGTTGTCCTTTGGCCTACATGTTGACTCTCATTTGCATTGTCGACATCTTATGGCATCTGACATGAGCTATTTAAACGCTCCAGGCAGACAGCTTGGAAAGAAGGAAGGAAACGTGTGTGTATCCATATGTGTGCATATATATGTGTGATGTACTAACATATAAGTGTGTGTGTGTTGCTGAATTGACTTGGCAGAAGGACATGAACAGGTGACAGGCAGCGAACATAAATCCCTTTTCTTATGTCAGATTTACCCATGTGTCCACTGGTGTGCTTTGCATACATGTACGTGTATTTTGTGCATACATATGGGTGTGGGTGCATGTGTGCAGTGCATACATGAACGTGTGTGTGTGTGTGTGTGTGTGTGTGTGTGTGTGTGTGTGTGTGTGGATGAATGTGTGATTGTGTGAGGACATGAGCAGCAGCCGTTGGAATGCTCTTGCAGAGTTAAAGGTGGGGGGGGGGGACGTCTCTTTTTCACTCTCCTTTATGGCGCGCTCTCTCCAAAATTTCACACCATATTAAGTTCATATTTCACCACTGCTACGCACAGCTGGATCCTCTACCTGTATTTCTTTATTTCGAGTTGGATGTGTGAAATTAGGTGTCATCTTATCTAGGCGATACAGTTTCACAAGTCTACATGTGGGTGCCCAGAAATAATATAATAGACTATTGAGTGCAAACGGTTGCTCTGCGTTGGGCTGCTTCACTTCTTTTTCTTTGTGCTTTCCTGATTTTTGTTGCCTTTATTTCTGACTGACTTACTGTCGTGGAATGTGGGATGACTGGTTGTGTTTGTTGAGAGAGAGACGGTAAGGAGAGCGGCATCAGAGGGGGGTTGGTGGTTGAAACAGTAATGAGTAGGAGTGCCTGCTAGGTTGGAAGTCTGCGTTTTTGTTTCAGGGTTGGGCTCATGTGAGCAGTGTCTTAGTTGAAATGGACAGTGTTTTAATGAGAAGAGTCCACACTATACAGAGCTTTGCCTCTGTTTCCCCTTCCATATCTCTTGTTCAAATCTGACCTTTAGCCTTGGCATAATAAAGTGACCTCTCAACATTTCTGTGATGCACGCACTGGGAAAAGTTCACATCATTACTGATCTTTCAAAGTGGCTTGAATGATCTGGAGGAACTGGCTGTGCACGTGTCATATGGGATGCTGCCTGAAGTCATTGTTGTCTTTGTTCACCTGCTCATGCAATTTTTTTTGTCTTTGCAGAATGTCAGGCTGGCTTCTTCAAGGCAGCCGCATCTGGTGACAAGTGTGAGCCGTGTCCTGCCAACACCCAGAAGCTGAACTCTGGGGCTTTGGTTTGTCCCTGCATGGATGGCTTCTACCGTGCCCCTACTGACCCCCCCACTGGACCCTGCTCAGGTAACAAGTCCCCTTGATCTCTATTCAGAAATTTGGAAATAATAGCTATCAGTAAGCTACCAAGTAATGGCATTTACATTCAATATTATTTTCTTGTTGCACTCCTGCATTAGTGTGTTGTTTAAAGCACCATTGTTACTGATTTCCTGTGGTTTTCTTCTTCCCTGTTTCTATCTAACATCCCATATCCTTTCGCAATCTGTGTTCATCAGGCCTTCCCTCTGCTCCACGAGACCTCGTGGCCACCACCACCCAGCTCTCCACAGGAAAACTCCTCCTCTCCTGGCAACCGCCTGAAGACACCGGAGGCCGGAGCGACATCACCTACAGCATTGAATGCCAGCGCTGCGAGGGAGTTGTGTGTCAGTCCTGCGGAGAGAAAATCCGCTATGAGCCGGCCAGCACAGGCCTGACAGACACCAAGGTTTCAGTGAGTGAGTTGGACGCTCACCTCAACTACACCTTCACTGTGGAGGCACACAGCGGCGTGTCGCTGTTTGCCAGTCAGGCAACACCGCGGGCTAATAAACCACCATCCACCAGCGTTTTGACTACATCTCTACTCTACACAGGTGAGAGCTGCTGATATGAGGCGGTGGAGTGATGCCATCTGTGTTTCAGTAATGACAGATGCTATCTGTGAGGCAGTGACAGCTCTGCAGGTTGAATTGTGCTGCAGGAGTGAGAAGAACTCTTAGATCATAAGTAGAATGTGCAGCCATATTTTTCATATTTTTTAAGATTTTCACATCCCAAAGATTCGTAATATTCTCTACCCTCTGTCCTCAGATCCCCCAAAGATTACCTCAATGCGACTGGTTGAGAGGACCTCTACAAGCTTGTCCCTTTCCTGGGATGTATTCCCCCGACCACGGGTCCAATCCCGGCCCATCCGCTATGAACTCACCTACCGCAAGAAGGTGCGTCGTATTTATGTATTATTCTATTATTATTATTATTATTTTAAAATGATTGTTGAAGATTTGAATAAGCTCAGAGCTCCTGCTTTGACCATCATCATGAGTTAAACATACAAAAACCTCAAGGAGGCAGACATCACAGTACTGGCCATGTTACAGGAAAGAGCACATGCCACCAGTAAATGCCTTAATTCATCCCACTAACACAAATGCTGAATTGAATCTGTGGCTTCCACCTTCAACAGTAACACTGATTCTTCTTACTGAATTTCTCCGTCTCTCAGGATGATAACCTTGATGTGACTACCTACATCGTGCTCATACTCGAGAAAAATTTCGTACAGATCAGCAAACTGGCCCCTGGCACAGCCTACCTGTTCAGGGTGCAGGCCCTCAGCAGCGATGGCACCCCTGGAGGCTCCAGCATGGAGGAACAGTTTGAGACCTCGCTTGAAGGTACAGAGGAGGACCACCGTGGAAAAAGTTTCACATGCTTTGTTTAAGAATTGGATTTCTCTGATGTGCGTCCATGTTTTCTTTACTTGCCTTGTCCAGAACGCCTCACTCAAAACAACACAGCAGTCATCTCCTGCGCAGCGGTCGGAGGAGCAGCCATGTTGTTCATAGTGGTCATGGTCCTGTTCCTACGCAGACGGTCAGTAACAGACCCCACTCTGCTGCTCTCCCTGTCTTTCTGTCCTTTTAATCAGTCAGAATGCACCCTCCTTCACTGGCTTCCTCTCTCATTCTTCTACCCTTCCTTTGTAGGGCCTCCAAATGGCCTTTGCATTTACTCTCTCCTCACCTCTCTTTCTCTCTTACTTTAGCCGACTTTCTCTTTCTCTTTATCAGGATCTGTGTCCCAGCACTCACTAGGGAAGAATCTGCGTTCAATGCGCCTTGTCATTGCTCAATGGTTATATTCTAGTGAGTGTTGGGGCCTTTCAGAGGAAATTGGTCCGGGGTGGTGCATTGTTGGTGATAAGAGGCGCTTAGTTCTTTCTTTACCAGACCGCAGGCACTTTGTAAAGGTGACCTAGGGCTGTACTGTAGCAGACTGCAGCCCGTCTGTCCACCTCCCTCCCGCCTGCTTGTCTGTCTTTCAGTCTTTAAATCGGCTTGGCAAACACAGTCTATCGTTAGCCTTTATCAAAAGGCCGCTTCTGTATGAATGGACGTATTGCACTAGTGTCGGTATCCTTTGAAAGCTTTAGAACATCTCATAAATTGGTTACAAAGGTTGCTATGTGCTCTTGATATTAAAGCAGGGAAATGATATAAAGACAAAACTGCATTTGTTCTTTGAAAGTGGGATATTAATTTGCAGACGGGTTTTATCATTATATACAGGAAAAGGAACTCTCACACCAGGCAAGGACCGGAGGACACCTACTTCTCCAGCTCAGGTATACAAAAAAAATCTCTCTCAATTCTTTTTGAATTTATTTCATGTTATTAAATAAATTTTATGTATTTGTTAACATGCAAAAATTTCCTTTTTTTCTAACAGAGCAATTGAAGCCTCTGAAGACATACGTGGATCCGCATACATACGAGGACCCCAACACGGCAGTCCTGAAGTTTGCCACTGAAATCCACCCCAGTCACATAACCAAACAGAAAGTCATTGGTGCTGGTGAGTGACAGCCCTGCTGAGACAATCTACGGAGGGGCTTAACTCTGAGATGTTGAAAGATTTTTAAATCCCAAAATTCGCTGTTTATATTGTGCATTTTCCACAGCTTAACAGGCTGATTGACAGTGGTTACTTTAGCGAGATTAACATCTATCTGGCTGAGTTCTCATACAACAAGTTGAGACACTTTGTTGTGTGGCAACTCTTGGCTGTGGGATCTGTGTGTTTTGGCTCCAGTTGACATGAACAATTACACAAAGAAAGTGTTGCAGAACAGTATTTTGGAAGGATATCAGAGCACCTTCCCGGGCCCTTCCCAGATCGTTCATACATGATACGTTTATTCAAGTGCGACCACCTTTACCCTCTGAACCGACAGCCTTTTTTCAACATACACCCCATCCCCTGTTCCCACGACTGTGTGCCCCCCCCCCATTTCTCCTCATGTGACAGCTGATTCCCAAGCTTCCACACCACAGGCCATCCACCAGTTATACAACATCGGCTCTCTCTCAACACCCAGCCAGAACACACCTCTGTGAGAGAGCCTCAGGCAAAACAGCCGCAGAGACTTCCTTATTTTCACTCTGTAGCACAGCAAACCCCCTGCAGCTAGAAACCTGAGAAAACAGAAAATGTATCAAACTTCTGATATCCCTTTTCTAAATTAATTTCCCCTATTGATGTTGTTTTCTTGCAGGGGAGTTTGGTGAGGTGTACCGTGGTATTCTGAAGGTGCCAGGGAGGAAAGAGGTGGCGGTGGCTATCAAGACGCTGAAGCCAGGCTACTCAGAGAAACAGAGGCAGGATTTTCTGAGTGAGGCATCCATCATGGGCCAGTTCTCCCACCAGAACATCATTCGCCTGGAGGGGGTGGTCACCAAATGTAAGGACTTCTGTGAGTTTTGTTTCTTTTTTTAAAAAACTTTTCTCACTATTGTTTTGCATGTTTTGGGCCAGTTCCGGCAATGATTTGTTCTTTTTTGTGTGTGTGCAGTCAAACATGCCATGATCGTGACTGAATACATGGAGAATGGAGCACTGGACAGATACCTCAGGGTAAGGCTACCACATATTGTACACATATCGTTTTGCAGGTGTAAATGTCTCTACTACAACTGTTGCCACAGGGACGATACACATTATTTGCAAACTGGTCTAACTTTAATATCTATATCTATTTCTGGGTCAGGATATCTGTGGTTTGTTTTGGTCACAACACTAAAGTTTATCTGCACTCATATTCTCCCATCAGGACCACGATGGCGAGTTTGCCTCCTTCCAGCTGGTGGGCATGCTGCGTGGCATCGCTGCAGGCATGAAGTACCTCTCTGACATGAGCTACGTCCACCGTGACCTGGCTGCCCGCAACATCCTTGTCAACAACACCCTGGAGTGTAAAGTGTCAGACTTCGGCCTGTCCCGGGTGCTGGAGGATGATCCTGAGGGGACTTACACCACAAGCGTGAGTGTAGCAGGGGTGTGCTTGAGGCACAACGTTGGTTTTAAGATGATTGAGTCCTTTTTTTGTTCCTCTATCTCTAACTTTTTTTTCTCCTAAACAGGGAGGTAAGATCCCCATTCGCTGGACAGCTCCAGAGGCTATTGCATACAGGAAGTTCACCTCAGCTAGCGATGTGTGGAGCTTTGGCATCGTCATGTGGGAGGTCATGGCCTTTGGTGAAAGGCCTTACTGGGACATGAGTAATCATGAGGTAAGTGTCAGTCATTCATTCATTCAATCAACAGATTGTACTTTTCTTTAAGGTTTTGCTGTTAGAGCCAGTAAGAGAAAATTAGTCACCTGACTAATTCATCTTGCAGGTGATGAAGGCTATCAACGAGGCTTTTAGGCTGCCAGCCCCGATGGACTGTCCCTCAGCTGTTTACCAGCTGATGCTGCAGTGCTGGCTCCAGGATCGTTCCAAGAGGCCACGCTTTGGAGACATCGTAAACCTGCTGGACAAGCTGCTGCGGAGCCCGGACTCCCTCAAGACCATCGCAGACTTTGACCCACGGTAAGATTTATTTACATACCAGACTAAGGGCTTGAAATGCATATTTTTCCAGTGCTGACCCTTCAGTAGCTGCCACTATCAGAAACCAGTTCTTGGAATCAACGCTGTAATCAAAACATCTGTGATACTTCTACTACAAATTACATATTTAATCTCATTTCTGCTAAGTCATTTTGCAATCTTTCAGTTTCCCTTTTACGTTCCCTATCTGCTTTTGTTACATAAAACCCTGATAATAATCAGCACCATAGTCATATGGTCTCAGCAGAACTTTTCTTCATTTTAGAATTTGCCTAGAAAGAAACAACAGTAGGGAACACATTCTGTCACAAAAATGAAGACTTAAGACTTGACTGCCTGTGAGACCTGACTGACTTAAAGGTCCTGTGTGTAGCATTTAGGAGGATCTATTGTCAGAAATGGAAAATAATATTCCTGTAGCAATAAAAACTTAATAAGACAGTGTCAGAAGGCCTTGTCTAACCACAATATTGAATATTTAATTAGGCCTGTGCATTGAAGGGACTTGGTCTAGGCTTTGTAAATACACTATTAACAATTCTGACAGCAAAATGTCATTTTAAAGGTCAGCATCCACAGACCTGTTTATTTATGAAGATTTGTGACATACCCTTAGTAAACTGAGGTTTGCCTTTAAACTTACTTTGACATACTTGTTTTTTCGCCTTCTTGAAGGTCCAGTGTGAAGGATCTACTGGCAGAAATGGAATATCATTTTCATAGTTTGTTTTCATTAGTGTATAATCACCAGGAGGGTGAAGCAAGTTTACTGAATCCTATACAGTGGTCCTTTAAGAGAGTTGACAGTAGAGATAGAGACAATAAACAAGGGGACAGAGGAATGAGCATGACATGCAGGCTGGAATAAAATCAGGGACATTGTTGTAATCTGGTATCGTCTCTTTCAGACCCCATTTGACTTTTAACTTCACTTAGATGTTTTTTGATTGACTTGAAACTTGGCTTGGACTTGTCCTGGTTAACTTGAGGCTTGACTTGGATTTGTTTCGACTTTTTTCAGACTTGACCTGGACCTGCTCCAACACACTTACAAACAGCTCTGGCACCAGCTCCCCTTTTTGCCTTTAGTTGAAAAGGGGCTGTGTGATTCGGGTAGTTTGGGGAAGAAAGGGCAATGGCTTTAAGATGTTCTACTTAAACCATTAAAGATACATACTGACACCTTGCCTTCCAGGCTAATGAAAGAAACGTGCGTACAGGGGATTACTAAAGCTCTGTTGTATGTGATTGTGTGCATGAATGCATATTTTCCCTTTTGTGAGAGAGCATTAAAGCCAAAAAAACTGTCATGCTCATATCTTAATCGGCTCTCGCCCTAACTGCTCCAACTGGTTTTTATCACCATCTGGTTTCCTGCACAGTAATTAAAGCCCTCAGTCATCCACCTTTGTTGTGGGAGAGCCTGTTGATTGTTATCATTTAGATATTTTCTTTGCTCGCAGCGTATCCATCCGCCTGCCCAGCACCAGTGGTTCGGACGGATCCCCCTTCAGGTCGGTGTCCGAGTGGCTGGAGTCCATTAAGATGAGTCAGTACAGTGAGAACTTCACCTGCGCTGGGGTCGTCACTATGGACCAGGTCCTGCAGATGAAGAACGAGTAAGTGGGACATAATTTCAGATTTGGTGACACCACATAATAAGTTCAGATCTATTGATTTTATTGACTTGTTAAGTATGTTTCTGGCAAAGAAGAGGAACATTATGTTGTCAAATTATGCCATGAATTAAAACCAACACATTGTACCACATGAAGTCTGTTATGAACTTCCCCCTAGTAGTTTATGTATTTGTTTTCCTAAAATGTTACTTTTAACAGCCAGCAAAATAGTTTGCGCACAATATAATCTCCAACCTCAGTTACAACTCGAGAAATGTTTGAGATGGAAAAAGTAATGGGGGGAAGGAGAAGGAGTGGGCTCATTTGTGGTAAGCTGGTGGTGGTGGCTTGTGGTCAGTGCAGTCCTTATTCTTCTTTCCTCTCCCCATTCCTTTTCTCATCCCTCCCTTCACCCACACACCCTGGGCAGCACTTTTGCTAGAGCCCCCAAAAACCACCAGTTTTGCCTGTTAAGGGCAAAGGCCTTTTGTGGCTTCTTCAACATTAAAGGAGGAGAGAATAGTCTATGGAGCAGGAGCAACTAGAGAAGATTAAGGAACTGAAATAGATGGATGAGATTTGAAGCCCCATTGTCGGCACATTGGTACTTCTAGAAAGGTTGAGGAGGTGTGCTCAGAATGTACCCCCTGAACTTATCACAGGGTAGCTTAAGGCAATTGGATCTTCTCAGATGAGTAGAAGCGCTAAGGGGGCAATATAATGAAATTGACTCTCCTTTTGGGAAAAAAAGATTAGTGAAGCACGTAATATAAGGTTGTTTTGGGGCAGTAACGAGGGCCAGAGCTTTTCCTAACCGCATGAGCAGCCAAATGGAACACCCCCCCCCCATTCTCTGCCATGGTATACGTATCTCAGTTGGTCTCGTTATTTGGGAAGATGGGCAGACTGTAAAGCAGACGACAAACCCCTTTGAAGTATTTGTCATACAGAATGGTGTGATTTCATGGCCCCATGTTTCCATCATGGGGCATCTGGTAGCACTCTTAGAAAACCAGCAGTTATTTACAACCCACCCTCTGCTTGCCAGACAAGTGATTCATGGTCAACAGGGAGAATCCTCGTTAAGTAATTATGGCTGTAATTAAGGCTTTGACTTTAGACTGCTGTGTTGCAGGGCTTTTGCAGGTTTGCATCATGTGCTTGTGAAGAGTGAAACCCCCAGTATTTTCCTTTAATGTCGAAGATAAATTGAAACCTCTGCAGATTCCGAATTTGGAACACACCCCACCTTGTTGTACTCGTTCAGCAATCAAACCAGACATGAATGGAGTCAGCTGGGGTTTTGTCACATTTGATGAGTGATTACTAGAAGGCTCGAGAAGCAGGAAGTATGTGCGTGAATAGTACTGGAACAAGGCCAAAGTGTAAACCCATGTGCTTATATTCTGTCATGTCTCTCTCTTTTCAGGGATATTAAGAACATTGGGGTGAGGCTTCCTGGCCACTTGAAAAGAATTGCCTACAGCATCTTGGGTTTAAAGGACCAGACCAGCACCCTGAGCGTGTTTGCAGTGTGATCGTGACTACGAAGGGAATTAAATTCACTGAAGCAGGCAGCCCTTTGAACTCTAAGCTGAGCTGGAGCGAAACTGCAGGGACGGCTTTGGATCGGCAGGACCAAGAAAACTGTGCCATCCTTTGGAGCCGACTGAATCAGACTGACTTACTGTACATTTTTGATTTCTTCATCTTATCCACGCGGGAATTGAGCAAATATACAACAATAGATGTATCAAGTAGACTCTGTATATTTAGATATCTATTTTTATTACCCATGTCTTCTGTACAGATACAATTCACTCTTCATGCATTTATTTTTTTTTCTCTGTCATTTCGCATTCCTGCTTCATAAAAATCAACAATCAAGCCAGTTCTGGGAACGGCTTCTGCTTTACAAAATTGCACCCCTGAGCTTGTTGCATCCAGTATCAAACAAACAAGGGAAGCACAGTAAGTGTGATCTTATGGGAGCATTGGAGTCCAGCCCCGGCTCAGGTTGTGGTGGTGCTGATGTCACGGTGTCTCCCTTTAATTGTCACTTTGGTCCATGTGAGACCAATGAGGACGGAGTGTCGAAAGGGCTGAAATGCGTTTGAGCTGGCCCAAAGTTAAAGAGATGGCGTTAGGTGTGTAAACACGGATGGACTTGGTGTTGTTTTTGGCCTTCTGCTGGCTCAGTGCAGAAATTAAGCTATAATCATATAAGTGATGTTATATGAAAAAAGAGAGGATATATATGAGGTACTCTGTGTGTACAGAACTTTTTTGTTTCTTTGTGTTTTGGCATTTACCAAAAACATTGGGATTAAAACTTATAATGTAGCACTTGGATCAAGAATCTTATTGTCTTGGTTTCTCTTTGAATTGCAAGAAAAGGGCTATTACACAAAAAATAAAATGGTATCGAAGTGAGAAATTGTGTGAATGAAATAATTTTTCAAATTAGAATGCAATTCAATTGTAGCATGCAAGAGGGAGAGGGTGAAGTTTGCCAAAATGCAAATGCCCTAAAAAAAGGAAAAAAAAGATTTAATGATGATGAGTCTTGTTGTGGTTGAAATGATTTCACACTTAATAATAGTTTGGTTTGCAATTTCAATGTCTCATTTAGTTTTGTAGAAGCTATACAAATATTAATATTTCTGTTGGTTTGAGTAACATGTTGATGGGATGAAACAACGTGCTTTGACAATTTAGTGCTGGACTCGTTCCAGACATTCAAAGACATTTTAAAGTGCCTGTTTGTGGAACATTAGCGGGAGTTTGCTTCTATCTGGTTTAATGGAGCAGCTCTCCAGTGTAGTGGGAAGTGTATAGTGGACAGTTTCCCCAGTGCTCTTAATTAATTGATGACTGCAAATCAATGTGTTACTGATGTACACCTTCCTTTACTTGAATTTTTACTGTATTTTCAAATGTATCTATGCTTCTGTTGTAGCTTATAGATCCATCTTTGGAAAAGGGATTTTTTTATTACTCTGGTTTACTGGTTGTAATTACATTTTAGTACATTTTGTATGATTTCACTATTTACCATATACCAAACTGATTATTTTTCATCACTTTCCAAGCTACTTTTGCTGCCTTTCCAAACATTTTGAGAGTTCATCGAAGAGCAAACTCCTTCCTTTTTGCCTGTTGTTTTATACTGTATTTAATAGCCTATTTATTTTTTACTTGTATTTATTTATGCTGATAAACACTGAGCTGGGATTATAATTGAAGGTTGTTCTCTCATTCTCAATAATAAAAAAAAAGCTCTAATGTCCCATGATTTTGTCAAACCTGAGATTGCATTTGTGGAGCAATAAAGTCTTAAACTGAATTTAGCTAACGTCTGTTGTATGATTGACACAAAACAGAGCTGAGGAATGCTTTATTTGTTTTAAACGGTGCCAGGATGTTTATGCTTCCACCTGGATATCCGTATAATGCTGCTGGATGGTTTAATGCCAGAGTTGGAACCTGTAATAAACATGTGAGTGCTTCATTACCTGCAGGAGGAAACTGATGTCCAGACACAAACACACATACACACACACTTCAAGGCTGTTACAACTAAACACAACTAAGCTAGAAACTAAAACAAGGTGTGAAAAAACATTTTATTTAACTAAAATTCAAATAAAAACTAGACAAAAATTAAAACTAACTGAAACAATATTGTATACTTACAAAATGCATCTTAAGCTTTAGTCTTTGTCAACATAAGGAGGTATATGTTTACTGCAAGTGGGATATCTACATGTGTACTTGTATTGTAATAACTATTCTGAACTTCTTAAATCTTACCCCTGACAAATAACTAAGCTAAGCTGAACTGAAAACAAAAATTAGAAACAAAATAAATAAACTATAATAACTGATGACACACGCACATGCTTACTGTACAAAACACACATCAACATTTCTCTGTCAGAAATTACTGGGAACATTTTATTAGATTTGTATTCTCTAATCAAATCAACCAGATATTAAACCATGAGATGAAAGTAAACTTGAAAAGCTCAAATTTAGCTCTGATGTTTGTATGTACTAAACAGAGATCACACTGTAATCTGCCATTTGATTGCTCTTGCCTTGGGAAATGACCTTCTGCTTGACACCACATTTTCTTCTCCCATGAACTCTTCTCTTATGTTACAGTCGAAGTCGGAAGGCCAAAATTCTGCCTCCCTAATACGGTGGAACGGCCCTTTACATTGGACTTCTGAGTAAAAAACTAAGGGTTATGTAGTGAGGTCTGTGATGCAAGACCTCACTACATAACTTTAATAAAATACTTTCATGTTTTTCACATGTTCCTATCCTGAATGCCTGAATGCAGATTCAACATTGCATGGCCACAAATCTATCAAATCCCTTGTGATAAATGGTTAAACATGTCTCTGTGAGGTGTAGAATTGCACTTGCAGTTATGAATATTTCATGTTTAATATTTCAAATAGGTTTCCAATTATGACATAGCATATTCTGCTGCATGAGGAACTTTTTAAGCATATTTAAAGTATATTTCGGTGGGATTTTTTTCACTTTCTTTCATGGTTTGGTAGTCAAAACTACACAGATAAGACCCAAGTTGTAATAAACTGAAATTATCCTTTAAATCTCATGGATTTCCAGTGGACTATGGTAGTGTCAGCAGTCAGCCCGACAAAGCTCTCTAAACTTAACCACAAAGAACACATAAATAAACTCCATGTAACGTATCTCATTACCCGCATTTGCATAGTTTTTTCTCCCCCAACACTAAACCAAAGGCCAGGGGTCAGAAATTCTATTTGGAAGCTTCAAATGTCTGACCTTGAATGGAATGCATCACAGTAGCGAGCAAGCAGGAGAGCTTTTAACTGTTAGCAGCATGTTGCATAAGTTTGCTTTTCAGCTCTCTAGACTCAGTCACACCTGCTCAGGACAAAAATGCAATAAATTGCAATAAAATGTTTGCACTAGAGAATTCCTCAAGTCCAAACATGCCCAATACTAACTCTGAACTTCACCTTGACGGATCCACTTTGCCTTATCTCACTCACTCTGACCTTGCAGTGGCAGGGAAGTCCCTGGCGCCACGCATTTTGAAAATTATCAGCTTTAGTTGATTGATGCAAGTGACAAAGCCCTAAATGCATTCCTAAGATAAGAACCACACACAAGAAAGAGGAATGTCAATATTTAGGTATTGAATTAATCTGCAGGTCAACAGAGAAGTAGCAAGAAAAGGCCCAATGCAGACTGAGCATGGGAACTTGGATCTGACACTAAATCCCTTATGAGTCTTTGTCCTTGACTTCCAGCTGGCTGTGTGTTCTTACCTCTGTTAAACCAATGGGATGCCTAGAAATAGTCCTGGCTTTATGTGGCGACTGTAAACTGAGAAAGTCTTTCACTATTTTCCATCTCAATCCATCCACTCCCTCAGTGTTTCACAGCGTGGTGGATTTTTTTCTCTCTCTCTCTCTCTCTCTCTCTCTCTCTCTCTCTCTCTCTCTCTCTCTCTCTCTCTTCCATGCACGATGGAAAAAGAGGAGCAGAGCCATACCGTTAAGCTGCTGACTGTACTGTTTGCATTTATGCAAATCCACGTCTGAGTGCATCCAAAACTGACTGCTGGAGGAGTTTGGTTTATGTCCCTGTCGTCGGCTGTAATGTGATTATCCTCACTCTGCGGGGGTTGAATGTGTGGAAGTTTGTGTCTTGTCATTAGGACTGTAAATGACAGGGATGCATGGAGGGACAGAGAAAGAGCGGGGGGGGGAGTGAGGCCTGGTGGCAAGGGTGGGGGTGGAGGGGGTTAGCTGGAGATTTGAGCCATACCAGGGCTTTACTGCAGGCCACAATAGCATGTGTGGTGATTGTGTTGAAGGCTTGGCGTTCAGGGCCCCAGAGCCTCCCCCCGTGCACTGTTGTGTGTGGGGGCCGCGGCTTTCGCTTTCAGAGTTTTTCCCCTCCTTCTTGTGGCTTGTAAGATGTCTTTGTTCTCAGGGCGAAGGTCAATTTGAAAAGAAATAAGGAAAAAGGAAAACATTACCATGGCACTGCTCATGTATGACCTCTCCCTATACCACCGCCCTTCCATCTTTTTTTGTTTTATGTTGTCCTGGCAGCTCTCAGTGTCATGCGCGGATTTGAAAACCGGCAACGCTGAGGAATTTACATCCTAGCTAATTTTAGCAATGGGTTCCTGACCAGAAAACACATCCTCCAATTTCTGTCTATATTGGTCTTCCTGCGTCTTTCCGCTGCTGTTTCTCTCACCAGCGCTCCAGGGCTTTTTGCAGATTATTCTTCTCCGTCTCCTCCAAGACCCTCAATTTTCCTATTTTCACTGCATTCTCAACTAAAAGATTTTATATATCCTCATCCAAGATTGCTGCAAAAGCTCCTCTCAAGGTTCAAATCCACATAAGAACAAACTAAGCTGCTGGAACTAAATGATTTAATGAACCTTTTTAATAAGACAGTGAGGAACAAATAATTATTACCAGCATCTTTCCCAAACTCTGCTGCTGAGATCTGTTTGATGTCAGCACAAAGGCGACATGAAGGGGAGTGGGGAGCAGAAACACAAGCCACTGTTGACATAAGCCTTGTCCTTCCGCAGACTCTTTGTATATTTTGAAACGCCGGCCTAATTCACTCCATATTCCTGCTAATGACACCGCTGATGTCACTCAACACATAAAAATTCTGACCGACCCGTCTTTACAAAGGCCCATAAACATCCCGGTGCTGCTGTTGGTGCTTTTCTGGCTGCTGCAGATTCAAGGAGGTTTTGTGTTTTTTCTCAAGGAAAGAAACATCAAACTGGTCTAACAGAGACCAGTTTTAGACTATTTAAACAAAACATCCCTTTCCTGATTCTTTCCACACCTAACCTGAAATCATCCTAAAACTGTTTGTCTAAACCATCTGCTCCACCACTGCTAAGCATAACTTCTAAAATGCTTTGATGTGCATTGTAATTGTCTCAATTCATAACCCAAAAGCTGAATAGTAAACAGGATCTGGAGTGGAGGCAGCATCACCATAATCCAGAACTGAGAGGAAAACTGCTTTGACAATCCTCTTTCTACAGGTGGGAATCTGATTCTGTACAAAACCACGAACTTTTGTCACATTTAAATATAGATTTCTAATCAAATAAAATGTCAAGATATTCTGTGATCCTGTCACTGTGACTGTGAGAGATAAGTCTTTGGATCTTGAAAAGAGCATGATTAGTGTTTCATTTGCATGACACACTAATTTAAGGTTACTAAGAGCATCTTGCTGTGTATTAAAGGAGAAAAATTATTTCCAAAGAGCTAATTTGACAGAATTGCTACCACAGTAGAGAATTGTCTGCAAACAAGATGAGGAGCAAAGATCAAACAAAGACCTTTAATATAAGAGAAGCTAAAAGGTCCTGAATTACATATGTGGATTTTACAGTATACGCTCGCATTGAGTTTGTGCATTAAAGTTTTACAAAAGCATGTCTGTAGTGTATTTTATGTCGACCACAGGTTTCTAAAGGGTTGTTATCAAGCCTGGATTTGAGTTTACAACTCACTGCCATTGTTGAGAGCTACTGGAGCCAGAAAATCCACATTTGATTAAAGGGGAGGAAGCCTGGGTAGGGTAGACCAGTAGAGCGAGTCAATCGACAACAGCTGTGATAGGTTGAGACACCTGTCATGTCATAAAACCTTGTCGCCATGTATGGTGACACATACAAGGAATGTGACTTTGGTTGTAAGTAGCTTTCAATATACATACTGTACACATGGAGCTTAAAACAAATGCACAGGAAGATACAAATATAGACATTCAGATAAACAAACATAGTCAGACTAAACAAAGATAAGCAAACATAAACATATACATGCAGCTATTATGTTCATGTATGTAGTTATGAAAACAAACCATACAGTTCTACAGTATATGCAGGTCACATTGGTACTGTAAACTGTATAAACAGGATTGTGGGTAATGTGCTACACAAACAACGCATCTGTCAGCGAAACGAATGTTGAAATAAATAAGTAGGTGTTGTGCAATACTCGACATACAGTAGTGGTTTGTAGGCTTTCTACTGCTGAGTATTTGTAGTGTACACAACCCAAGCTGCTTTAACTTACACGTGACAAAATCACAAGCAGGGTATAGATTGAGTGAGCTGAGGTAATGGGTTGAGTAATTAATTGGTCATTTGACAGAAAACATTTTTGACAACAAAATAACATTAATATAACATTCCCTAGTTCCAGCTTCTCAGTTGTGAGTTTTCACTTTTATAAAAGTAAACTCGGTACTTTGAAATTGTCGAATTGGGCTTTAGTGTTTAGGGCAATTTTCTGAAATTTTATAGACCACAATTATTTGATTACTTGAAAAATAAGAGGCAGAATAATCAGTATTGAAAAAAACATTAGTTTCAGCCCTAGGGTGAAATTTTCTTTCATAACCCAAACTGGACAAACAATATTTAAAATGAAAAACTGACATGTTTTAAATGAAATTCTTCTGGAGTTAGCATCTAGAGGACATTGGTGGCACTGCAACTTAAACCATCCAGCCTTCAATCACTGTGGTAGGTTCTTCTAGATTTAAGTTTTACCTTGTAACTGTATGGGTGGTATGTCCTGTATAGGTCCGTATATGTGCCGCAGATGGAATCTATCTTTTTTTTCTCTATAAAAAGAAGAAGGTTAATCTAACAACAAAATTCCCATAAAAAAGAAAAAAGCACTAAAAAGCTGTGTCATTATTCTTTTTCTCTTACCCAGCAGGATGTGTCTCTCTCTGCGACTTTATGGCTCTTTTTTTCTGCCGAGGTATTCTTTGTCTTAGTGCCCCCCCTCTCTGAAATTTCCGCCTGTCTGCATATGTTTTGGAGGCCATTAATCGTCCCCTGCACAACATGCGCCCCAGCAGATAATTACAGTCATTAAACCAATTAGGGAGCACATGGAGGGGAGGCTTCAGTCAAGCCCCGAGGCCTCCCACTCCTGTTCTTCTCTACCAAGACAGTCGAGGTGGTCTGCTGAAACTCTGGCAAAGCCTTAAATAAAGAAGGGAGTGAATTATTTCAGCCCAGCTCGGGATTAATGCAATTTCCTGTTGGTGTAGCCTTGAGAGACCTTGCCAACTTTGCTGCAGGCCAAGTAACCAAAGCCATTAGCCAGCAAAAGTCCTTCCCCTTTTCACATCCTTTTTTTTTTTTTTTTTTTGCAGGGCAAAGCAGCCATTTAGGTTGGTGTCATCAAAATATGCTTTCCTCAAAGCTTAGCGGGCTATTTTGGTGCTCCTGTGGCAGAACACAGAAAACGAGAAAAAGAGATCAGAAGTGGCAGGAAAGGGAGGGAAGAGTGGTCAATCTGCAGACAGTGGTTTTCAACATGCTCGGTCTATCATGTGATTCTAGAGCTAATATTATGGTTTCATTGTGCCTGACGCAGTGGGAGATCTGGCAGAATGAGGCCGTAACATACAATACATACAACTGTGATTACTTAGTTATTGAGACAAATGGAACTGAGACCTCCAGTCACTGTACACATGTGCAAGCAAGCCACAGAAAGTCCCTCACACTTCCTCAGAAAGTCTCATATGGTTAGTCATGTTGGACAAAAAACTGTCCTCCGTTTGTTTTTGCGAGATATTTCCCAGAATTCCTCGTGTTGTGCTTGGCATGTGTGTCTCTGAACTCTGCAAAGAAAAGCAAAAGTGAAAGCCAGCAAGGAACAAGGAGCTCCATACAGGTTTTCTCTGCTTACTTATGAATGACATGTTAAAGTGAAATGTAGATCTTGTAATGACTCCAGAATATATAAACAAAGAAAAACACATCAAATCCTGCAGGTTGAAGATAAGATCATGACAAGCATATCATGGTCCAAAAATGGCCCCAGCCAGAACTTCTAACCATATATTAATGGTGTGAGCTTTTTTTCACAAGAGTTGGAAGCTCAGAAGTTATAAAATGGGAATTTAAGAAAATAAAGAAATATTAGGAATCGAGGAACTTTTTAATTTAAATTGACATTTTAATCTACACAGTGATCCATGTTTCTACAGTAGCCCAGAATGGAAAAAACACTAGCTCACCATAGGGCCTTTTGTGTTTTCTGTGAGCTATGCAGCCACCATAGATTCTCCTACACGCTTGGAAGAGAGAGCTGTATTCAGTTTGTTCCTATCTGCAACTTCACCTCTAGATCCCAATAAATCCTACACACTGGTTGAAGTATAAAAGCAAGGAGGCGATTAGCTGGAGGCAGAGGGGAAACAGCTTGCTTGACTTTCTCCACATTGTTGTATCTTGTTTAATCCGTACACAAACAGAAATAAAAGACAATTTGTGGCTTTACCTTCACAGAAGAACTTGAGAAATTCTTTGTCAAGAAATAGTTTGCTGCCTACCTTATGTATAGGTTAACTCCCTCCTGCATATATGTGGCACACAGACCAGAGAGTGTTGGATTTTATAGTCTAATGAAATAAAAATATTGGTGGTGCCTCAGGTATGAAAGGAAACAATACCCATAATAACTGAAGTGACTGAATACTTAATTTTCAATGAAAAACTTAACAACTTATCTTTTTATAGCTCACAAAGTCATACAGATAGTGTCCAATTCTAATTTAAAGATCTTAAAATGACTAATAAGTCAGGGTTTCTTAAATTAGATTCAGATTCATTGTTTTACAGCAGGCATTTTGACTTGTCATAGCAGGAAACAAGGTAAAACATGTTTCATTAAGGATGGCTCACTTCCGTTACTGTAAGTTTCCCAATAAGCCATGACTGTGAGTCAGAAATACCAGGAGCATGGAACTAGCTCAGCTAAATGGAATGCAGTGGTTTTTAACGTTATCAGCTCCACCTGTGCTGTTCCTGCTATGACAAGCTCTGCTGTGAAAAAGGTCTATAAGCAGCTGAACCTGAATGGAATCTTTCAGACCTCCGTCAGGTTATTTTTGGTCAATCACATGATCCATGCATTGAATCTACCTAAAATACAAGCGGAAGAGCTATCTTTCGTGACCTACATGTTCATGTATGACTTTTTCATCTCAAATTTTGAATCTTGTTCTTCTTGAGAGGCTGAATTTTTCTCAGCTCCCCCCAACCAGCAGTGGAGGACTGTTGAGCAGCTCCAAGTGTAAAATGTGGAACTGTGAATGTGAAGCAGGTTGGGTCTATAAAAAGCATGGTGGTCTGTCAGTTTGACCTTGTGAAAGGTTTAAAATATACCTCCAAGTCAGTTTCCCTCACATTTTATTTATATCAGAATGGGAAATTCCCACACACACTTCAACAGAGTTACATTTCCCCACAAAAAGAATCATTACTTATTTGCAATTAGAGGCTTAAAGTAATCGTACTTGTATTCCATCATAACTTGACAGTATAAAATGAAAACATTGTTTCAAGTATTAGTTGCATATAAATGAGAATATTTGAAAGTCATCCAGTATTGAAAGACGTCCAACTCCCACTTTGCCTCAAGGGACCTCAGAAATGATTGTTCTTGAATGTCTGTGGCTTCCCAGTGAAGAGCATCACAGTGAATGTGTGTATGTGGATGTTAAACATTCCTCCTGCTTACTTTGCTCTTCAACTACTAGGCAAAAACCCACAATCTCATCTAATCAAATTCAAGATTCATTTAATTTGATGGAACATCTAAACAGACAAGAGATTCAGTCGCACACAGGGAACATAAGAAAGACAGCTTTTTTTATAGGCAGTTAGGTGTAAGAACTGCACGCAGGGACGAAAGGTTTGCACAACAGCCAGGTTCGAGACATGTTGATGGACTGTAAAGTGGAGATGTGAATATCTAACAGCCGAATCGACTTTTCTGCAACATGCAAGGTGAGAAGCAGGAACCTACCCTTGGGGGATTAAGGAAGACTTTCTCCTGCTGCGCTAAATTATTGATGGACCACTTGACTCTCACTCAGACACTCCTGCTTTTACCTGGTCCCTTGTTTGATTTAATGATACATTTACGAAGGAGTGTATAGAAAATACTCCTGTGGCATTGCTTTCCAAGATATGGTATATAATAATAGAACTGCTGCACTTTTGCTTTTTGACCACAAGAGGTCAGACTGCTCCTAACCAGCCCTTTCCTCTGTTATGATGAGGAGTACATCTCAATATGTGCTTCAGGGACCTAAAAGAGTCTTTGAAAAGGTTCCAGAGATCATTCATCAATATCAATATTCCAGAGGGAATTCACAATTTCTGTTCCTTGAGCTTTTCCATGGGTTTCTTGAGGGTTTATCAGTCCCCAAAATGTTTTATTGGACACTTTCCAGCAGCCCACGAGGGCATTCCAGGGTCCAAATAAATGTTTCAGGGACACTTGTGGGTTTTCTAGGGTCAAGACGTCCCAAGGTAGATGTGGATTCCTGATTTTTGTCTGTTTTCCAAGTTTCCTTCCAGGGATATATGGAGGACCCCTGTTTCGTAGAGTTCCTTTATTGTATTTGAGGGGTTTCTTAAGGAGATTTTAAGAATTTCAGTAGTCCTTGATGAAGTTTGGATCTTTTTTCTTTTTTTCAGTGTTTGGTTTGTGCCTTCTGGGCTACTGTAGAAAAATGGCGGTTCAACATAGCGGACTACACAGAAGGCAACCCATGGCGTATGTAGATATAAACGGCTCATTCTAAGATAACAAAAACATAACAATTATTATTTTCAGGCGATTATACACTAATGAAAACATAATTATGAATTTTATATTCCATTTTCTGCCAATAGATCTTCCTAAATGTTACACACTGGACCTTTAAAAATTGTGGAGTGGCTTGGTTGCCATGGTCACTTGGTTTTCCCCACAATGGAGGCAGGGGCACTGTTGGAGCAGGTGGTGTCAGCAAAGTCGTAGTTACATTACCCCAGCATTCACACAAGAAGGAATCTGAGACAAACAGAGACAACAAGGGCCGTGGAAGGAATATTATGTCAGATTGTTTTATGTCAGATAGGTCAGGTGTGTGTGTGTGTGTGTGTGTGTGTGTGTGTGTGTGTGTGTGTGTGTGTGCATGTGTGAAAGAGCTTACAAGGTCACAGGATACTGTGTATAAAGGTGTGAGTGTTATTGAGTCTATGTCTGAATTTCAAGAGTCGGCAGAAACATCATATAAATATACCCCAAAATCACACTGCAAAACAAATGACAGAAAAAAAAACTTACTTTTTTTATCAAATCCTACAATAAATGTGAAAAATCTTGAAATAAATAAATAAAAAAACTTTGTTGCCTACTCATACTCTCACTATAATCTCAAAAATAAATAAATTAGATTATCTATTAGGCCTACAGTATAGATTGTATTAAAAACAGTATCAGTTTGGTCTCAATATAAGCTGTATCACTGGTTCTCAAACCAGGATGAGGATTCAACAACAATCAACAATAAATAATCTTCTTATTAGGAAGCCAGTTGAATAGGGTTGGCCTATGCTACTGTATTTTGAGTAACATAGGCAGTAATAATTGTGGTACTAGGAGAGCCTAATATTTTCTGAGATGGTAAACGTAGGCCCTATATATCGGCAACTAAGTAATAGATAGATAGATAGATAGATAGATAGATAGATAGATAGATAGATAGATAGATAGATAGATAGATAGATAGATAGATAGATAGATAGATAGATAGATAGATAGATAGATAGATAGATAGTGCCCAGTAATACACTGTATGATAGTAGCAAGTGGACATTTTTGTGTAGCCTACTATAAAGCAAGGTGCTGAATTGTTTCTACCTATTAAAATAGAATTAAATATTCAACATGTAGCACCATCATAAAACCCTTCATTCACAGTGAGAGTCTCCCAGTAGGATGCAAAAGAAGAACAGAGGAGGAGGAGAATAGAAGAAATAGAGGGGAGGGGATTCAAAATCGTCAGCAAACAGGCATTCATGCTTTCTCCCCGATTTCCTCCTTCTCTCTCTCTCTCTCTCTCTCTCTCTCTCTCTCTCTCTCTCTCTGTGCCCCCTCCCCACACTTTGTCTGTGTCACTCTCTCACCTCTCTCTGCAGAGAAGTCAGCCTACAGCTCATCTGGCATCCACTCTCTCACTTCCCCCCTGCCTCAGTTCCTCACTTCTCTCTGCTCCTCTGGTACGTCTGCCTCTGTTTTTTCCCTTCCTCCCCTTCTTCCTCTCTTTCACCCGCTCCTCATCCTCAAGCCATCATGGTGAACAGATAACCGCCCGGCCGTCCTGAGACCATGGGTGCCTGCCTCTGCAAAGGTCACAAAGGTCAGTGCCCGAGACCACCTGTTTGTGTGTCCAAGTCTGTGGGTCTGTCTAAGGGCTGGAACAACCTGCAGGAAGTGTTGACAGCAGCCAGCAAACATTTGAGGAGCAAAACTGTTTCAGAAAGTTACATCATGCTTTCGAGGGATAACTGTGTGTGTGAGGATCTAGTAAAGACAACCCAGAGGTGTCGACGGCAGAGATTTACGGGTGTTCATATGAAGTGAATCCATAATTAGAATGAAACAGAACAAATTCTGACATGGAAGCATTCGTGATCTGAGTGAAAATGGGGAGATTGGGGGTGGGAGGTTGATGAGAGGGATTGTGAGGATCAGTGGAGGACAACAGTGTCTTTAGGATATCCAAAGCTCATATCCAACTAGTCGTGACTTGATGATGTGACTTGGATTACAATTTTCTCTCTCATATTTTCTTCTCTGTCACTGCTTTATAGGTTCAAATAAGGCAGTGTTTATTGCATCTCAAAAGCTGTCTGAATAAACTAATGATGGCTCAGCTGGCAGCTGGGCCTCATTTAGGAAGAACACGAGTACTAAATTGTGCCGTCAAAACAAAAGATCTGATCAAATTAAAAGTTGACCCACTTTCTGTGATACATGCCAACAACAATACTTGTTATTTTGTCAGTGCATGACATTTAACATCGCATCACATTCTCACATTATTTTCTGACCATATGTGTGATGCAGTGTCACAATATTTTGTGAGACAAAGTCTGCTTTTGTTCAGGGAGGGTCCCTTTTAACAAGGTGGAGGGTGTTGAGCGCAGCACGCTTTCAAGCTGGGAAGAAAGAGGGAAGGCAGCTGTGAGGCTCCAGACAAACAGATGAGAGAACAGTGTGTGTGTGTGTGTGTGTGTGTGTGTGTGTGTGTGTGTGTGTGTGTGTGTATGTGCGTGTGTGTGTGTGAGAGAGAGTCAAGGTGGGATTCAACCCCACAAGGACAGTGGATTGGTTCAGGAATCATGATGTGTTTCTTGACCTGCTAATAGCATCTGATGAGGCCAGAGACAGATACAGCCCTGTGCACCAGTGTGTGTGTGTGTGTGTGTGTGTGTGTGTGTGTGTGTGTGTGAGCTGGTGACTGTGGCTTAAATAAATGGAAGGGTATCACATGCCTCCTGTTGCTGTAGCGTTTCCATAGCGACAGCCAATTGTCTTGACGACACCCCCCAGGGGAAACCCCAAGTGTGTGTTTGTATTCCTGTGTGTATATGTGTGTATTTGTGTCCACTGACCTTTCTAATAATGTTAATTATCCATCACTCTGAACTGCACTTCATTTCCTTTTGTCATTCATGTGAACCTCATCACCATCAATTATGAAGCAAATATGCAGAGAGGCTCCAGTTAAATGACTGTATGGCGATTCTACGCTCTCGCTCACCCTCTCTCATCCATTATATATGAGCCTCGCTTGACCCCTGGTCGTTAGAGACAACTGGGTTTTGGCTTTATAGACTATTACCCCTGCCTAGAAACACACAAACATCAACATTACAAAAGAACCCCCCCCACACAGAGCATGAATCACAACTATCTGTATGTGTATGTTTCCCCACAGAGCTCCACCATCCCATAACAGTACAGCAGGACCAGACTGTGGAAGGTCAGCCATCCTCTGTCAAGGCGAGTTAAAGCCCTCTTCTTTACCTCGTAGGTTTTGGTCTGATATTTGCCTTCAGTGTGCCAATTTCTCTCATATAGACTGAAAACATGGCCTATAAAAACTGTTGATACTGTGTTCTGTGGATTATAAGTAAGAGCTAAGTAAGTTCTAATGCTGTGAGCAACACAAACTCTATATTCACCTAAATTGTATCGGAGTAGGGGAAAAAATCAACTATAAATGTTCCAAAGTCTGGGTAAATAAAACCAAGGCCATCTGCATTCCTAATACCAGTAGAGATAAGTATGAAAATATGTTTTTCTGTGATTTTGAGTGAACCGCCCCTTTAAGTGTTTATCAGCACAGTTCTGCTGCTTGAATAAGACTGAAATAAGTCGAACATTTAATGGAGGGTTTTAATAGTCCACATTACCGTCTTGCTTCAAAATTATCTGGAAACTTTTAACATGAATAGCACGGTTCGGATTTAGCTTACAATTTGGCCAATTATCTGCCTATGATATACTTACTGCACACTGAGATAAGTGTGACTGTATGGAGGAAGATCAGCTCCATTTTATGGTTAATATCTCTTTCACACATAACAGTCTGCTCCACAGCCAGGCTCCATCACACTCTCCATGCAGGCGTCTGTAGCAAAATGTCCCATTTTTCACCATTTATAATGAGCTATAATCTTTCTTTATGTTTGTGTATTTTAAATATTAGCATGAATGCTGTTGATGTCAGTTACTTTTACTGTCATTGTGCTTTGCTGAAATGTAGCTGATATCTAGTAGCTCATGTGTAGCTGTTACATTTCTAGTGTCTCCACCAGCAGGCCTATAGCATCAGAAAATGGTCAAAGGTATGCAACACTTTGATCAAATTCTTTATAGTATGTAGAGTAAAGATGAGCTAACTTACATATAACACAATGACAATGACAAAACAATTAATTAGGCTAGTTAGGCTATTTAACAGGTCGATGGTAATGGCTTGCCAACTGAACCTGGTTTTGCTAGTTGGACAGCTATTAGCAAACAGACATATTACTGCCACTGAAAAGATAAATTTCAGGTTAGTTGTTATAGACTTTTACTAATGTAAGATATGTTTGGATATTTTACCCCTAGTTTATGAGCACTGGGTGAATTACATTTACACCCAGATGTTTTTATAACCTTTTTATTGCCTGTATGAGCTACTTTTTAAAACATTACAAATTAAATAAATGTTAAATCTGCCAAACAATGTCACACTATTATTATTTAATGACACATTTACAGATTTAATGATATTCATAACTATTGTAAATCTTATATGATATTATATTATGATATATATTATAATTATTCATTTTGTTTAACAAAAAACATTTGACATGTTTGTGTTCATGTACATACTTGAAATCCTATTTTGCTTGCCACATATTCAAAAGATCAAGAATACGAAACCAAGAGAAATCTATCAGTTCTTCTTTCCACACTAACTTCACCTACTTGGGTGTAAATACCATATGGGTTTCAGTTTAAAATACCCTCCTTTGATCGCAGTACATTTAGTTAGTGTGCATTCTGCAGGATTTCCATAAATACTGGCTGGCTTATTGTCATTATAACCATTTTTTCATCAGACAAAAAAGCATGAAATGTGTGGATTGAGTCATCACAGACAAGACGTGATTGCCATGGAGAATGCATACACATTTGATTTTGTGTGTCTTTTGTGTGTGTGTGTGTGTGTGTGTGTGTGTGTGTGTGTGTGTGTGTTCGTATGTGTGTATGTGCAGTATTTCCTGTGTGGAAAGCTCATACAAACGGTTACCTTCATCTCTGTGAGATGAAAAAATCTGTCTCTGGCATGTGAAACCAATTCAAAACCCATAATATCACAAATGCAGAGCTGACATGCTGGTATTGTCCCTCTTCTCGTGCATCATATTTTGCAGGATGGGCAGAATCCTTCCAACGGCAGTGTCGCAGATAAAACCAGCGGCTATGACATCGGCGAGCTGGCCACCTCCTCTTTGATAGGTGAGACGGACACACACACACACAAACACACACACACACACACACACACACACACACACACACACACACACACACACACACACACACACACACACACACAAACAGATCTAGTTCATCTTGTGTTTCATTAGGAATCAAACATATGAGACTGGGAAAAAAGCAAGCTGGGAAATTGCATCAGTAACCATGGGAGGTTAGTAATGTAATTTCCCTCCCCCTCCGTGCCCTTTCTCTCTCACACATGCTGCAACACCAATAGACCCTGGCAAACATGAGTAAACAATCAGGTACAACACACATTTCCGTCTCCCATTTGATTTTATTCTCTACTGTCGAGTCTAGCTTCCTCTTCTCTTCATGTTGGTTGCCTCCTGATCTTTTTCATCCCCATTGCCCCATCCTGTGTCTGTCTGCCCTATATAAACTGCGTCCCTCCGTCTACGGGAGGTTAATTATCTGAGTTAATGTGTTATGCCTTGCTGAACTTTTCCCAGTGAAAGGTCCTTTATGACCCTGACAGTATAATTATGACACCTACTTTGGGAGTGGCAGAATCAGTCCAGGAAATAAAAATAAAAAAGCTTTTCAGCATTTACTGAGACTTAATTACTTGTCAGTTATGTTCAGTTGGGCAGTCACAAAGTGCAGCTGACAACCTAACCGTGCAAATCAGATCACACTGTGCAAATATTATTGTACAAATATAATTATATACAGAAAAATATTATGCAGACATTATTGCTCCTTTTATTCTTCTTGTATGAAGCTGTTTGATAGATATATCAAGCTGATCTGATTATATTAACAGTAAATCCCCACAGGCAGCCCATAGAAACTTAAATAAATTTCACAAATGCAACAGTGTTGGACTGAACAAATTAGTTAATGACAGTTTTGTTAATCTAACAGCCAGGTGAGACTAAATATGCAAAGTTCATATGAAAGTTTATGGAGTAAAAGCATTCTCTTGTTGAATTTCATGACAATGAGATTATGACACAATAAGACAGATATATTAGGTCAGAGGGTGACCAAAAATATTCACATTAATGCTCTGGGCAATATCCACAAATACACGAGTGTCCTTTAGGGTCAGAATGATGTAAATGTCATCTTCACAGGGTGTACGTGTAGGCTGTGAGCAGCAATCTGCACAACGCCAATTCGTGGCCGTGCGGACTGTCTGCACCTATACACCCTCTGATGACAAAAGTTACGTTACTCAGACCCTAGTGGACCATCGTGTACTTGCATATGTGGAAAATTCCTGAAATTCCTGCTTTAGTCTTCTTTCGTGGTTTTGCCTAAGGGTCATCCAAGGATACATCAGATGCCTCGACACACTGATACAAATATGGGAAAACAAACTAACTGTATCATTTAGGAATTGTCGGCCATATAAATCCCAGACCCTCTAACTGTTTTTCACCCCAGCTTTGATTTCCTTTGGGTTTTTTATTTTATTGTTTCAATCCACCGCTGCTTGAAATCAACACTAGTCGCTTGCCAACTGGCAAATTACAGCATTTATCAATTTCACCCCCTTTAGGATGTGATTAAATGTTATTTTCTAGAATGATTCAAATAACAAAGCTCGGAATACAGCTTCTACGGGTTTCATAACACCCCGTGTTTGTTCATCTGTCTGTATTTCCTGACAATGTACAGCAGGGAGTCATGCTTTACATAATGTAATATATGTCTATTTTTATGAAGTGACTTCTACCTGACTGACTCTGGTTACTTTATTAAAAGTGTAACTGTGTGTTTACTGTAGCAACATGATAAACAAATCTGAGAAAACCAATCATTTCTGACAGCAACCAAGTAAACTCAGGTGATCTATGGACAGTCTTGTCTGCTTGGAAATGTTGACCATGGCGGCCACAGTCATCACATCTTGGTTTCACTTGCAATAAGAGTTATTTTTATGAATAATAATATTATATATATTGCAATGAAAGGTTGGCTGCTGTTTATCGGACACACTGTGTTTTTTCACCAAATATGATTTTGTTTCCAGAGCTCCACACACACCTCAACCAAAACAGACTGTTTTATTGAGAGAATTATGACCTGACTCTTCAGTTCCCCTGAGCTGCAGCATTTCAGTTGCTTTTTCTATTTGTTACAAATCAACAGAGAAATCTTAACTTATTCTGACCATTCTGTGGGGTTCTATGTTAACCTAATATGATTTGGTCTATTTAATACTGCAGTGTGGACCGTAAACCCAAAATATCCAATTTGAAAAACAAATGGGATTTTCCAGCTGTGTGCACATAACTGAAATAGATGCAAACATAGCTTCCTCCCCATCGACAGTCAGCCAGAACCCTCACAACAGTGTCGTCATAGTGTGAACGCAGGGTGAGACAGCAGTGGGTGTTACTGTGCACAACAAAACAACAGTCTCTAGGTGTTGAGAGCAAATGAAAAAAACATGCTGGGATGTTTTTCTCGGTTTCAATTAGTGCAGGCTGCCAGCTCTCATGACTCCTTTCTTTTATTTAACTGTATCCACATCTCCACTCCTGATTCTTGTTTTTCTCATCCCAAAGCTTGCCTCCTCTCTTCCTGGTCTTGGTGTCCTGCTTTACTTTAACCTTTCCTCCTTGTTCTTTTTCTCCAACTTTGCCTTTTCAACCTTTCATTTTATGTGCTATTACATCTGTTAAATTTACCTGTTCTACAATATGACCTTGGTTTGCTGTCACTTTTACTTTACAACTCTTTATTTCCCTGGACCTTTCTAGCCTTGTCTCTTGTGATTAAAATAAATTATGGCGTCTTTGTAGTTTTGTCCAGTGATTCTACTGGTTATGAATAACATATTACGGCAGAGCTGCACGGACACAGCACCTCCATTAGATGCTGCTTGACAAGAGTCCATTTGGTAAAATAGAGCAATACATTTCAGGTTTGGATTTGAGTCACAATAATTAGGACTTGAGATTTGACTTTGATTTGACTGCTGAGACTCAACTTAATTAAGAGTGCCTAAACTCTTGACATAACTTTAAAGTTAAAAACAAAATAAATTGTGTCTTAAGTTTTGACCTGATCAAATCTCATAAATAAAAAAACAGCTTGGATGTTTTCAGATGATACATGAAGCAAATTCAAGTGCAAGAGCCTATGGAGAGATGCAGGTGCACATGATCTGTTGCCAGCTAGTTTACAACTAATGTCTGTTACACTGGCTGTTTGCAGCCAATCAACACTGACTGCACAAACAGTAAGGCAAAAGAGGCAAAAGCAAACATTTGCTTCAGTTTCAATCTGTACACACCTGTAGACCTATGTACTGAAAGGACTCCTATGTTACATGTTAAAGTAAAAGCTTTGTAATTTTAAAAGTCAGCATTTAGAAACCTGAAGGACTTGCAAATTCCTCATGAAGCCTTGTGACTTGACTTTCTCCCCAAAGACTTCAAAACAGGTTTTATCAGGCTTTTTGTTAAACCTGTCATAACTGATATGGCTATTAAAACTACAAAATAAGAATTAAGTTGTTTCATGTTGTGTCCTTTATAAATGGAAATTTTATTGAATAATTTGTTGTTGTTGTTGCTTTTTTATTAAGATATAACATGTATTTTCATTTGGTTTTCTATTCAAGTGAGCTTCATATAGTGCTGTAAAAGTGTAGAAGAACTATGATAGAAGTGATGTCAGTAATAAACAATAAAATCAAATTCAATCTTCTCCAGTGTGTTTTCTGTGGAGCTCTACTTCAGTGCTTCTTTCATGCTCCAGGTTATGCTAATCAGGAGTCCTTCAAAGTCTGAATGAATGCAGAGTTTCTTAAGTATAACCATCTCATGACTTCTCTCCCTCAGTGTGTCTCTTCTTTCCATTTCCATATCCCTGTCCCTTACTGTGACATTTATTTGCCCTTCTCTTCCTTTCTATCACCTATACTGTTTACCCTTTATCTAATCCACTTTATCAAGATGTATCTCACCTCCTCCTCCTCCTCCTCATTTAGGTCTGGTGGCCACGATAAAGGAACATATCACCAAGCCGACGGCGATGGCCCAGGGGCGAGTTGCTCACCTAATTGAGTGGAAGGGCTGGGGTGGAGGTGGTGAGGCCAGTGGAGGCAGGGGAGGTTGGAGTGGGGGCTGGGGTAAAGGAGGTGGAGGCTGGGGGGGGATGGGGGCCGAGCTGCAGGAGGATGAACAATTCTACTCCCAAATGACGGATGAGATCAAGGAAGCTCGCTTCGCTGCAGGTAAGACAGAAGGATGAATTTCATAAGAAAAACAAGATGTGGTCAGTGGAGATGAAGTGAGGCTCAGATCCCTGGGGGCATTGTTTTTTGTTCGATTGGCTGGTACTGAGGGAGCGTCTACAGAAATCAATAGCCCTTATCACATCCCATGACAGTGACTCAAATCTAGCGCTCTTATTCGATTTCCCTTTGTTTGTGACAGCGGTAGACTTAGTGAAAAACAACAGGGCTTCTGGGAAAAGCTACGTAAAATCTGTTTATGTGCCTTTTGTTTCACAGGAGTAGCAGAGCAGTTTGCCCTGGCTGAGGCAGCCATGAATGTGTGGTCCATGAATGACAGCTTAGAGCTGCCCTCCACCAGCTTGCAAGGTTTGTTTATGTAAAGGATCACATGTGTCTGAAATGTCTCTTTTACTCTATTGCAAAAACTTTGCAGATCTGCTGTGACCAAATAAAAATGAACCAAAAGATTAAAACAACAAGGTAATAAGGCTTTTCAACTGTAATAGTATCTGTCTGGATTTGGCTGATTATAATCTCTAAATCCTTATTTTACTGTGAAGTCTCTCATTTCTTGGCATCATAGATTCCATCCCTTTTAATTAAGACGACACTAATCAGCCCTATTTGCTGAAACCCACAGGAGTGGTTGAATCATGAGCACGATGTGTGCAAGTTTATATCACTTTCAGATGTTTTGGGTTTTTTATTCAGATTTTAACCACACTACAGGCATTGCTGGACTGTAATATCAGACATTCTGTAGGCAAATTTGTCTTATGCTCTTGCCCAATCCACTAATTAAAATGTGCACACACATTCATGCTCTCCAGAGGATGAATCCTGTTGACTTTGGCAATGGCATGACTTGTCATCAAACATAAATAAATGGTTAAAATTTCTTCCATATGACCGTCTCTGCCTGTCATATAATTGTAGTCCATAGCTAGAAAGCAAAACAAAGAAAGAAAACATTGTTCTCATGGTTTATTCGTTTCCCACCTTTCATCCCACCTAAGGTGAACACAGCATCAGTGCAGCAGAGTTTGAGCTTTTAAAATTGCCCACATATGAGAGAGATACCATTGATTTAGGTAACAGCATGTAATTTCCACTAGTGACGCCCTTAAGTTTTTACTGTGGTACGGTACTAGTGGTAGCATTTTCTAATGTCCAGTGATATTATGACATTATAGGACATCTAGTCTGGCTAGAGATGTTTAGTGCACCAAATGCACCAAGACTCACCAGAAGAGTACTGGCACATTTTATTTTTGCCCACATGAGCACCCATACTCCTCATTGTGTAGCAGTACCGCACCCCAGACTGTACAAATGGACTTAAACTGTCAAAATGAAAATTAAATGGAACAGTGTTATTCTACTATACTTGCAAAATTATATTTGTGTAAACTTAACAATAAAAGCATTTATCCCTGGCATACATTGCACATTAAAGCAGCTGCTGTGAAGGGAATTAATTGTATTTAAATATTTCAAAAGCCCTTGCACATATGCTCCTCGTGAATTGACATGTATTGTCATACAAAAATAGCTTTCACCTGGGATGTACAGTCACTTGCTATCTAAGATAAAAGCTACATAACGTGCAGCAGCTGGTTCAAACTACTGTCCAATCCAATTCAAGTGCATCTGTAGTATTTCTATAATATACCTGTGTGAAGGGCAACAGCTTCTAAAACCTCTCCAACCTGAGAGGACCCAGCTGTCACTGTTTGTCCCGGTGTGGTTCAAATAATGTTTCTGAGAAGCAACCATTGTGACCGATAGTGTCATTATCCCTCTTCAGCCACACAAAGCCACTTCTTGTCTCAGTTCCTGCTGGACGGTGGGAGCGTCAGTGTTCCACAGCACCTGTACAGCATCCACGCCCAGGCTTATGGCGACACCCGGGCGGCCCAACTGGTCCTTCCGCCAAGGGTCGACTCCATTTCCCAGACGTCCAACACTCAGCAGGACAGAGACCAGCCCTTCGAGGAGAGAAGCGCTGCCACTACACAGGCTGCTGTCCGACATGTAGACAGCAGCTCGCTATCTGAGGATGACGTCTTTTATAACTAGGCAACAAGAAAACAAGAAAACTAGAAAACAAGCCAGCAATCTTGATGGCAATCTCCAAAATGAGTCACTGACAGGACTTGAGCCTCAACCACCAGCACGGACTGATACAAAAAACGCAGACATCTGTGAGATCTCTCAAGAGACAATTCTTCAAATGGCTTGTCTAGAAAAGTTTAAGAGCCTGATCTTCAGATACAAAGACTCCAAATAGTATTTTCTCCCTGGTTGAGGCATATAGTTTTATGAATGTACATAGCTCCCCTATTACATTTAAATTTTTTATTCAATGTACATTAAACTCTTTCATATTATAAGTATAACTTAAATGTGAAGAGTCAAAAACTACTGGTGTAAATATCTTGTTATAAAATATCAATTTTAATATATGTGCTGTATAAGTTTGTCCAATTCTGTTTTTGATCCCTGTTTCTTTCACATTGATGCATCAAACAATTGCATTTGGTTAAGGGACAATAACGTGAAGGAAAAATACCATCAAAGTAACTGAAAATGTGTGTTCTTTGAGATTCCTCATCTGAATCTAGAGAGAAGAAGTCTGTTGTAAAGAACCAATTATCTGTCTGCGTCCCATCTATGATTAGCTATTATTTACACGTCTCTGTGCGAGAGCGACGGGTGCAGAGAGGGGACAAGTGTAGAAAAACAGAGAGAAGGAAAAGGACACAGAACCTGTCAGTGTGCATGTGGTCGGTGTGTATTTCTGCATGTATGTCAGCCTGCCTGTGCGTTTGAGAGTGAGAGATGGTTGGAAAATCGAGGTGTTGGTGTTAACCTGTCACAGTGTTCTTTTAGCACAAATGAAGCTGTGCTGTGTGGTACATTGTAGCTATTTCCCCTTTTGTTATCTCAGTGTAACACTGGATGGTATTCAATTGATTTTTCAAAAAATAGAACTAAAGGCTGTGCACAACTACTGTGCACAACTATTATGATCACATCCATCATGAGACAAACAAGGTCTAATTGGTTCTATAAAGAAGTAGCATTGCTCTGTGAGGAAAATGTGACACAGTTAAAAAGTAACAGATGACAGCATCAGACTGGACAGCTAAACTGTAAGCTGCAAGTTATTCTAGTGTTGCATCTTGTTGGTCTAAAGGTAAAATTGTAGACGTGTAAAGGCAGAATGATTGTTTTATCAAAACCAATATAGTGTCTTATGTCTTAGCAGGGACTGTAGCTGCACTTCAGAAGTGGGACTACAGTCCTACAGAGTCCTGTTGCATTGAGAATCAAAAGAAATAATTTTCCTTTTTGACTTTAAATTTCAATTGAGAATGAGTTGCACAAATAAAACATTAAGTGTTATTTATCAAAGAATTCCTTAAAGGATAATTTCAGTTTATTGTAACTTGTTTATTAAACTATTTTGGTATGTCTCCTTAACAAAATCGTAATTGCGTAATTACAACCAATAGAAATGATGGGGGAAGGATAAAACAAGATCCTTTAAAATCTGACATTTATTTTTCATTGATGGGCAGAATGTAACATAAAGAGTGTAGTTTTGTCTTTAGACAAAGAGAACCATATGGATACTTGATTTTATTTGTCATATTTTGCCACATTTGTTGCTACAGACTTTCCCTTTTATGTCACCAGGTTCATCTAACAACACAAGTTATTCTTTTTATTCATTTTATTCGGATTGGTGATGTTATTTTATAATTCACATTTTCCTGAGTTTCAACAATCACACCAGAAAAGCACTTACAATCATTTGGACTGCAATCAGGATTTGATTAAACCGAGCAGGAATCTTGTTACCAAGGCAACTCTTCCCATAATACTGACGTGAATGTGAGAAATCACATAGATTTTGAATGGATATAATGGCACATTTTTGCTTTTATGTAGAAAAAGGAGACAATCCAGGCAATACATTTCTGTATGCCACAGTGTCTTTTTAGACGCTACCACTGGGGGGGTGCCAATACCAGAAATCTTAAAGTTCAACACTAGTAGCTTTAACTTGGGACTCCATTTGAGATGTTTGATGCAAAATCTTGAAATACAATTCCTGGGAGAAATTAAAGGGTGAAATACTGAAGCTGGATAAGCCACTAGCAGCTTGCATCACCACTAGACGCTGATACAACTTTGTCAAGCCAGGCAATACAGGTGTGATGGACATGATGTTTTACTTATCTCAAGGACGTTTCAGTTGTCTGCAATGTGACATTTTATAGTGTACTGAAATAAATAGAAACCGAAGGCTCCATGGAGCTGAAGAGATACTTGCAGCAGAGTTACATTGTGTTAATTGCCGTACAAACAGTTTCACAGGTTTTGTTTTCATCCCCACTGGATATTAGTGTGGGTAGGAACACTTTTAATAATGCATGTCACAAAGTGCAGATCACTGAATGAGATAGTTTGTAATCTCCTTAGTGGACGAGATCCTGCTAATTACAATAAGAGGCAAGACAATAAGCTCTGATAAATGTTTATCATAGGGGCTTCCAGCTAATGACAGTTTTGTGTGTTACGCTTGAGAAATGAAGAAGTGATATCATTATCAGAGCCAAGCTTTAATCAAGAAGAGATGGATTCGTGTTTTCTTAGAAAAAGGTGAAGGGATATGCTTGTTTCCTGGGCGTCGTTGCTTACATTTCTCTGGCCAAGTCCTCTATTATTCTCTTCATCTGGGGGAGGAAATAGAGAAAGAAAAATGGAGGGAGAAAAGGAGAGAAAGAAACTGCTTTGAATCCATAAGTAGACATTTTGCCTCCCACATCCTGCATAATGTTAACAAATCCATGCAGGGACATGGTCTTGTTTGCAAAGTGCAAACGCCCACAGAGGAATGTAACAGAATCAAGCTAAATCTGTCATTAAGAAAATACTGAAGATTATATTTGGGAGTGTTGGTGAGCGTGAATACACATTTAACACACATTACCTCTGGCCATGTGATGAGACCGATCAGCCTTCCCCTGTCTGCCACAAACAAGGTCTGGTGTCCAATAAAACTCAGGATACTGTGGGCCTGTGATGACGCAGAGGAAACTGGATTTGAAGTAACAGATTTTTTTAAATTTGCACATCATTTTTGGGATATATGCTCATCCATTCCTTTGCAAGAGTTACATGAGACGATTGATACTAATATTCAATTGATACCAATTCTCTGTCGGCTCATCACTACGAGCCCCTTACATATTGTGACATAATTTGATACATTGCTATTATGCGAATATCAATTATATCCATTTTAACTACAGAGCTGGAGTCAGTACGGGTTTAGCTTAGCTTAGCATAGAACTGGAAACACAGAAAAACATTTAACATGGCTATGTACAAATAAAAATTATTTAATAATGATCATTTGCGACGAACAACAAATGTATCAATTTTGTGTCTAGATACAAACAAAGACAAAAGGACACAGGGTTATAATTAGTCAGCTTTAGAGTTGCTGGTTGGTGTATATTTGACCTTTGGAGAGAGTCAGGCTAGCTTCCAGTCTTTATGCTAAGCTAGGCTAATCACCTGCCAGTTTTACCCCTGTACTTAACACACACACACACACACACACACACACACACACACACAGTGTTGAACTGTTCCTTTAAATTTATCCAGACTTCCCCAAAGTCTGCCTACCTCCTGAACGGTGTTGTGAGGTGATAATAAGACTGAGTTTGGATAAATGCGACAGACTTCATCCAGATGTTTCTCCAGAACCTGCACAGAGTAGCACAAAATATACACACACATCTGTATGCACTTTCTGTCAGATGCATACTTGTCATTCAGTAGCATTCAGTATTATTTGAGAAATTATGATTCACAGTTGTTTCTGTTGCCTGACTGAACTACTTTCCTAATGTAATTCAACTACAATCCCATGAATCATTTTTTTAAAACCATTTTTAAAAGGCAGCTCTATTCTAATCACTAGATGATAAAATGAGCTTTTTACGTCAACCAGCAGTCCTGTCTGTACATCCTGCTCCCATCCTCTTTTTTGCAACTGTTTTACATTCAGTCAGTGTCGAACAGCTTGTAAAGACATGACCAGCCTTTAAAGCAGCATCAGACCGTTTAGTCATCTACTTTCACACTACAGCTACCTGTCTGAGTCCATCCAGCCTTTTTACCTCAGTCTTACAGTGACGCAGAAACATCAGCAGCTCTGATCGGAGGACAAACCCCAGTAAAACCTGCGAGTCTTCAACAGAAGAGAGGAGAGGAAATCAATTTTCTTTGCCACAGTTGGTGCTACAGTTTAGAGTGTGTGCAGCTCTCTAGTGGGTTGTGAGTTGTCTGGTGCAAACACAAAATTTTATCCATGTGATTACCGCTGAAAGGCTCAGCTGGTCGATTGACTATTTTCTCACACTTGTCAGCTCCTTATTGAGGCACTTTCACACCGCTGAATTGCTACAGTTTTCAAAACGGTTACAATTTTTCATAATTTCTCTTATATTTTTCATCTTTTCTTCTCAGGGGCTCTATGATGTGTCATAACTGTCATAATGTGTTTGCCCAGCATGCATATGACGTTTTCTTAAGGATCCTGCTGACTTTGTGCCAATATTCCACATCCTTAAATATACTCTATATTTTTGTGAGAAGATTAGCCAGAAGACTGAGGTAAAATACTGTCAAACATCTTTGCGAACCATGTGAGTCCACCACAGGGATTTGTGTTTCAGTGCTGGTGTTGACAGCATGCTGGACCTCCATTGGCACAGCTGCTTTCTGAAGCTGCACTGATTTCTCTCCCAAAACCTGTCCGACTGGTGTGGAGAGAAGCCTGCAAAAGAGATGAATCATGTCACACCTGGAACAAAAGCAGCTGTGGTGAAGAGAAATGATAAATATCAGCCTATTTATCTCAATGAGGTCAGAATTAATTCATATGGCTGGCTGACAGGTGAAATATTTGATCCGAAGACAATTCCATATTCAAAGACCCCTTTTCATTGAGGTTAATGCATTTTCAAAACTATTCTCGGCTTCACAAAATGAAAATGGTTTGATTTGAAGGTGGTAACAAAATAGTATCTGACATGTCTGACATTGTGCCCAGGTACAAACAGAGGAAAATAAGAATAGCACTGCAGTCCTCGAGTTTCTGCAGTCTGTTATAATGTACAGTGCACGTCAGAAGTTCTTGTGCCTGCTGTCAACACATTCACGGAGTAAAGCTTCAAACCAACATTTAAATGTTTTGTTTTTCCAGTGGGACTCTGGAAAAGCATTTTCAAGTAGTTTAAGGTGTCTGGCAGACAATTAGATGAGTGAGTTTGTCAGAGGAATACTTGAAGCTGTCTGCTGTTGACAAGTAGCTGTTGGCAAAAACGACATCATTTCTATCTAAGCATATCATTAGGGGCTGAAATCCAGTATGGGTGATAGAGACATGGGGAAGAAATAAACCTCAGTAGGGCTTCTAACTGCTATCACCAAGGCAGTATGGAGAAATGTTTTCCTTGACATTTCACATCTTGATCATATTTTTCAGCAGACTCCTGTCTCACAATTCTCTACATTTAGATCTGCAGCCACAACAGGAAGGAGCCGATGGTTTATTTATAGCTTTAATCCTTGCTTTCAAAGAATATTTAGCCATACTGGTGAGGAAAAAGATTGATCACAGTTCAAAATGTCAAGGTCTCCCTTTGATACCATCAGTGACAGAGTAGTTACGGAGGTTATATTGAGAGATAGTGAGCAATGATTTAATTATAGGCTGTGGCCTATACAAAAACCATCAATAAACAAAACTGTTGGATAAATGATGTGTAGATTAAATATTCCTACTTGTCCATTTACATTTCACATTTGCATGTGGTAATGAAAAGAATGATCCACAGAAGTGAATCTTCCAACAGATGTACTGTCTAGAAGCAAATTTCACACAAATCTTTTAATTAATTAGAGATGCTTTACTTTAACTGTTATCAGAAACTGTTCTCAATGCAGACATGCCCGCATACATTTTTTTTCTGCAATAGTGACTTAGGTTTTCCTTCCTCGGAACACAAATAATGGATCTGTGGGTGGGTGATGGGGTTCTTGATCAATACCTGTGACTCAGCCATTACTTGGCGGGCTGCTGAAATTTGTTGCTGGTAAAAAAAATCACAAAATCCATCCACAGCACCTGCAGGGTTGCTATGAGTGAGCATCAGGTACCACAAGACATCTCAGTTTAGAAAGTTAAACAGTCGTTATTTTGCTTATTCTATTGTGAAATGAATCAATGAATTTCCAAGACTTTTTTTCTACTGCTTTAATATTCTATGGAAACAATTTTTTGGGGGGGATTTTCAGTTTGCAGAGTCACTGCTTGTTCCCACTTCAAATAGTGTATACTAAAGTAATATCAACTAACTGCTTGCACATAGCCCACTACTATAGCTTCAATATATCACCACAGGTATCACCAGCATTAGTAACTTGCCAGAGAAAAATGGAAAATGTTTATATCTGTGATCTCAATAAGGCCTATCAGTTTGATACTTTTACTTACTGGGGGCATGCCTTCATCAGAGAAGGCAGGTGTGGGAGCCTTTTGCTGATCGAGAGCGCATCATAGAACGACGGGCGGTGCCCAGAGCGAGCCACGGCGTTGGCCAGCAGAGTGGCGAGGAAGATGGGTACAGCATGGCTGAACTCTCCAGTTAACTCTAGAGCCAGGAGAGCTGGGGACAAGGTATGTGTCACAGCCCCGGAGAAGGCTGCTGCACCTACAAGGCAGAAACCATATTAAGGTACAGTACTAATAAAGTTGTAAACTATAGTTAGTACTTATTTTGGTTTGTATCAGTTTATCAGTATTTTACCAAACATGATATGCATACATAGTACAAGTCAGTCAGATATGATGCAGTTAGATCTATAACATCATTGTACTGACAGCCCATTATTACCAAAAAATGTTCTGTTGGACCACAAGCTCAATGCTCTGAAGGCCCAGTTTTCCAAAAATACTCACTCTCCCTATTATATTGTAGTGTTTCTGGACGTGAAGGAAAGGATGAAGTAAAGGGACCTTTGCCGTCATGGTAACAATAATAAACACCTTGTGAAACAGTTGCAGTTTGGTTAGGTTAGGCATCTACTTGGTAAGATTTAGGAAAGGATCATGGTTTGGGTTAACATAAGTACGTTAGTTATTTCATTTAAGTTACGCAAAATAGTTGGTGATACCAGAATGTGTATTTTCGGAACAACATTCGGAGTAACGCGCAATAGTTTTCAAATTAATTGGAGGACAAATGAGGCTTTATTTCCAATGAAAAATTTTTGGAATGATTTTGGAATACTGTCAGAACAATGGTATAGCACCAGTTGCTGGTGGGATACTCTAATCACAAGTTCAATCTAATGCAGAATTTTAGTAGATCCAACACATATTTACATCAGAATTTCATTAAACACTATACCCACTGAATATTTTCTGGAATAAGTTTACAAAATATAGGAAGAGGCTTACATGGTACATGAAAGACGGATATAAAAACTGCAAATATATAGACAAGACATGTCATAACTATATCAACACCAAAGAGCTGTTGATCAGGTTTTTTTTACCAGCAAGTGCATAGCCCCCAGGATTTATAGAACCCCACTGCTGGCCTGAAGTCAGCCCAGTGGCAGATACATAAGCTACTCCTTCTCCAAGCAAACGGCCCAAAGCAGCCCCTACAAACAGAAATGTAGAGCTCAGTTTAGTAATTTATCATTTTAAGATTCTGGTGGGATGAGCAGGACAAATTCCTCATACTCAAATTTTTTATTTTGTGCTATTCAGGTATTCTGCAAAACAAACTCGTCCAAGTCTTTTGTCTTCACTCACCATAGACAAACACTGGCATGACGTATCCAGCTGGCAGAGGCAGAGTGCAGGCGAGGACCAACATCCACATCTGCAAACCAACAACAGACACACAGGCTGTCAAATCTCTCCTTGGCATATGAATAGACACAAAAGCTCTGCTAGCACATGTAGCACAGCAGATGGTTCACTGTCAGTCTGTGTGCTAGTAAATGTTTGCATTGCCCTCAAGTCAGTTTTGCACAAATAAATATTGAATCATGCCCATTTACATGTGACATTTGCATGTGGTAAAGGGAGAAAAAACTGCTGTAGCAAGTGGATCTTATGAGTGGGTCCTGATAAAGTAAATTTCTTACAGAGCGTCATGCATTACAGGTGCTTTGTGAGATGAGAGGTGAGATGGTGGAGTGCTTCAAATACCTAGGACTCACTCTAGACAATAAACCCTAAAGCTTTGAACAACACACAACAGACATTCACAAACGCTGCCAACAAAGACTTTCTGCCATCTGCAAACTCAAAGCTCTTTCTGTCACCCCCCCCTTTTATAAAAGTATTGTACAACCCATTCTCCTCTACTGTTCCACCTGTTTCTTTAACATGTTAACTGCCTCCAATAGAAACAAACTCATATGCATCACAAACTGCGCCTCCAAAATTATTGGTCTCCCTAGCCCCAACCTCTCAGAGCTCAACAGCAATGCCATGACACACAGCGCACACATTATAGCACACAACCCCCGGGCACCCCCTTAATCAATTTTTCACACTGCTCCCATCCGGCCGCAGATACAGATCACTAGCCTGCAAACTTGGCTATGGCAGAAGTTTCGTCTCTTCTGCCATAGCATTACTCAACGAAACTCCCCGGTAGTCAACTCAACCTGTGTTGTGTTTAGATGTCCGTGCTGTGTTTAAATGTCTATCCTGTGGTAATGTTGTGAGAATACATGTATGTACAGACTGTGGCAACAAATTTCCTGAAAAGGACAATAATAAGAATGTATCCTATCTTTACTTTGACTGGTATAAGAAACTGTTCTCAATGCAGTAATGTCCACATATGCTGCTGATATTTTCTGCAACCGTAAGAAAGGTTTTTTATTTGTTTGGAGAACAAATGAAAATAACACATCGGGATCAATACCAGTCATGCAGTCATTACCTGGCTGGCTGCTGAGATTTCTACTTGTTAAAAATTCATCTTACCACCTGCAGCGTTGCTATGAGTGAGCATTAGGTATCACAAGACATTTCAGCTGGAAAGGTTAAACAGTCTTTTGCTCGCTTACTCTACTAGAAAAATGTCAATTACTGTATGTCAATTATGGGCCACTGTGACCCGAGTGGACAAGGGGAGTGGGTGGCTGAGCTTGGCGCCTTGTTACGATTCCTGATGGGTATCAGTGCAGGTAGACAGAGAAAAAAAGACTCATTATTAACTAATTGGCCTTTCCATTGTGTGTACCTTCATGAGCAGAAAGACAGTCAAAGAAAGGTGGACAGCACTCCCTGGTGAGCTCCACTCCAACAAAGGCTGAACAGAGGCATTATGGGAGTGAGAGCTCCACTGCCTGCTATCCAGTAAGGAGGTGAGGAGCTGCTTCATGGTGTGCTGTGAAAGAGATTACTGCCATTCAGATTACTGTCTGAACACGAGAAAAAATTCAGAAGGGTGAACATTAAAGTTGATTGAAGGCTGGCATTATTCTATATGTTTCTTTTTCTCAACAAATCACATGAAATGACAAGACAATCTATTACTCAGTCTCTCGTTACTTTCCAATTTCCCTACCTTGTCTGTGACTCCCAGCCCCATTCATTCCTACTGAAGATTTAAATATTAAATAATGGGCCACAACTGATAAAAGTGTGGCCGAGGCTGATGCAACAGTTGCTGGGATATATCAGTCTGATCCATAGTGTTGGAACAACCAACCCGAAAGGCTGACATAGGACGAATATGGCTCAGAAGAATACGTTTTTGGTCTTGGTCTTTTCATGGGATTGGTTATCTTTAAGGAAAAATATAGAATATCTCCAGAAGGGCTGTACTGAATAGTTTGAAGCTTCAAAGCTCTCGCTCTCTCTGTCTCTCTGCGTGGGGCCAACTTTGAATCGTGTGTTTACAAACAGCGCCTGAGATTTACTAATTTAATCCGATTAATTTCAAATTGAGGATTGTGTTCAATGACTTTTTTTTTAGGGTGATGACAAAATATGACGAAAGACATTCAAAGCTTTATTTGAAAACCTCAACAGAAGCTTTGAATGTGAAAAAATAAATTCAGTATAGCCCTAGTCTACAGCCTTATGGTTTAAAGGCACAATCTGTGATCTGTGTACCAAAAATCAAATCATTACATTACACAGCAACTGAACTACAACACACATTTTTGATCTTGCTGTTAAAGGTTAATGTATAAGTAAAATATTTTTAATGGTGATCCGTTGAGAAAAATGTCCTAGATATAGTATGGCTCTAACTAATCGGTTATTTATGTACATCCACAAATTTTAGAAACTGAATTTTGTTCATTCCCACCTTAGAAGCCATATATTGACCAACAGAGTGGGGAAATGTCAGAGATGCCAGGAAGAAGACCACCATGCCTGAATATAGAGCCTTCCTGTGGAGAAGTGTTCACATACACAGACACCACTGTTATAATTATATAATGACCTCATTTAGGTCTTTCGATATGTTTTAATCATAGCAGTTTATAATTACAGGTAGTTTTTTACACTACTTAGATCTGCACGTACTTCTAACTGTTAAATAAGAAATATTTTTAGGTGTATAGATAAGATCAATAGGGATTTTGAAACCATTTAAATGTGGCTTGAAAGGCCCTGCATAGTATTTTATCAAATGTTGTGCTATACATAGTACCCATCTAGCTGTGTATGTAGTTACATAACACTCTGGTAAAATGGATTATCACACCATGTTTTGGGACATTGGCCCATCAAATCTGCTTGAATTGTTACTCCACCCAAAATCTAGAGTATCTGTCAGAGTCTTACACAGCAGATGACTCATCACTGCATCACAATCTGGCTTTCACAGTTTAAAGAGCTCTCACTCTGTCGTCAGCATCTTGTTGAACATCGGGTTTGTTTTGGTGAATTGCAGGATCCACCGATGGCAGAAGAGATAACAGCAGCTCACAGCTCCACACAGCAGCCTGTCTCCAGACAGAAACACCACTCAGACAAGAGAGACTAGAGGCTTATTTTAACCCAGGCAGCAATAGACTATCGGAAGTCATTAGACCTGCTAAAGTGATGCTGGTGGTGAGGAGGAGGAGGCCAGGAAATGATTGATAAGAGAAAAAAAACTCAGAATGCTAATTAGAATAGAAGGGAAACACAGGAGAAGATTCATTGTGACTGATATGAGTATGAATACCAAATATTTGTATTTGTAAGACACAGACAAAATACAGGACTTGTTGCAGATGCTGTCATAAATAAACTTACCCCAGGAAAGCAAACAGCAAAATCTCCAGCGGATAGAAAGGTAAAGTTGTGGGGAAATTAGTTTTGAACAATGCCCGAAGAGTCTCTGTGGACACAAAACAAATTAGAGTCATCACTCCAATTTCTCTCACAGCCTTTCAAAATCTAATCTTCCTTCACTTTATTGAATTGAGTTTTTACTGAAATTTACAAGCTGTCAGCTTACATTTTTCTACTAATTTTACCAATGCTGCTGTCCCTGGTCATTGTCATGACAGGTAGTAAGATAGCTGTCAACATCACTAACAAGCTTAAATGACCTACATTTACTTTTAATTTAATAACTATTGTATTAGTCTACCCTGAAGTGTGATGTTCTCACGGGAGAAAAATGCTATTTAAATTACTGGCAAACTTAAATATATAGAATAAACCATAACATTAGACCTTTTACAAATTGATGGGTACTCTGTTGATTTCAGCACATACACTATATGGCCAAAAGTATGTGGACACCTGAACATTACAGTCATGTGCAGTGGTTGAATATTTCATTCCAAAACCAAGACATTGATTTGCTGTTATAATTGCTCCCTGTTGGGCTTCCCATCAGATTTTTCAACCTGGTTACAATATAATTATACGCTGTAGCATTAATATTTCCCTTAAAAAAGGGTCACTGCTCCAACCATGACTAAATGTAAACAAAAGTATGAGGACAGGGGTGTCATACATGGCCATATAGTGTAGATGGCCATGTAAATCTACACTTCCTCAATATAATCTTAGATCTTAGATCTTGTTGTTGGGTTTGTGGCCCATTTTCCTCAGGTCAAGGTATCAGAGACTCTAAAGTGAACCTCCTCTTTGTTGACCATGAGGGGGCAAGTGCTGATTAGGGCCTTATTACCTCCATCTCCACTCCACACTGAGAACAGCCGGAAGGTTAACGCCCCACAGACGGCTGAGAAGAAACATGGGCAGTAATGCCTCAGGGCAAAGTGAGAAGACATCACCTCCACGCTGAACAACACACCTACAGGAGCAGAGGAGGGGGCAGGGGGAACAGCAGAAAAACATGGAGATGAGTCTAAGGTAGTCACAAAACAACAGGTGATATTCTCGATATATAAGATACAATTGTAAAGGAAATTCTTTTTTTGCATGTGTGGCAAAGTCACATAAAAAGGAAATGTAATAATGTGCGTATATTTCAAGTATTAATAGACAGTTTCATCTTTCACAATGTGAGTGTATGGGGTTTGAACCTGGGGTGCTGAACCCTCAACAGGGTTTCAAAAATGAAATAAACAGTGAGGTGAGAGGATCAAAATATTAGGCGGAGAGCTGATCAAAGGAGGAAGAGCTGAGACTACAGGATGAACATATAAACATGATGGAGGAGCAGAGGAGTGAGGGAAGATAAAAGGGAGTAACTATGTGAAGCTACAGAAATCAAAGGTGGAAACGCATTAGCCAGACAAGAGTAAGAAGGACAGATATAATGCAAGCAGATAACTAGAAATTGTGGATTCCTAATGTTGAACTGTTATTTGCTCCCTCACCGCTGATGGGAGCTCCGAAGCAACTGGCTACCCCGACTGCAGAGGCCACAACCAGTATTTCTCCAGCAGCTTTTTCCTAAAGAAGAAATATGCTGTCATGTCTCTTTTCAGACCTTTATATCCTACCAAAAGTAACAGTAATGTATGTAATCTTTGCTTTTTCTTAAAGCTGCATAATTTTTTGGGCCACTTGGGCTATATTATCATATCATCTGACCTGACATTATAAAGGGTGAATGTTTTATTTGCCTATTTACACATCCAGCAAACATGGAGCAACATTTGCATTTTGATAAAAGGAATCTCTACAGTGTTTTCTCCCAGTCTCTGACTGATTGAAACACTGCAAAGTGCTTTAGATGTGCATACCTTTCTCATACAAAATAATCTTGAGTCAGCGCATTCTTACTGACTTTTCAACTGTTCATTGGCATATGGAGACTACTGTTGAACATGCAGTTAGTTAGCACTGTTTGGTGCTGAGCAGGGAGTGTACAGTGGGTATATCAGAGCTTTGACTGCTGAAAACAGCTGTTTGCTACAGCTGGAAACTAGGTTAAAGAGGTTTACTGGAACACAAAAAAGTTCCAGTGATGAAGGGAACTTCAGAGTCTGATAATAATTCTCTGTGGGTTTGTCACTACGAACATCACCTTATACATTATACATGTGATAGTCATGATCCATTGTTTATATAAAAAATATGCATTAGAACAGCCTTAGGATTTAATTTGTACCTGTAGGTGAAAGGTTTTAAATAATCGTACAACTAAAACTAAAACTAAACAACTGTGGGTAAAGTGGATAAACTCTTCACTACATTTGAATGAGTTTACTGTGGTTTTACCTTATTTTTGGCTTGTACAAGTGTGCAGAGATTGCTCAGGTAGACTCCAACCATGGTGGAAAGATGCACAAAAGGACCCTTTGGCAAATATAGAAAAATGTTTTCATACCGAAGCAGACAACATACGTTTTAAGACTCGCTGCATATTTTGAATAACAAACAGGTATACTGAGATGTCTCTCACCACTTTCCCCAGGAAAACAGTGCTACCGGCTGCCAGTGTACAGATAAGGCCCAGGAACTTGGTAAACATATTAGTGAGAGACAAGTAATGAGGCATTTCAATACCAGCCAGCATGGTCCTCACCTCTGGTATCCCCGAGCCTGAGGAGAAATTAAGCAACAGGACAAGAGTTTTGAAAGACCCAGAGGTACCAAAGCATTTAAGAATACAAAAACAGAATACACAGGAATGATTTCAGAATAATTAAATAGAGGGTAACCGTATAGCAAGGACTGATATTTCTGGAAACGACGCTGTGTTTACGGAGATTTTTTTCTAAACGAAATCGTATTGGGTGATGCCGCGTATTCGTGTGGAAAGGCCCTAATAGTTTTTGAGAGCAATGTCATTAGGAGGGGCAGAGGCCACAAACATTAACATGAAGCTGATTGGGGCTGGGGGGTAAATTACTGTGGCAGAAAGGGTGAGGGAGTGTCTCTGAAGGTGGAGCTATGCTCTCTTCATTCATGTCATATCACACCCAGCCTGCTCCTGCACCGCCTTCAGCACCTGCATACACTCCTTATAGTACACAGATAAAATCATAGTTGACTTTTCATGCAATATGTCTCCTTCTATCACTCACTGGATATGAAAGATAATATCACACTTGACTTTTTCTTAATGCCATTCACTTCAAATGAGAAAGAAAGATGTTATGGAAAGAAACCGAGGAAAATTAAAGACACACACGAGTACAGAACGTCTTTCGTCTTTATCTCATCGGCACTGCATCCTGTAATGTAGTGGTTCTCAACCAGGGGTCCGAAACCCCCCAGGGATCTGTGAGTAATCAAATTACAATGTATCCTTACAAAGCTCTACAAGTTAGTTAGTCCATCTGATCTTTGCTCAGCCTATAGCTTTATACCTTCCATAATAATAAATAACCATGTAAAGAAATAAATGACTCAGAACAGTGTCATTTATATATATATATATATTAGCTAGCTTGTTTCTCACTTGTAATAGTCATTAGTTTAGGGATTCAGTAGTCAGTCAAGTCAGTAAATTCAGTAAACTCAGAGCCATGCATATTTGCCAGACTTTTTGTTTTTGTTTAAACCATTACAGTAAAAAACAAGAACTGAAAATGTTTTTTGATATGCTATGTAACTGTTGTTGGACAGACCTGTGGAGAAGGGACAGATGTTGTGGGAGAAAGATGATGCAACAGCACAGAGGCATGCTGGGTAAAGAGTCCAGCAGAAGAACTGTAGCAGACTGTTGCCCTCCAGCTTCACATAAAGCCACTGGTGAGCTACAAGTGGAGTGAGAGAGAAACATTAATAATCTGTGCCCTTTGCTCACTCAGACTGTGTCCTGTAAATCAGTGTGTGAGTGTGTGTGTGTGTGTGTGTGTGTGTGTGTGTGTGTGTGTGTGTGTGTGTGTGTGTGTGTGTGTGTGTACCTGTCAGCAGTTTTGTTACACTTAGGTCCATGAGGAAGCTGAGGATGGCAGTCAAAATGCCTAGAGCAGCGTAGGCATACCACTCCATCCCACACACGGTTCCTAAACAACTGATTAGCTTCATCAGCCACTCTGTGGACACAAACATGGGTTAGTCTTCCTAAAGTTCAGTTTGTGAGGCCAGACAATGGTACCAAAGCCTCAGAGGGCTCTTAAAAGGTTAAAGTTCCCCTCTAGACATGTATTCCATTTCCGACATACACACAAATAGTCTGCTTGGAACAATAATGTGGTCTTTTTTCCTTCCACCTAATTAAAAATGAAAAAAATATGTAAATTGTTTATTGTTCATTTCTAAAGTTGTCCTGCTGGACACAACACATCTCCTACTTCCCTGCAAAGTACATGAATGCACATGAATGTGAAAACATTCTTCCTCCAACTGTAGGAGGAAGGAGAAAAACACTTTCTTTGAGTGGAGAGGGATGTTAAGGTTATTCTAAGCCTCAGTTTTCACGGGATGAGGCTATAAGACTCTCCAATTAGAATGCGGTCTGATGCAAATAGTAATTGAATAGAAGAAAAACAATACAGACAAAATGTAATACAATAAGGCATTATCTACCTGTAGCTATAGTATACATATATATAAACACATATGAAATGGAAATTGTAGCATTTGTGCAGGGTATACAACAGATCATAGTTATGTTTGCATTAATTGATGATGAATATATGAATATTAACATAATAGGGAATAGCTTTAAATATCATCATTAAAGTCTCCTAGCATATTGATTGTGTTGTCCTTGAACTCATCAGTAATCTATGACTTCTCAAAATAGCTACTCTCTGATGTATTGATCAGCATTGATCACATTCTAATGATTCTCCTTCAGACTGACCTTTGACAATGGCACGGGTCCGTCGGCATGGTTTCCATGGCTCAGCGAGAAGCAGACTCTTATTATGGGATGTCTCAGATAGATTTTCTCGCTCCGAGCTGTGGTTCAGTCTGACGGTTTCACTCCCAGGAGCCTCGTCCAGGTTCTTCATTCTGTCTGGAAGGTTTGTGTTATTGTGTGATTAAAATAGTCTCAAACAAACACGGAGGCTCAATGATGATTGTTAATGCTCTGATGCAGGCTGTTATTGCTGAACAGAAGACAGATAGACGTACCTTCTAGTTGCATCTGTTCATATAGTTATGTGCGTGTGTAGTGTACAGGTGTGGCCACCACTGACCTCTGTAAAGGTATTAGCATAGAAGTAATGGAGCAGTCATGGTTGAAAGGGTAGCTAATATTAACTCTTTGGAGGAACAAGTGCCCTTCATCTGTTGTGATGGCAGAAATGCAGTATGAGAGACATTTCCATGCTTCTCTGCTTTTAAATAGGTTTTTGGTAAAATTATCAGCTGTACTGCTAAAAATAAATAATCTCATAATACCTGTTCCAGTCTATTATCCCATATGCAAACACGAGGTATGACAACTGGTACTACTACTGATTATAATGATAATACACACCGATCAGCCTTAACATTATGACCACTGACAGGTGAAGTGAATTATCTGGTTATCATGGCACATGTCAGTGGGTGGGATATATTAGGCAGCAAGTGAACACTTTGTCCTCAAGTTGATGTGTTAGAAGCAGGAAAAATGGGCAGCGTGAGGATCTGAGCGACTTTGACAAGGGCCAAACTGTGATGGCTAGACGACTGGGTCAGAACATCTCCAAACCTGCAGCTCTTGTGGGGTGTTCGGTCTGCAGTGGTCAGGGTGCCCAGGTGGTCATAATGTTATGGCGGATTGGTGTATCTGTGTGGTGTAATATATTACAGATTGTCAAACCTTTCAAAAGTCATGAAGGAACTTTGATGCTTAGTTTGGTATCAGTATTTACCAAATAATAATTTTCTACTAGCAGAGATTACTGGATGCTTTACGGGAAGTTATAACCATGTGAAGGAGATTAAGGACAGGAAAGACATTCCAATTAAAATAGATGAGAAAAACATGAACTGGAGATGAGATGAGATGGAGGTGACTGATGCCTTCTTCGAGCTGCAAAGTGAGGGTTATGGTTTAAAGTTGTTACACAGACCATACATTTACTGTGCGCCCTAATGGAAGTGCCAAGAAGTCCCCCAATTTTAGTTTATAATAGATTATAATTATAATAAATCTGAGCATAAAGCCTTTAATTCTGATATTTAACGGGTCAAAATTACACATTTGTAGAATAATTCAACAAGTTTAAGAAACAAAGCGGTGAATTAAAAGTGTTCTTGTGCTTATCAGTCCTTCATTATTCCCAGAAGAATACTATTCAGTGTGTGACATTTAACGGCTCAGATGAATATGAGCACATGTCATTGCTCTGACCTTCCTGTCAGTGATTGGCATTAAAGATGGTCATTTGAATCCTCTAAATGTCCGAATCTTTGTAGGAAATCAAGCAGCCTGCTCAAGGTCAAGGTAATCATTGTTCAGATCCTGGAACACACACACACACACACACACACACACACACACAGTTCCACCTCCCCTTTAGGCTTTTAATTAGCACTTCTGTTATAATACAGATTTGTAATCTGCATGCAGTGAGCGTCAGTCACACACACACACACACACACACACACACACACACACACACACACACACACACACACACACACACACACACACACACACACACACACACACACACACACACACACACACACACACACACACACCATGAAATGTACACACATACAGACTGCTTTTCTCAGTATAAAAACTTGTTTCCATGGGAACAGCACACCGAGGCGACTCGAGAGCCAGACAGGAGGTTATTTTACCCTCATAAACAATCATCGTTGCCTGAGAAGTTTCGCTTCAGGCATATAATCGGCTATATAATAATTTTTCTATATAACAATCTGAGTGAGCAGTGTGAAGTCAATATGAAATACAGAACAATATTTATTAGCTGAGATTTGAAGGTGTTCTCAAAACAATATGTCATTGAACTGAGAGGGACAGAAACAGCAACACTAATGTTAATTCAATAATAACACAAACTTGAGTGCAGGTATAGAATGTGGTGCATGTCTTAAAGCTACACTAATCAATATTTTTATATGAAGAATGGATCAAATGGCTATATGTCATGTGAAAGAGGTGGCTCGCTTTTAACTGATTGTTTCGGTTTTCTAAACCACTAACTCTGCTCTCATCAGCCTAATTTTTCAGCAGACAGCTGTTTCAGTGAAATGGTTCCGATAAACACACTGTACAGTCACCAAACACAGACAGACAAAGTTAGCAACTAGTTAGCAACATTGTTCACATGGCCAGAAACAACTTCAAATGAATGCTAATGTTGCTTCCCATTTGCTGAATGTAAATAGGCAATTATATGCAACTTTATAAGGTGATAATATGACAGATTAGGGTTTTCAGCTTGTTCCGCCTCCAAGTGGCCATAAATATGCATTAATGGAGCTTTAAAGGGAATATTTTAAAACACATTTTTCCCCATATAATGGTTGAATGATTAGACTGATAGCAAAGATAAAAAAGCAGTCACTTTTAGACACTGAAATTGAATAAAATTGATTTCTATTTGCGTGACTTGTCTGTTATTGGATTAAAGAACAGTTGCATAGTTTTTACAGAAAGTTAAACAAAGCAGTTTACTCACTCCAATAAATGAACATCCTGTATTGTGTTTCAATCTTAATTTAAGGTAGAAAAACAAATACATTTAAATCAAACATGTCGGTACATGTTTGAAGGTTTTTCAAACATTGCGCAGCTTTTTATAGAGAATGATTTCCATAAAAGCCGGTGAATGGAGACCTTGGTCTTAGTGCCTTTGTTATTCAAGAATATCTGTAAAACAACATTTAATTACAAAACTGACCATCTACTTATGACCTTCCAGCTCCGCACAGTCTATTACTGTGGGATTGGTCCCTCTGTCTGCAACATTATGTAACAGCTGAGGCACACATGAGCCAACCACAGGAGGTGTGTGCGTGTGTGTGTGTGTGTGTGTGTGTGTGTGTGTGTGTGTGTGTGTGTGTGTGTGTGTGTGTGTGTGTGTGTGTGCGTGTGTGTGTGTGTGTGTGTGTGTGTGTGTGTGTGTTTTATTGTTGGTCTATTTAGGCAGATAGGAATACACATACAAACACACATGTAGAGGTGACTCAATGTCAGTGGTGAGATTACTGACAGCTGGATCAGATCGACACTCTTACATTTCTTCCTCCCACTCTGTTGTCATTCTTGTTTGTAATAATCCTGTGTTCCTGGCCTGCACCCTGAAGTTATTATTAGCAGTATTTCATCTTATTTATTTATTGGTAATTCTCGTATTTCTTTAATGCTTAACTTAATCGCAGGATAAACATTATTTATCCTGATTTTTAAGCATTGTTCATGTATCTACATTCACTTTGACCTTGTTGAATGACTCAAGGTGTCAAGCTGGAAATGAGATCAATCTTTTCTTTGAAGTTGTGAAGGTGCTATGATCCGTTGAGCTTTCCAGCTTTCCAGCTTTCCAGCACACACACACACACACACACACACACACACACACACACACACACACACACACACACACACACACACACACACACACACACACCTCTTTCGCATCTTAACAACCAACAATAATGAAACCCACAGAGAAATAAAGAGAGAACTGTGTATATTCTGCCACGGTCATCACCCTTACCCTTCTTATGTAAAGTGTGAGGATATGAACAATTATTCAACTCCTTCAGATCTTAAAAGGCACCCTTTGGATTATCACTTATTTAAACTTTAAAAACATCTGCACCAGATTATTCATGATTTTAATTAATTAGCAATGACAGACTTGTATAGATGCATGAAAAGTAATAATCCAATCCAATCCACTAATTATTCCACTAATAATTTCAACAACATAAATTATATTGTAATTAAATATTTAAATTATATCATCTAACAGGCAATAGACTTCATAGGTTCTCATTCTAGACTTTTAAACTCCTTTAATGCAGACTGTGACAGTGCTGTTCTCTCTTTGCTAATTAGTCTTGGAAATGGTTTCCAGGTGAATGCAACAAACATCACTGTTGGCTGTTGTTACTGTGTTTTCCAACCATTCCCCATCCTTTTTTCTCTGTTTATTCATCTCTCTGTTATCTCAGTGTGTCCTTCCTATCACTGCTCCATCTTACACCATCTCATCTTTGTCCAACTGTTGTCATCTCACCCATCAGTGCACATCTTATACTTCCCCCACTGTAGCTTCCCACCCTTCTTTCATTCTCACCCAATAATTCCTCCAGAATAGCAGCCTGGTCAGGCAGAGCTGGTGGATTTGGGGAATCTTATCTGATCCCTTGTCACAGGATGTTTATGGGTTGAAAGAAGTTCAACTAAAGAGTAATGGACCCCATTCTTTTTATTGAAAAAGCCTGAAGAGTATAAAAAAAACCAGTCCTATGAAATGTTTTCAGCTTTTTGAAAATTGATACCAGCTGAGAACAGTTTGTCTTTCTTGTGTTATGAAATCTCCCCCCCCCCCCCCCAAACAAAATGATTCAGGGATCAGTAAAAATAAACAAATAAATAAATCATTGACATTTCATAACACATTTTCAGACCACCACTCTCTTTGGTCACCATGACAGCTCATTCAGAGGTGCATAACACTGTCTTGTCAATTTGAATAGAATGAACTCACAGTATTACTGCTGTTACTGGGGAGGGGAGGAGGCTCCTTGTGCTCGCTGTCAGGGAGGTTGGTGAGTTGCTGGGCTGGATTTAGACCTCCAGCAGGAGGCTCTGAGCCCTATACTGATAAGACTTGAAGCACATATCACTGTCATGTCATTTGTAATGCTGGGTAACCTTTCGAACAAGGCAGCAAAACAAAAGACGTCAACCTTTGTGTATTTCATTTCAACAGTGGACTGCCTTGAATTTCAATTTCAGGATGCCTGTGATTGCAGATATTTGATATTCGGGGCTGAGAAAGTGGGGTCAGTCGATAAATCAAAAGTGATGTGTTGTATGCGTCATATACAGGTCATTATAAGCAACCATTTGAAAAGATAATACGTAATGTCAGTGAGCCCATAAATGGATTTTAATGGATTAGCTGTCAGCAGCACTGACTAGAGAGGAGAGCTGTGAGTGTTTTCTAATCATGATGGGCTGTGCTCTCCATGGAGATATTAATAGCCACAAAGCAATGCCACTACTAAGTCCCTTGCTCCCACTGACGGCTTTGTTTTCAAGCGCATTCTTTCCATCTTTGTTTTGCTCTCAACTTATCCTCTGAGATAACAGACATGGCCCCTTTTTCCCTTTTCGCCTCACGTTCCTCACTCCATCCAGCACAGTGGGAGAAAACAGCGACCAAAGCAATCATTTGGTGTCGTGTGTATATCCATTTAATAAATAGATAACTTGAAGTGGGACTTTAGTTGAAAATGGGGCAGAAATCTTTCTAATGAGACAAAACTGTGCTGTGAAAACACTGGCTACTATGTCATTTAATGGCAGAACCATGTGAGGATCCAATTTCAGAACAAAGGCATGACACTGAATATTAAAAAAGCAGAATAAAGCAGACAGATGGAGCAATGGAGTGCAGGGATAATTAAAGAGGGAGCAAAGCTATTTCAGGGATAGTGTGTCTGAAATGACAACTGTTGCCCCCCTCGCCCCCTGCTCTTTCTCTACCTCTCTCTATCAAATCCCGCTCTCCCTCCTGCTCTTAACCTCTGGGTCTTCAATGCCCAGAACTTTTCCAACCACAGCCCCTTCTCTCCATCGCTCTGTGCGTCTCTTGATAAATATAGAACACTATTACCCTTTCCCAATGAGCTGTGACACACGTGCACACCGCCCAACCACGCTGGGGACCATACACTATATAAGGGCCAAGGATGAGTGGCTGCAGGAGAGTGGGAAAATAAGTGATCTTACCTAACACAAACAAGAAGAAAACAAATAGAAAGAAAAGGAAAGAAAGGAAGACTGCGTGTATTATTTTTTGCATTTAAGCCCCTGGAAGACTCCCAGACCAGCCACAAGAGGAGTCAACTCTCTCCGCCTCCCTCTTCCCTCCCTTTACTCTCCTCCTCTGCCTTACCCAGCACTCTCAGCCATCCATGAGTGTGACCAACTCCTCTGCCTATCGATCGGAGCGCAGTTTCCACCAGACTTCATCCTCGTCCTCGTCCTCATCCTCTAGTAACCCATACATGGAGAAGAGCCGGGGACTGTTCACTGAGGACTTTGGCTCCTTCATGAGGCCTGGGAGTGACGCCTTGGGGTTTTCCAGTAAGTTGGAAGCAATTTTAGTTCTCTGTATTTCATTTTGTATATAAAGGTAGTTTAAAAATAACAGCAACAGCAGCTTGGTGTGACAGTTTTGACTGTAAAGTAGATTTATGTCTGTGCTTCGGAGGAATTTGTTTAAAGTGTGGTGTTTTGTCCATAAAGTGGTAATAAAACATGTCTGAGTTCAGAGGAGGGAGACAACAGGCAGGAGTTCAAAAGGACTCTGGTGTGGTTGATGTGTGTGGACAAATGTGTTTCTAAGCGAGATAGTAGCCATGGTGAGGGAAAGAACAGATACACACAATAGAACACACTGTATTTTTGTAGAAATGGACACACTGTTTGGCTTCCTCTTTTAGGTTTTCCAGGCATTTGTGTGTTCAAAATACACAATAAGGTCAGAAGACATTTCACTTTATAGCGCCTGCTTCATCTTCCTGCTCAGTTATGTGTGAAGCCAGAGTGAACTGTCCTGTGTCGGTTCACTGCTGGTGCACACAGACTTGTGAATGTGTGACATCTGAACTTTAACTGGACTCACAGTCCATGTGGTCCATGTGCCTGGGGCAGAGCACAATTGTTTTGGTTGGTATGCTATAGGCGCAACGCAGGAGCCTGAGGGTGGGTGCAGCTAATGGGAAAGCAAGCCACACACATGCACGCACGCATGCAAGCTGGGGAATGCTGGACAGGCTGCCAGCAGTGTGACTTCACACACTGAGTATCCAGAATGACGCCTGCATAAGGAATGACCAGATGGTTACCCGGTGACCGGTGTACACACCAAATACATACACACACAGTTGGAGTGATGTCACACGATCAAACGAAGCTGCATTATGTGAAGTCAAAACTAATATCACACGCACACTCATTTCCATCCTGGTGACGTGTGTGACTGGGGATGACTGGCCAGTGGATCAGACTATGACTATCATGTTTCTCTACTGTATCCTGTTACTGTTTGCTGCTGCCGTGAACCTGTTTTCCCATACAGCTAATTAAAGCTGTGTTAATAAGTATTTTTTTATATTAACAATGAATCAGATGATTGTCTGTAATGCAAAAGGTGTTCTTCATAGTGACAAACCCACGGAGAATTATCACTCAACTGTTCCCCTCAGCTATACAGCACTTTCAGCCTATTTGAACTCATGGTTGTTGTTTTGTTCTGGCTCTGAAACCTGTGAAAAAGGCCTTAACTTATCTATTGTTCCTTCCTCGCTAAATTTGTAGCCAATTCTAATGATCATGATAATGGTCATCATTTTTAATTTTTCAGTTCAAAAAAAAAAAAAAAAAAAAAAGAAAACACCACCTGCTGGTATTGTAATTATCACCAGTCTGCAATTATCAGACCAGAGAGATGTGAGTGTACCCTCTTTAGGAAGTAGCTTAAATGAAAATTCAGTGAAAATGAATTGGCAAAGACAGAAATGTAGACGTTGCCTATTCCTGTTTCCCCCTGTGATCTAACATCATTTCTCATTTTGCTGTGGGTTTAGGTGGAGCTGGAAATATCAAGGCCCTTGGGGATTCCTATCAGTTCACGGTTGACGTGCGAGACTTCTCCCCTGAAGATGTCATCGTCACCACATCCAACAACCAGATTGAAGTTCATGCAGAAAAGGTGGGCGGCCTTCTTTGATCTGGAACGGTAATATGAGTCTCAAGGTGCTAAAACGATGTTAGGACCTTGAGACTGAAATCTTGGCAGGTTGCAGTAGTTGTCTAAATGTGAGCAGACCAATCACTTATCACAGCATGTATCTTCAGTCCCAGTAAATTAAATTCACTATTATTCTGTCGTGTCTTGTCTTGGACAGTTGGCCCAGGATGGCTCAGTGATGAACACTTTCACACACAAGTGCCAGCTACCTGAGGATGTGGACCCCACCTCAGTGACATCATCACTGGGTGCAGAGGGGACGCTAACAGTCAAAGCACGGCGGCACCCGGCCAAACACGAGCTGGTACAAACCTTCCGCACTGAGATCAAGATCTAGAGAGGGACCCACTTCCTCATCACAAAACCTCTCACTTCTTTGCATTTTTATGCTGCGTCCTCTATTTCTTGTCTTCACTGAAACCATTCTACTTTAAACACAGAGTTGGCACTGTGCTCTATAAAACATGCCACATCCTCCCATGACTACAACAAGGCCTGTTGCTGCTCATTTAGCTATATTCTGAGTTATTTCACCAGCAGCAATAGGTCATACCTGCACATAACATATTGAGACACAGGGGCTTGGACATGTACAGCATTTGGACAAAGACACAGAAATTAACTGATCAGTTCACTACTTCACTCCTTTCTTCAAACACAGTTCTAAAAACCTTTGCCACGTTAATAATAATTTATTGTATATTATTATTATTTGTGTGAATAAAATGATCCTGCTTTGACAATAAACATACGTCAGTGTCTTAGCCTTTTTATGGATGTATGGCATGACAGATTGTAACGTATGGGCCAGGAGTTTGGGAAGAGAGCTGGTTTTAGTAGCTTTTGCATGTATTACTGTCTTTATTCAACATGATGATGAATTAATAACCTATTTTGAAAGTATGACTGACTTAACACCATTGCACCACTAATACAATAATAATAGTGAACGCTATAAGACAAACTACTCTCAAAATCAACAAAAAACACTGAAGCATTAAGTAATTCTGTTTATTATTCTTCAAATATACATGGATCTAACATAATCAGTACTGTACAGCACAGTGGTTCCCAGATGGTGTGCCATGAGACAATCAGGTGTGCTGTGATATACTATGACAACCATACTGCAATATACAATGATACAAAAAGTTATGCATTCATTTTTAATTTACTATATCAGTGGCCTACTTTGCACGCACTTTGTAATTACATTACCTCATTCCTGCTGGTTTAAATGGGTGTGTTGTTGCTTTGATGCAATTTTACAAAGTTTCAAATAAATCTTTATAATATTTTGTTAATAAATATTTCATGAATGACAAGTTATTTGTCAAATTGTATTTAGCATTAGTAAATAAAAAGAAATGTTAACAGAATGGTAAGAGTGACACAGACGCTAGAGGCTTTTTTTCACTGATATGAATACAAGTGTGACTTTAGGTTTTGGCTGGCCCATATGTTCCCTGAGCACAAAAAGTTTGAAAACCACTAATATAGCACACTATGACCTAAAATTCAAATTTAAGAAAAATAAAGATGAGTTAACGCATTACAGGTGGGTTTATAGATGTCTATACAATAAACTGTATGTGTAACTCAGGTTATGAATATCTTTAGTGTTGCCGTGTGTCACCTACAAGAACTTTATTATCAACAGTGTATCACAGAGCTCGAGCCACAGCCATCGAGTCTATTGCGCCACCACGCGGTCATCATCAGCACAGCGCGTGTTCGCACTGCGCGTGCTCCAGTGACACATCCGGCCGGTCCCTATCAATCGATCAGAGAGAGGAAGATGGTGGTGGATGGAGTTAGCGGAGCAAGATCGATCACCGAAAAACTCGATTGGGTCTGTTTATCTCAAGTGAGTCAAACACTCCGGAACACCGCCTGGTCCGGCGGTTTGAAGCCGGAGTGAAGAAGCGATAACAGGAAGGTAATTCAGAAGTTAGTTTATGTTAAAATGGCGCTTGCACGAAGCGAAGAGAGCGAGCTAGCTGCGAAAACAACAAGGGATGAAGACAGGCCCGACTCGTCGCTCCGCCATCTTGTTCCTTCACTACATGCATGTCAAGGCACGCTAAATTAATCCCTGATAACAAAGCTGCAAGGATGGAGGAATTGTAATCGATGTATTGCACCGTCAAACCAAGCTGTCAAAACTTTTATAGAAGCGTGCTAAATTTCCAGTCACAAAATGAATTTACTGATGTTTAAGACCCCGATAGTTTGTGTCTAGATTTCAGCTGAAGCTAAACTGTGGTGTCATTCTGGTGAATTTCGCCATTTGTGGTTTACTCAGCTTTATGAAAGCTAGCTCACCTGTATTTTTGACTGATTGTTTTTTCATTGTTTGAACAGTTTGGGTTTAAAGTCTCAGGTACTGACGGTACTGGCTCGTACAGCACAAACCACACTTTCTACAAGATAAATAAAGTAACTTAGCATATTTTTATATTAACACAAAGCAAGACATAACCCTATACAAATGTTATTGTTGCACTGTAAAGTGTATTGATACAACCCATTGATCTAACCTTAGTGATGGATTCAAACCCAGATGGAACAGACGGTTCATTACATGTAAATATGAGTGAATTACAGGATGAAGTTGCACTGTTTTGCCAAACATTTTTGGTCAGATTACAGTAGGTCCATGTGGCAGTTTGACATGTGAGTAATGAGAATGGGGCTACTGTCGTTTTTGTGCTTCTTTCAAGCCAATGTGCTATTTTTTGGCTAATAACAATAGTACTTTATTACATTGAAATGATAAAATAATATAAATCCATTCATTAAAGTTCCTAGCTACAGTTTTAATACTGTGTAACTTTATTGATATAATAATATATAATATAATACTTTATTTTACTCACTTATATGGTTTTTGAGAGCTGATACTACTGTTTTTCCAGTGATGGCCTGTTTTGTTTAACATCTTTCATCTCACACCCTGGAATGAGCTTTAGTTGTCTCAATTACTGATAAAACTAGATTGCTTTACTGCTCAGGGAGGGGAGACAGTCAGGTGAACAACACTGATTGATTGGCATTGATTAATAAAAGGCCAATGATTATCATGCCAGTGCACAAACTGATACTACTGGTCCAGCTGACTATCAGCCTTTCCCTAATGTTACACATGTGACTCTATGCTTGTTAGCGGTCCACAACAGAACCTGTGCCTGCCTGCCAGCCTCTTCCACCATCCTCAAGCCTTCAGGACAATGGAGTTCCCATGGCACAGTGGGAAGGTCCTGGAACAGCTCAACCGCCAGCGCAAGCAGGGCCTGCTGTGTGACTGCACCTTTGTTGTGGACGGGGTGGACTTCAAGGCCCACAAAGCTGTCCTTGCGGCCTGCAGCGTCTACTTCCGCACTCTCTTCCTGGACCAGAAAGATGTGGTGCATCTGGACATCAGCAATGCAGCAGGTGGGTTCCTGTCAGACTGTGGACACATGTTTCTGCATACTTTCACATTGTGGATTTAATTGATTTTTGTCATCTTCAACTGCTCTGACTTTGCATACCATCACAATGCCTTACTTAAATAATAGTAGATGTGCTGTATAACCAGACCTGTTGTATTGTTGATTATCGTTTCAGGTTTGGGTCAGGTCCTAGAGTTTATGTACACCGCCAAGCTGAGTTTAAGTCCACAGAATGTAGAAGATGTGCTTGCTGTTGCTAACTTTCTACAGATGCAAGAAATTGTAAATGCCTGCTCTGCGTACCAGTCAATAGCAAACCCAGCTCCGTCCCTCATAACACTGGATTTTGCTGTTGGTGAGTCCATTCAGACTTTTGAGCTTTGAGCTGATATTAACCATTTATTAAAATTTGAATCTGGTAAAGTCTTTCTCTGATATGATGATTATGATACAATTCATGAAATCATGAATTTGACATTTTGTGCAAATTTGATCACTACTTCTACTCTGGTTACTTACTACTGTTTGTGATAAACTGTTAACCTACAATTCAATAATTGTCCACCATATTCTATTAAAATAAAGAAACATTTCTATCTAATCGTTGAATAAACCAGAAGAAAAAACAGGTGGAGTAGAGCAGAGAGAGGAACCGGAGAGTGACCTGGCAGAAGTGGCAACACAAGCCGAGGAAAGTCCTCCTAGCACCCCCATAGAAGACAAAGAGCCCACACAAAATCAGGAAGACTTAAAGGAAGACATCTCTACTGAAACAAAACAGCCTGTTTCTCAGCCCAGCCCTGCCAGAACCCACTCAGGCCGAGGACGACCCCCCAAAACCACCCCTGTTTCTGCTCAAAAGAAGACATCTGTAAAAAAGGAAGAAGAAAGTGTTGGATTTCAGGACGATCCCTCTGACACTGACTACACGCCCAGTAAGTACATAGTTATAGAATGTCTGTCCTTTTGTCATCTGTTGAAGGTCCACATGATGCATTACAGTGTGTGTAACAAGTGTTCATCTTTCTATTTGTCCAATAAACTAAGAAATACTTTCGCTTTTGTTTTCAGAATTCCAGTTGAAATCTGCTGGCCGCTCATCCTACATGAGCTCTCGGGGGAGAAGAATCAGGAAACCTCCTCGACGAAACTTCCCACCTGGTGAGCAGGTTGCGCTGGTTTACTCTGCTGCATCAACCCACATGACAGCCCTTTTCTCTAAGCTTTGCACTGGTTGTGGAATTTGTATTGTCATACAGAAACATATTACAGACAGTAAAAATTGTCTAGTAATTATTCTATTGTATAATTATTCCACACTAAATTCCATGTATCAGTTACAGGCTTAGAGTTTTAAGTGTCTTTCTGAAACTGCAGAGACTTATTATATATGATTTATTTTATATTATATTTTATTATTATAGCCATTGTCAGACTCCAGACAGTATGTCGATTACAAGAGTTCTGTGTTGTCACCCTCGTAGACAATGACTCAGAGGATGAAGGCACATCAAGGACAAAAACTGGGAAGAAGTTGGCAGAGCCGGCAGAAGTGGCCGGAGAACAGGAGGACGACCCAGAGGAGACCGGCGATGGGGAAACTGCTGATGATGATGAAGAGGAGGCTGGTGAGGAAGACGGCGAGCTAGTGGATGGAGTTGATTCGAGCAGCGAGGGAGAGGGCAGGCAAACTCAGTCCGCATCTATGAGCAGCCGATCCGAGTCGAAGCCTTACAGCTCCGTCACACACGAATGTGAGGTGAGAAATATCCGTCTGGGTGCAGGAGGGAGGAATAAAGTAACTTTTGTGCTTACATTTTTGTCAGACGGAATGCTGTTTTTAACTTGTACATATCAACTTTTTCATACAAGCTGTGGATTAGCACTGCTCGTCACTGGAAGAGAAAGCCCCAGGAACACTGAGCTCTTTAACCTAATGCATTCTCAATGTCTAATTTGCAATATAATATTTATTTGCGACATTTTGGTACTAGACTTTTATAATTTTGCCGGGGGGTTATTTTTGTAACTTCTGATCTACTCATCCCACTCCTACACACCTGTCTCATTAAATAGATGTGCAGGATTTTTTCCGCCAGCTCACTCTTCACAACATGTTTTTCTTCTATCTAGGACTGTGGGAAGAAATTTACCCACACTGGTAATTTCAAGAGACACATGCGTATTCACACAGGAGAGAAGCCTTTCAGCTGTCGGGACTGCAACAAGGCTTTCTCTGACCCGGCAGCCTGTAAAGCCCACGAGAAAACCCACAGGTGAATTACTCACATTTAGTTTACCTGCACTATGTTTTACCCACATAGGCCTACTGAGCTCTGCCAAGTTTGTATGAAATTAAATTGAGCTCTCATTGCCCATTAGCCCTCTGAAGCCATACTGCTGCATGACCTGTGGAAAGAGCTACCGCCAGATCAGCCTGCTCAACCTGCACCGCAAACGCCACACAGGCGAGGCGCGGTACAGCTGCGAAGTGTGCGGCAAGCTCTTCACCACATCTGGCAACCTGAAGCGCCACCAGCTGGTGCACAGCGGCGAGAAGCCATACCACTGTGACTTCTGTGAGAAGGCCTTCTCTGACCCCACCGCCAAGATGCGACATCTGGAGACGCACGACACGGAGAAGGGCAACAAGTGTCCACACTGCGACAAACGCTTTAACCAGGTAATAACATGTTCTGGAAGGTTTTGCTTCTCTGTGGAAAAACAGAAGCCATAATATTTTAATATTAAACATTATATATTATACCAACATAATGCTATGAATGCAGATTTTCAGACAAACGTTATAATATCTTTAATTGTAGAGTTGCAACATGAACATATAATTGCCAGTAAAATGTTATGGAGCATACTATATCAAATGTGTTAACTCGTTATCTGATTCTCTGTTTTCTTTAGGTGGGAAATCTTAAGGCTCACTTAAAAATCCACATCACTGACGGACCTCTGAAGTGCAAGGAGTGTGGCAAACAGTTTACTACTTCAGGTAAGAACATAGTATGACCATATGTTATATTTATATAAGGAGGTTGAAGTTTTTAACCGAAACAGATGAAAGACTTCATTTCTCAACAAATTGAAATTCTACCCAAACTCTCTCAAACGTGACGATTCCTGCTTTTCTCCTTTTTTATGATTGTAAATAGCATGTGTTTAGGTTTGGGACTTTTATATGACTGTGAATTGATATTCGTTAGTTGCCACCCTACTGTTGTCACATGATTTCAGTTAGAGTTAGTGAGCCGCTACCAGTGGTGTGAATACACAGAGCCACAGTTAACTAGTCATACAAACGCCCTGTTGTACGTGAGCCTGATAACTGAAATGTGAGATTTTGTGGTGTGGGGGGATCTGTAAGGGGGTTGACTGACATGACGTAGCATTTACTGAGCATTTATAATCATCTACCACCTTTTCAAACATTTATATGTTATTTCAACCATTCAGAAGAATGGCATAAAGTATACAGTGGCACCCATTAGTCAGATTTTTTTTAACCATTTTATCTGGAGCAAACACAGTTCGACCTGTTTTTAGTTTGTCTGCATGTTATCTAAAGGACTAAAGGACTTCTGCAGTGGTATCTTTGCTTTGAGGCATTTGGCCTAACCTTTATGTGATGGTATCTGCTTTTTAGGTAATCTAAAGAGACACCTGCGGGTTCACAGTGGGGAGAAACCATACATCTGTATGCACTGCCAGAGAGCTTTCAGTGACCCTGGAGCTCTGCAGCGGCACGAACGCATTCACACAGGTACTCCCATGACATTCAGATGGACTATGGGATGTGAAGGCAACATATATGATTCAGTATATTGTCTACATCCCACCAAGGTGAGACTGTAATTCATGTTTTACAGGAGAGAAGCCCTGTGTCTGTCTTATCTGCGGGAAAGCCTTTACCCAGGCCAGCTCACTCATCGCTCACGTCCGGCAGCACACTGGAGAAAAGCCTTACGTGTGTGATCGCTGTGGCAAAAGGTAAGCAAGCAGATAAATCCATGCTGTAACAGAAGGCTCATTTTCCACTGAGGTCACATGTATGGCTTAGCAGGTGTTTTGTTAAGTCTATCATCAAAAAGTAATATACTGACATGAATGTGAGAGAAAACTTTTTTTTTTTTAATCGACCCTTTAATTGCAATGCCGGGTGAATGTAGGAAGCCAGGTGAAAGATGTATCTTGTGTCTGTCTCTCTGGACAGGTTTGTGCAGTCGAGTCAACTGGCCAATCACATTCGGCATCATGACAATGTCCGGCCACACAAGTGTCAGATGTGCAACAAGGCATTTGTTAATGTAGGAGACCTGTCGAAGCACATTATCATTCACACAGGTATGGTCAAAATTGTTATTAAATAATTATCTGGCTTCACGTTAATGGAGGAAATAGGTAGACAGCCTTTAAGTCTCTGATACTATTCCTCTACATCCAGCAGAGCTCACTGCTTTCAGCCATTCTTCTCTCCTTCTGTTCGTCCTGCTCTCTCAGGGGAGAAACCTTTCCTGTGCGATAAATGCGGCCGTGGGTTCAACCGGGTGGATAATCTGCGCTCCCACGTCAAGACCGTCCACCACGGCAAGGCCGGCATGAAGCGACTGGTGGTAGCCGGTGGCAACACAGATGATGGGGCTGATGGGTGCACAGGGGCATCCACATCCGACAGCGAGATCAACATAGTTACCGTCACCACAGAGGACATCGTCACCCTGGCAACTGAGGCCCTGGCAGCCAGCGCTGTAGCTCAGCTGACAGGTCAGACAGAATCTTCAAGGCCGAGTTCAGTGATCTGAGGGGAAATGTCAATGTCCTGCTACAGATAGTACCCTTAACTTGTGCAGATAATGAAAGAAGCATGAGGGATTAAAGGGCTTAGTCAGTGTATGTTTACTGTGTGTTCTGTGTCTGTTTACAGTTGTTCCAGTGGCTGCAGATGAGACGGAGGCTTTGAAAGCTGAAATCACCAAAGCAGTAGAGAAAGTGCAAGAAGCAGGTAAGACAGCAAGGAAGTCACTATAGTATATAAACATAAACAATATAGCATTAGAAAACCACAAAAACAATGGGGTCAGGAACAGCACATCAGACTTAACAGGATATCAGACACAGGTTGGGATACAGATAATTAATAATTGTATTTGTTATTATCAATTATATTTAATTAATACTGACCGATACAAGACCATCAGCAAAAAGGTTGGACATTTCTATATCGTTATCCTAATGCCTTTCACCGAGTTGGATTCACTCAGATTCCCCTTGAGTCATTAAAACGAGCTGTAGAAACACTATCGCTTTGTTCCACAAAGGCTGACAGAATCAGAACAAAATAAAAGTTTCTTGAAGGGGCTTTAAGTAATATTTGTGTAGGTTTGAAACTGCATTACAACAGTGTAATAAGCTTGATTAAAAAATATATATATATATAAGTGTTAGGATGTTGAGAAAAAATAACCTCACCACATGGCCTATTAATAGTTCTGCAGCTTTAGATGATATCAGAGTACAGAGTTGGTCCAGTTGTCAGTGAGTTGTAATGGTGAAATGGAAATTTCATCTGAGCATTTTAAGGACTTGTCTAAAGCCCAGGTTCAAAGTTCAGTTTTGTATTACTGTAAATTGGCTAATATATATACTATACTACTTTACTTTATACTGTTTTTATACTTTTTATTGCTGAATAAATCTGAAAGGTAAATTGGTTAGATAATTGTGTTTCTGTCATAACTTGCCTAATGTTGTCAAATGCTGCTGTTTTAGTTTCATTCTAAGACACAGAGGCTGTACCTCTAAAGGAAACAGTATGAGAAATGTGAATGGCTAACCTTGTTTTTCAACCCTTCTTCTGTTCCCAGACCCCAACACGCAGATCTTGTACGCTTGTGACTCGTGTGGTGATAAATTCTTGGACGCCAGCTCCCTAGCCCAGCACGTACGCATACACACAGCTCAGGCCTTGGTCATGTTTCAGGCAGATTCTGACTTCTACCAGTACACCACAGCCACCGCCACTGAGGGAGATTCTGCCACAACATGGCAACCCACAGCCGAACAGGTCATCCAGGAAGGAGAGCTGATCTTCCGTGCCCAGGATGAAGAGGGAGAGGCAGAGGGAGGAATGGTGGAGGAGACACAAGAACAGGAAGAAGGGTCAGGAGGGGTGATTCATGAGGAAGGGAGGGAGGATGGAGAGGTGGAAACAAATGCAGAGGGGAAAGATGAAGCTGCAGCAGAGGTACAAGAGGAAAAAGAAGAGGAGATGGAATGTGAGACTCAGGCGTAGTGGGGCACATTTGTGTGTGAAATACTGCTTGTAACAGAAATCTAATTTATACAGGAGAAGAAACTACAAAAAATTAAGTGAGTCGATGAAGCCTCAGAGTTTCACATGTCATGATGTTAACTGGATTCATAACATACAAGACTTTTTAAACAGCTTTATATTAGGATCTATGGTCAGAAATCGTGTTTTTGCCAGCCCTAATTCCAGAAAGCGAGGTGATATCCAGGGATTTGGTAAATATTGTTGAGAATTCTTTCAGATGGTTATACTACTTTGTATAGTTTGATTATTTTTAGACTGAAATGCAGGAATATGCATTGTCCTTTGTATAAAACATGTAGATCACGATTCTGTCTTACCTAATATAGCTTCGTGTTATTTTTCCATTTCACTCTGATGAGATATGTACATTTTCCTTAAATAGTCAAAATATTTTATTGTACTTAGTTGAAGTATTTTCATGAAAAGCACATTATACAGAGATTATCCACATGAACTTGTGGGGGTATTAAAGATTTAATAGGGGTAATTATCACCTCCTTTTTACAGAAGTGGGATGTCATGCATTCATGTAGTGGCAAACATTGTAAATGCTGTGCATGTATATTTGTATATATTGTTTATGTGTCCTCTAAAAAGTCTTAATACCTCTGATAAAAGATAAAAATAAATATGTGTGGTGATGACAAAGTGGTGAACAATTCTCAGTTTCACACTGATGACAAGACAGCTTGGTACACACCTGGTATTGCAGTAAACTGGTCATATTGGTCACTTTACCTGTCACCAACGGTATTATGTCATTATTTTGTCTGTTGATGAACACCGTACAAGATGCCCTATTAAATATCAGTAACATTGCTTAACCTCTTTGGAAGTCACCATCTAATCAATAAAGATACATCACACAGTCTGACCAGCCTTGTGTTGTGTTGTTAGTTTTATATAAAAACAATGTACTGCTACTTGTTTCCTTAACGTCTACAGTGCTCATAGAATTCCTGAAATATCAGAGTTTGGAAAAGCACGTTCCAGTTACGTAAAGTAATAAAATGTATAAATTCAATAGGGAAAATAAAGCATGTGACATATAGAATAATAACTTGTGTTACTACATTTAATAGGTTGTTTTCAGCCAGACAAATTATTTGCAACCATACTGCATCTCTTAAGATAAACAACAAACATTTCGAGGTTATAAGTCATTTAGGCCCTTGAATGAACTCATCATAAAGTCGTGGAGTTATTGATCTTGGTTATGATCATCCAATAAATATGGTAGGAATGATCATTTCAGTCAGATCCATGCCGATCCATGCTCTAGACTTGTATTCTTCCGTGATTGTCAGTCTTATAATAAAGCTTTCGTCCCATTGGCGGAGTTGCGACGCGTTCCTCTCTGTGATTGGCTGGATCTAAGGTCAAAGTTAACTCGACTGCTAACGCTGACGTCGACTTCTGCAGCAAAATGGCGTCGTTGACAGGAGACGTGCAGACGAGCCGGTCCTGTTCTTTATCATCGTGCAAAAAACGGACCGGAATAATGACCCAAAGGAGGTTCAGACTTTTGGACAACAATGTCCTTTTATTCCTTTCGTTAGCTTCCATGTTGCATTGCGCTTTGGCTGACGGGAAAACGTTGGTCCTGCTGGACAACCTCAACATCAGAGACACCCATTCAATCTTCTTCCGCAGTCTAGCAGGTCAGTACGAGATTCGTGTTTTATTCGTCTTTAAACATCATAACACCTCTGTGCCATTATAGACCGCCTTGTATTACACACAGGTCTCTGAATGGGACTAAAGAGCCTATTGGGCTTAAGACTGTACACCTGTGCGTCACGTAGCACAGCAAGGCGGCTAACGTTAGCTTTATTATGTTCGCTGTGTCTCGCCAAACTTCATTCAAGTCTCTGTCAGTTTAATGTATTTCTACTTAAATAATGGCAGTGTACACGCTTCGTTATGTTATATTATACTGCATCAAATCGATACGGGGCTAGTATTCATTTCGGCACACCTCTAGTACACCAAATAGTTAATAATTAAAAATAATATCTATATTTTGTAGTCATCTTCATGCAAACATGAGTTTACACCCGATGTAAGTTAATTGGTCGAGGTACATGAGAGTAACTTTATTTGTGTATACATGCAGTTGTTAACAGGATGTCAACATAATATCCGGGCCTGGTTTAATGAAACACTTGCTAGCAGGTACATAAAGTAGTGCAGGAAGCCCACTTTCCATTTGAGCTGTAGAATTTAATATTTGTAGGCAGTCATAATAGGAGGGATTTATACTGTATAAAGAGAGTCGTCTAATAATATTACTATTGCAACCAAAAATACATGACTTGTAATAATGGTGGTGCTGCTTCACACTTGTTATAATAACTGACATTAGTATTACAATCTTATTAGCTATTACATCAGTGCTTATAAAGGTTTAATGGTGTTATAACAATGGATCTTCTCAATCCTTAGAAACTTCAATGCAATGTATTGCCATTTTGTCTAAGTTACTGCAGAAATGTTTTACGAGTGCAGCTGATAATGTATCTCTGCTTTTCAGATCGTGGCTTTGACATCTCATTCAAGACCGCTGATGATCCCTCCCTATCTCTGATCAAATACGGCCAGTTCCTGTACGACCATTTAATCATCTTCGCACCATCAGTTGAGGGTAAATTTCACACTCTTCAAAATCAGATTGTGTTTGCCTTGTTGAAACAATCTTTAAAAAAAAAAAAAAATATATTTTTGATCATTTGCAGACTTTGGAGGAAATATTAATGTGGAGACTATTACATCCTTCATTGATGGCGGAGGCAATGTCCTGGTTGCTGCCAGCTCAGATATTGGTCAGTTGATATCCAAAAGCTTTTGCTGTGATAATATATAACCTATATAGTATATATATATATATATATATATATATATATATATATATATATATACATATATATATGTATATATATATATACATAATATTGTCTATATTAACTCCTCCCTCACAGGTGACCCTCTGAGGGAGCTGGGTAGTGAGTGTGGCATCGAGTTTGATGAGGAAAAGACTGCTGTCATTGACCATCACAACTTTGATGTGTCTGACCCTGGAGAGGTAAACAGAGCTCTGTTTATAAAGCAGGCACATCCTGTTTCACAAATTCAGTCAGGACTGACACTCCCTGTTGTCATTTATAAGTGATCATTCTTGTCTCCAGCACACCATGATTGTTGCTGATCCAGAGAACCTGCTGAAAGCTCCAACTATTGTCGGCAAACCCACCAATAAACCTGTTTTGTTCAAGGGTGTTGGGTAAGCACAACTGAACACAATTTAAAAGTATCTAACTGCACTTCCTCACCCTAACACTCAGTATGTTGACATTGTTGCTATTCCATAAAAGACATTCACTCACTGCTCTTGTTTACGAGTTTGAAATAATTACTTTATTAAATACTGTGCTTGGCTGTAGCAGAGACTTCTGAATAAAGAAACAGCATAGAAATGGTCAAAGATTAGCTGCAGTGCAAATGCAAATCATAGATTTGACTAACATGCCATTCCTCCCCCTCCCTTCCAGCATGGTGGCAGACCCAGAGAACCCTCTTGTTCTGGACATCCTTACCGGTTCTTCCACTTCCTACTCCTTTTTCCCAGACAGACCCATCTCTCAGGTATGACCACTGAGTTTAACAAATACATCAGATTGTTAATTAAAAAGAAGTTTAATAGTAAAGAAAGTTTTCCCTATAGTATAAGTTTAGATATATTTTTCTTGCTTAGGACAGCCTAATATTCTCTGGATTAGAAATTAACTACACAGTATTAACATCATTAGCTTTGTTTCTGACTCATATTTTTTCTTCTACTTCTCCAGTACCCCCATGCTGTTGGCAAAAACACCCTGCTGATTGCCGGCCTTCAGGCCAGAAACAACGCCAGAGTAGTGTTCAGCGGCTCCCTGGACTTCTTCAGCGATGCCTTCTTTAACTCCGCTGTGCAGAAGACCACACCTGGCTCCCAGAGGTAGTCTTCACTGTTCATCACATCTCTTATTTTCTGTCTCATGGATCCTATTACAGCTTTCACTCACTAAATCCAAACTGTCATCAGTGACATTCTGGTCACTATCAGGTTTTTTTTCCATGTGAACAGGTGTTCTGTTACTACTCAGCTGCGTTTAATGCTGTAATGAACATAATATTTGTGTAACTCATCAAGCTAATAAGGAAAGTCGTCTTACATTGTGTTAGAAGAAGTATTAAGGTATTACATTTAAAATTTGTGTAGTTAAAGAAGCTTTCATTTTTGTTGATTTTGGCGGCCACATGTGGACAAAAGGCGGTAGTGCCTCATTGATTTGAAGGGGAATCTGACCTGTTGGCAGGCATTAAGAATAATTCCATAAACATAGCCAGTCTTACTGCTGATGGTCTTATAGAGGCATCAGTATTACATTTAGAGTTTCACAACCAGTTAAAAACTCCTTTTAGTACGTCTAGCATGTATATAAGGATGTAACGACTGCTGACAAACATGGTTGGTATAGAAGATTTACTGACAAACAGTAAAATATCGATCAGTTCTACTGTACAATATGTAATAAAACAAACTATATACCATCAGATATGGACGACTCACTGGACTAAATCAAATTTTGTTGTCGTCTTTGTTAGGCACGAGCAGACGGGGAACATGGAGCTGGCTGAGGCTCTGTCTCGCTGGGTGTTCAAAGAGGCTGGAGTCCTCAGGGTGGGAGCTGTTACCCATCATCCTGTCGGAGAGACCACTCCCCCTGCAGCATACACGATCACCGACCTTGTGGTGAGTTTAGAGTTTTAGTGGCTTATGTGAACAGTTAACACCCTAAAGACTGCTCTGTGTATCTTTTATACGTACATCTCAATGAGTGTAAAACTCCCCCACGCAGGAGTACAGCATCGTCATTGAGATGTTGTCCGAGGGCCGCTGGGTTCCCTTCGATGGAGATGATATTCAGCTTGAGTTTGTGAGGATCGATCCATTCGTCAGGACTTATCTCAAGAAAAATGGTATGTTGCTGTGGATATAGAACATTTTAATTCATGCTAACAAGTTAAGTGTATTGTATCTCTGTGATTGGGGGGTTTGCGGCCACAAACTGCATCGACTATAAATGCTGTGTTGTCTCTCTTCTAGGAGGTAAATACAGCATCCAGTTCAAGCTGCCTGATGTGTACGGGGTCTTCCAGTTTAAGGTGGACTACAACCGACTGGGATACACACATCTCTACTCCTCCACTCAGGCAAGTTAATCAGGTTTAGGACACTTCAAACCACTGATATGGTGATTGTATGGATCGCCATGCAAGTGACAAATGGAAGGACAGAAATACTAGAGATTGATCATCTTTATTTGGTACCAGTAATCTCGTGACCACATCACATATTACTTAAAAGTCTACTCTCTGAGTATTGTGTCTTGGAACCGGTTCACCTTGCATTTGCATTTAACTTTCATCTAACAACCACGCTTTAATATGTGGTGGGCTAACTTGTACCATTTTGTTTCTTTATCACAGGTGTCCGTGCGTCCCCTGCAGCACACTCAGTATGAGCGTTTCATCCCCTCAGCCTACCCATACTATGCCAGCGTCTTCTCCATGATGGCAGGACTCTTCGTCTTCAGCATAGTCTTCCTGCACATGAAAGAGAAGGAGAAGTCAGACTAATACAGAGAAACAACGCGGGACGGGATAACAAGATTACAGAATTGAACTTGCGGTGTGAAGAGCTGAAATTGAATGTCTTGAATCTTCACACAGGGACTTGGACTGCAGTCCTCTGTAAAAAATACAGTATCTGTTTGGTTATTGGGGTACTCAACTAACATGGGTCTGGAGGACAGAATGGGGTTCTGACTGTAACGCTGTGGTTGGGTTTTTTTTTTTTTTGTTTTTTTTTGTACTCTGAAATCACTCAAAGGCCCGTTAATGTCCTGAAGTCAGTCAGCGTTTGTATAAAGTTACTTTACTTTTGATAAAAGTATCTCCTAAGTATAGCATTCACCTTGGAATATGAAAGAAATCCATATGAAAATTTGACCCACATTTTCTCAATCAGGAAAGGTTATTGTGATAACTACATGCACTGAATATGCCATTCATATGTATTTGGTAAGACCTTAATGTGTTTCCAAAAAAGTTGGAGTCATCTTAACAACAAAATAAAATATTGACATTCCAATCTGTGTAAATTACTGTCCTTTCCTATGACATGGAGTTTTTGGTTGTAGCGACGTACACTGCTGGGTTTTTGGTATGGATATTCTCGCCAAACACAAAGAAAAACATGGCGAATTGAATTTCTAGCTGCTTCGCAAAAACTTGCATATAGACACAACATGACTGGCGGGCAGTGGTCATAAATCTTATCCACCTTGCAGTGTGTGAAAGGTCCGGGTCGAACCTCTACAAACGGGGCTTGCTTCCCCCACGTGACTCGCCTTGGTGCCTGCGGTCACTGAATGAGATGGACAGTGAACTAATTCAAAACGCACATTTTTTTTACGAGTTGGTTAAAACATAGAGTCTTGAACGCCGCCGAATTAATGAGTTTGTTCTCGTGATTCAAAATCAAGTCATCTTTTACGATGTATTGTGTTTAAGCACAAAACGGAGCAAAACACCCTTAAATTTGTGAGACTTTTGAACGCTGTTCCGCCCCTCAGCCCTCCTCTCCTCCCACACGTTATGAAGGCGTACTGAGGCAAGTGGTGACGTAACGCTCTGTCGGGGGGAGTTCAGACTCTCAACAGTTAACGTACGTTAGTAACTGTTAACACACTAAGTAACCTGAGCATCCTTGACTTCGGTGTAATTAGCTATATATAGACAAATGCTGAATCACAATAGCTAGCCAGAGTGCGACAGCGAAGAGTATGATAAACAAAACTGCTGCTAAAAGTTATGAATGGTTGGACTCTAAAACTTGCTAGCCACCCCCAGCCTGAGTCTACCGGTGGAGAAAGAGTCAACTGGCTGCAAGCTAACGCGAAGCTAGGCAAACATTCCTCGGCTATCTGGATCCGATGACAGACGTTCACTTATCTTGCTGCTCGCTGGCAATTGACGTGGTGGCTGTGAACTAGGGGTGCTGTCAAAATTCAAATTCAATGTATACAAGTGACAACAGAAGCTGTGTCGTTAGTTTGACTCCCTACTGCACTGGAAGGCAAGATAATGTTAGCTAGCTGCGGCGGGCGGCATTAGCTTTAGCAAAACAAGAGGTCTGCCTGAAGGAGTCAGCTGACAGTCTGCTGTAAGCTGCCAATAGACCAGTGATGGATCAACTGAAAGTAAAGGATCGCATATTGGAAAACATCTCCCTGTCTGTCAAGAAGGTAAGCGCTCTCCTGGTCAGCACACTTAAATATTGTCTCAGGATTAAAGTATTTCCACATGCTTGAATTACTGTAGCTAGCGTTAGGTCATCTTTTGTTTGCCAAAGAGGGCAACTTACAAGTCGGGGTGGACATTACCAGCTCGCAGTCATGGAAGGGCCTTGTCCTTATAATGACTCAAATAACCCATTAACCATAAATTACTCATTAATGTTTTACAGCTGCAGGTTGTGGTTGTCATCTTCTAGTTTTTCTTTCTGACCATGGTGAACAATAGTGGCACCAAGCCCCTGCTCACTGCCGCATGTGTTGTAAACACACCTGCAACCATACCGCAGATACACATTTGCAGCAAAGGCAGTTGATCTTTGCGCCTGATTTCCATTTAAGTTGTGAAATATTTGAGATATTTTGGTCCAACTATGCCTGTGGAGTTGTGAAGCTACCTTTCAAGTAACCTGACAGACAACATTGCATCGTTGCCCTCCTTTCCCTTCATGTTTGTACAGTCCCTTTCCAAAAGCCCCATAATCATATGATTGCATTAGAAAGCCACATCTTGGTGTGTTTTAGCCCAGTATTGTCTCTTACTTCCTTAATCCACATTTGTCAGTTTTTAGTCTAATTACTCTGTTTATCTCTTTAATATATTGACTGCATGAGGACTGTGAAAGAAAGTGAATGCCTCAAGCTTCCAAGAAAGGTTACAGTGTTTATCTCAGACAAACATTGCTTAGTCATGTGTGGATAGTCTCAGGATATAATGTCCTTTTTCTTTGGTTCACAATCCTCAAAGCTAATGCAAGGTTACTGTCGGATGGTCGACCACAATGAAACGCATTTAATATCCTCACCAGATGAAAAATGCTGAAATTGTAGCCTTTTTAATCCATAATCCCCCAATTTGAGGGGACCAAAAATACTTGCATATTCTGCACAAGCACATGCCTGGTTTAAGTCTCCAACCCACAGACATCAACAGGCACTTGGTATCTTCCCAGGGGATCCTCTGTCAGTCACTTACTGCTTGTTTCGGGGATTTTTTGCCTTCAGTCTGGTCATTAGCAGCATTTTGCAAGGGAAGGAGTACTGATACAATGGAGTCACAACAGTAAAACACATGCTCAATTGGATTTAGGTCAGAAACAATGTTTGCTCATACTGTATTGTTGTATTTCCAATCAAGTATGCTTAAGTACAGAGCCAAACATATGAAATTACTTAATAATCAGGTTAAAAATTCATTAAGGCCTAAGGCTTGGCTAGTTTGCATTAAAGCAATTTCATAATTGCCGATGTTGCATTCTTTTGAAAGTTATTTCCACCAACTTCCTCCGAGAGCAATTCAGCATACCACATTGGCCGAACAGTTGTGGACATTTTATTTCCAATGAGTCTTTTTCAGGCATATACAACATAAATGCTGAAAAATATTCCTCGTAATTTAAATACAATCAGTTCTATAAAAGAGGAAACCCCCCCCCCCAGCAAAACAAGCAGCAGAGAAACCATGCCTCTCTCTACAGTTGCAGAGTTACTTTGCAGCCTGTGAAGATGAGACTCCCGCCATCCGAAATCATGACCGGGTCCTGCAGCGTCTGTGTGAACACCTTGACCACGCTCTGCTGTATGGGTAAGAGGCTTAAGTAGGCTGCACACTGGAAAGAGGTGCATACTGCAAATACTAGAGATCAGATTTGTTTTTATTCCTACTGCTGTTTCCTACTCCCCTTGTCCCGCTTTGGCCTCATACGCGTGATATTTACTGTTTTCTATGTTGCAGGCTGCAGGACATCTCCTCAGGCTACTGGGTCCTGGTCCTTCACTTCACTAGGAGAGAGGCTGTCCGACAGATAGATGAGCTTCAGCACATTGCAACCAACCTTGGTCGAAGTGAGACATCTTTGTCACACAGTTAAAAACACAGTTACAGTACTTGTGGGGCTAAAGTTCATCATTCAGTGGGTTATATGCTTAGAAAAGAACTGTTCTCTTTTCTGTGTAGGTCGTGCATGGTTGTACCTGGCATTGAGTGAGAGCTCTTTAGAGAGCTATCTACGCCTTTTCCAGGAGAACCAAGCATTACTACAGAAGTATTACTTCAAGTAAGACATCCAGCAATCCTGATTTTTTTATATTGCATTTCAGGTTTTACTTTCTGTTGTTAATTTGGCAAACAAATGTCTATATTATTGTATTTTTGTGGTAAGTCACACAAATGAGTTTGATTTCTGATTCTCTTCTCTGCTAGGAATGCACTGGTCTGCAGTCACGACCACCTCACACTCTTCCTCACACTGGTGTCCGGCCTGGAGTTCATTCGCTTTGATCTGGAGCTGGTTAGCACACGTTTCATTATGATGTTGAGAAATTCAGCTCCTAAATGTAAGCAGCGTGTCTATAACGTTTCTGTTGGGTCCGGCTGATTCAGGATGTGCCCTATCTGGACGTGGCCCCCTACATGCCAGAATACTACAAACCCCAGAACCTGCTGGACTTTGAGGAAAGGCTGCCCAGCTCAGACAGCTTGTCCCTGCACTCCTTCACTTCCCTCACCTCCACTAACCTGGAGTGGGATGACAGCGCCATAGCCCCCTCCAGTGAAGGTAAGCAGTAGAGATGTCCTGATCGGAATCTTAGTCATTTGTTATTGGGTATCTGCCTATACAGAGTCCTATCTGATACTTCTATTTACCTAAATGTTAAATATATACACGTATGAATCTAATGTATGAATAACAGATGTGTCATTTTAAATCTGACATACCTTATTTTTTTCACAAGCTCCTTGATCCAAACACTGAAGGTGCTCATACAGAGCTAATAAAGAGAGATAACACATATGTTACTGTCAGAACTTAGCCCAGTGTATTTTGCCAACCAGGCAGTCAATCACATCATTTTTCACAATCACATGCTCTGATTTTAACTCATTAAAGAGAGCAGCGTGTTGCAACACTAGCAAGCTACAGTGTTCAGAGTTCGGTAAAGAACAATTGACTCAGGACATCTCTAGTAAGCAGCACTGGTGTTCTCTAACTTGCTTCACTTTACCACCAGTAGTTGTCTAATTTTAGAAGAGGGGACACACAGTCAGACTAACTGATTTGACAATCCTTTGGACCCGTACTGGCATTTAGTTCTGAATAATTATTGGCCAGTCAGTGTCTCTCCCTTTTAAATTGGCCCCATAAAATATCTAGTTTCAGTTCTATGTGCTGCGGAGTTTTGAAATGCCGCTAATCTAGACACTTATTATGATACGGACTAATTGTGATGTGAGTCTCTTGCTGAATGGCACCCTTTATTTTGGCATTTATGATTTGATCAGGCCCTGCTGGAGTGCAAGTACACCTTCATATGCTTTCGCACAAATTCATCCAGTGATGTCAGGCTAATGGCATGTTGATGCAGAAGTTGGATTGATATTTGCAGACTCTTGTGACTCATGGATACCAAAGTGCATTTTATCAAATGGATCACTTGGCGTGCAGACGCTCATGGTTACAGAATGTTCTCATCAGGGTGATTGCAGCACTCAGTGAATGCTTTCCCCATAACTCTCCTCAAAGTACTGAGTCAGTTTCCCTGTTTTAGTTCCCACTTTTCCCCCATTGGTTCGGTTATTTCATATTTACCACATTTCATGTTATTTTTCTGTTCCTGTGCCATTGTCTCAAGCTCTTCTCTCCACTCCATCTCTCTCTAATGTTGAATGTTATCCCTCCTTTTTTTAGATTATGATTTCGGTGACATCTTCCCCGTGTTGCAGTCATTGCCAAGTGCAGACTGGGAAGGTGGGACATTGGTCAACCCCTTCCCTCCCCCGCCTTTACATCCCTCCTTCCCTCCCTTCTATCTGGCATGGCCATCCCACAGTTTGTGTTTAATGCATGCTGGGTATTCTAGCCAGTAATTAAACATGTTAATATGTAAGCTACAGCTAGCTGGTGCAAGAGACTGCTGATCAAAGGACATGAAAACAAGCATGATCAAAAAAACATGAGTAAAAGTGCTTAAACTTTTGGGAATGGTTTCAGTTGGAATACATGTGGGTTTGGATCTAAAGTTGTGCGGTTGATTTGATGAACGTTAAATAGGAAGCCAGTAGCTTAATTAATTATGGTACAAACAGACTTCTACGACGACCATTTTAGTAGCAGGTAACATTTACTCTCTCTTAAACCTACCTGTACATGAGGGTTACTCTAATTTAAAACCTTCTTTTACCACACATTAGTCTTTTCATTCATAGTAAAATATGACGCACACATTTTAAGTAAAGCTTTTCTTAATATTATTCAGTTAAATTACAAACCATAAATGAACAAGGTTCCATCATACAGAATATGTTGACAGGTAAGTTTGGGAAGAAGCACAACTTTTTGGTTCACTGTGGGATTGTTGGAACTCATCTGTCATGTTATGCATGTGTTACTCATCCGGGGAATGATCCTAAAGCTCTGCCTTATTATTTACCACAGCAAACGCCTGATGTAACTGGTACTCACCTCGTCCAGTCTGTCTCCATTACATTGTGTTATCTGTTTGTCTGGTGTGTCGTTTTTTTTGTAATGTCTTCTCTTCATGTGATATGTGGCACTGGCCTAGGTTCAGCTCAACTGTAGTGTGAGGTAACAATCACGAGTAGTTGCTAAAGGTCACACAGTGCAAATTGCTGTGTATTACTACAGCATGTGTTTGCGGTAAGCTGCTATGTGCACGTGGAATACACACACATCTGTCGTCTCCTGGTTTACTATTCATTTCATGGTCTGAATTTTAATTTGCAAATCATGTTTAGTTTTCTCATGATGAATCTCAGTACCAAAAATGTAGATTCCTACAAACAGTATTATTAAATATTTATATTATGACCCATCTCTAGCTGCAGAAGTAATGCTTAACTTACGCCTGTGCCACTGCAAAGAAAGCTGCTGCCTGTGTACCCACTTGATGTCTTCTGCGTTTTGTGCCTCTCTGACGCTGCCAAAGAACTACAAACAGCACTGCAGCCCCTAACATTTATTTGTGTTTGACGCTGATGAAGAAATACACAAAGTTTTTGTGAGATTGTCTCACTGGTCAACTTAGCTTTTTTATTTTAATTAGTGATGAAAACATAAACAAAAAAATCATCCAGAATGTTACTGAGTGCTAAATTATAATATATAGTATAATATAGCATAGTAAAACTTCTCACTTGACTTACCATTGAGACAATGCCAAAAGTTCAGTGTATTTCTTATATGTATATAGGACTAAATATATGTGACTGCTACTTTCTACATTAACTCTTGGTGTTTGATTTTAATGGTAGAGGGTGATCTGACCGACCAGGCCAGCTGTCCGCGATCCAGTGGCTCTGATCCCCAGACAGTCATCAGCGACACAGTGGTCCTTTCTGCCAGCACTGTTAAGGTGAAGGTGGCGGCACATCTTTCTCCACACAGCCCCACATCTAGGCACAACCCCTTCAATGAGGACTCAGACACCAACACCTCAGCCGACGTCACGCCGGTTCATGTGGCCAGCCACCAAAACAACGGCACCACCACTGGAGATGACATGGAGAACGCCAGCAATGAGCTGGAAGTCATCAGGTACAGTAGCTACAGGTTTCTGGCTTGTAGGCTCACATTCTATCTCTTATTCAAATCATATTTGAGGATCCGCAGCTAACCTCTCTGGTCCTCCAGGATGGCCAGACGAAGGAAACCAGCCAAGAAGCGACGAGGGAAGGGTTCCACAGATTCCAGCAGCAGCATCCATAACTCTGTCTCCTCCGAGCACATGGAAATGGACAACACCCTCCTGGCCTCGGACGATGTGGATTCGTTAAACGGCACTGTAATTCACCTGGATGCTGAGGCAGAGTTGAGGAGAAGCAGGGTGGGATCAGAGGTTGTGGAGGAAGGAGATGAGGACGGATTAGAAGGCCTCCTGCGGCTCCCGGAAATGACGGACACCTCCATGGACACGGTGGGCCAACCCCTCCGTGATGTCATGGACCGGCTCAACGGGGCTCTGGATAGGGAGGAGGCCTGGGACCACCCTGAGGAGGGGGAGGAGAAAAACAGTAAAGGCTGTGACCAGGGCCCCGAACCCCCTGCACAGCAGCCCTTTCGAGAGGATTCAGGGGGCAAGCCACCTGACCGAGCCCCCAGAGAGATGTCTCTCACCCCTCTGGCCACGAGCCCCAACTTCCTGCAGGCCTCTCCTGCGCCTGCAGACTTATGCTGCTTTACCCCCTTCAGTCCAGACTCTACTCCCACGGGTCGTGGCCACTATGACTCTTCAGAGCATAGCCAGTCACAGACTCTTTCAGGTGGCCTTGAAGGTGAAGGAGAGGCAAAAGCAGCAGCAGGACAAGAGCCCGACGTGAAAACCGGGGAGGAAGACGCAGTAGGAGATGAAAGGGACAAGAATATTTTTACTGAGGAAGCGGAAGAACTACAAGAGGAGCTTAGTCCCTCTGAAATTTCTCATCCTGCAGAGTTTAAGTAAGGAGTTTTCTACCAAATGTGTTGTTTATTGTTGTAATGTGGTTTAAGTGTGTCTAATGCTCTTCATTATTCATATTTCAGGGTGGACAACAATCATTTGCTTCTTCTCATGATTCATGTGTTCAGAGAGAATGAAGAGCAGCTCTTCAAGGTGAAGAAAGATTGACTCATTAATTGAAATAAGAATGTATGTGCTTGGTACTTAAGTAATGAGTCAACTGTAACTATCAATCGAATGATAAAATATAAAGAAGTAAGGCAGTACAGTGATGTCATGGCCAGTTTTTAAAAGAAATGAATTTGATGTGTCTCTTTTACACGTCTTTAAGCAAGTTCTGGTATTGGTTGACATTGAAGAAGTGGTTTGGCGACTGTTGTTCAGTGGAAGTGTTGCAAGGCTCAGTTTGCCAACTGCTTTTGGGTTGTTGCAATTTACCTGACTGGTCTACGATCTAACTATTCACGCTTTTTCACACCAAACTGGGCAAGCAAAACAATGCAATTTTTTTTACAATTTCTCTAAAATTAAGTAAAAGAAGAACAGCAGCTTTTGGACTGTATGTCTACAAAATAACATAGTATAGTACAATATAGTCTGTTATGTGCTATATTTGTAGCAACACTGTGCTACTTTCTGCAATCTAGTTGCCAGAAAACATCACTAGGGATCATAATAGTTTGAGAAAGATGAATATGGAAGTTGCAGACACTTGACAGAATTTGTCTTTGTGTTTTCAGATGGTGAGAATGAGTACAGGCCATATGGAGGGGGACCTGCAGCCACTTTACTTGCTGCTGACTGACTGTTACATTTACCTGCTTAGGAAGGGTAAGTGTAAAAACCCAGCATGCATTGGCTTAATGGGTGGAAAAGTACAAGCTGTAAGTTAGGACGTACTTATATTGGTATTGGGAATCACAATACATTTTTACACAGGGGCAACAAGCATTGATCTCTTTTCCTTACATTTACGGAAAAGGCTGTACAGTAAGTTAAAACCATGTGTAAACTGATGGTGTCCAATCTAAGATCCCTGCATATCTGAGAGTTGTTACCGTTGTAATTGTCCCATTAGATCAACAAAATGTTCAAGGAAGTCAGGAACGAATTTGAATGGGGTTATTCTGTTGGCAGAAAATACATTACATTAACATGTGCCCACTGTATGTCTTGGTTGTACTCCTCCCTCTACAGGTGCAGCAGAGAAGCCCTACACAGTAGAAGATGCTGTTTCTTATAATGAGCTGGACTATCTTTCAGTAAGTGCCCCAAACAAAGGTTTGCCAATTTGTTCCTCATTTGTGTTTCTACAAACCCTGACAGGGATCTTTTACATGGTCCTCCTCAATGCGATCCATGTAGAGTTCATTATATGATATTTATGAATCCTGTAGACTCAAGCATGATGTGACAGCTAACAAAGTTAGTGTTGTGTCTGATGTATTTGTTGTAATGCTGTCTTCCTTTAGGTGGGCCTTGACCAGCAGACAGTAACGGTGGTTTGCACCAACAGACGAAGAAAATTCCTGTTGGACACAGCTGATGCCTCTCTGACTTTGTAAGTGTATGTGTGTTTGTGTGTCCATACTAGATCAGATTCAAAGATCCAATAGCTGAACTATTCAAAACATCCAGAATTAATTTCCACTTTATGTCCCTGTGCAAAGAGCCAGCATGCACACCTCCAGAATCTCTAATACTCATGTGTTTATCTGTGGTTTTATGTGTCAGGAATATTGACTTTGAGCCATACAGGGTGCATCACAAAATGGATGATCGTCTCTCCTCTGACCTTATCCAATCCATTCTTCTTCACTTACAGGTGGTTCTTGTCTGTTCTTAAGTCAGCCATGGTGAAGGGTTGTCGTGAGCCTCCTTACCCCTCTGTTCTGACTGATGCTACCATGGAAAAACTGGCTCTCACTAAGTTTGTCTCCCAGGAATCTCAGTGTGAGGTAAACCCATGTTAAACTTCATATACTGTAGTAGCTCAAGTCTCTCTAAGTCAGTTTCCATGTGACATATGAATGAAAAACTGGCAGCCTGGTAGATTCAGAAACGGCTAAAACAGTAAAGTATGCTTATGTTTGCAGTAATGTAAAGTTAAACTTTAAAAAAAAAAAAAACAGTAACATCTCATTATTTCTCTGACTGTAGTTACGTTTGGGATTCCCTCCTTGCAAGGGTCTTTTTACCACTCTCCTATTCTTTGGCTGACTTCCAAAGCAGTGGTAAACTAATGTTTGACTGCTTCTCCAGGTTTCTGAAGTGTCTATTCAACTGTATTCACTGGTCCACTGGGAGGACCCAATGGACATGACTCTGTCACCCCAGGGTGGCCCATCAAGGTCTGGAGTACCTTCCAGCACCAAAGAGGGGACTGTGCAGTACCGGGCTGGGTCCACCTACCTGGGAAAAGAGCTGTGGAAAAGCTGCTACCTCGTCCTCAGGTATGGGCAATCACATAGACAGTGACTCGAGACCCGTACTCAAAACCCAACCCAAAACCCAAAATTTGGGACTTGTGAACAATCTTTTTTATCTGGAACATTAACATTAAGGAAAATTATGAAAAGCTGAATGTCATTCATTCCCTTATTATCATGCGTAACCTCGCATCTGATGTACGTAGCCACAGTGGATATTTTTTCTTTTCATATTATATTTATTATATTTATTTAATAGCTTTTGATTAGGTGAATATAAATATTTTCCTTTTTTTTTCTTGCAGCAATGGGATTCTGTACCTTTACGCAGAAAGAACTGATGTGACACCTGTGATGTCAGTCACTATGGGGTAAGCTTCAACTGGCTGACTAAACAGTAGACATTTTGACTTGTCATAGCAGGAACAGCACAGGGGTTACTAATAACATTAACAATTGTAGTAGTGCCTCATTCATTTATTCATTCATTCATTCGTGTGTGCTGATATTTGGTTTTCCTTTTCCTCATTTCAATTTGGATCAATGTAAACATTCCTCTGGGTTGATTAGAGGATCATTCGGATCACTTATTGCATAGGGGGTGGGGACTGACTCCTCAACAATGATGGAGAGCAGCTTGGTGGTTCCCCAATCCGGGTGTGACGACGCCCATTGTTGAAGGCATAAGAGAGGTGGGGAACTGCTCCCCCAGGGGCATTCTGATCCTTCCTCTGTTTGGTGCAGAACTCACTCTATGAGACATATCAGCCTGAAACTCTGTTCTTTTTTTTCTGTCTCTTTTGTTGTCATAAAAAGTGTTTAAGAATTGTCACAAAACACAGAGTAAACATTGAGCCGTTACTGCCTGTACCAGGGCAGTCTGGTGTAATTTGTGCAAGAGTTCCCAATTACCTGCTGCCTGCTGGCTTACGTATTTGTTAATGGTTTTGTTTTCATTAAACCCTTTACTCATTATTACCTTTACTGAAGAAGCATTATTTAATTGTTAAAATAAAGTATAAGTGGGTTGTTTTTATTTTTTGGATTATGCAGTTGGGAACTGATTCTCAGGCTCCTTTTCCTTGAGTTGAGACTTGGGGAATCAGTACCGCCACACAATGGCTCTGTTCTACTCATGAAAGTGAGCGAGCACCAGGACCCTGAAACTCAAGAAGCTAAATGGAATACAGCCATCATTCATTTTATAACATACTCGTGTGCTTTTCCTGCTGTCATACGTCAGAATGTCTCCTGTGCAAAATACCTACTAGACGGGAGATGGTTAACCTGTGGAGGCCTTTATTGTTCAAAAGCAGTAAGAAAAATATTTTCTTTGTGCCCCTGACAGAGGAGAGCACTGTGGAGGCTGCCGTCGCTCAAATAGCACAGAGCGTCCCCACGCCTTCCAGGTCATCCTGACAGAGCGGCCTCCGCTGGAGCTCAGCGCCAGCAATGAACAGGACATGGCTGATTGGATGCAACTGCTCTGCCAGTCCGTCTCCAAAGGGGTACGGAGTTGTATAGTGCATACGCAGTGTGTTTGGCAAACATTTCTTTTACATTTCTAGTATTGCATGTATTTCAACGTTTTAATAGAAACAGGGGGACAATAATGGGTGTCAGCAACATCTTCAAACTAAAACTATTCCACTATGTAAATACTACAAGACCAGATACTGTCAATGTAGACCTACCTCACACAAAAATTATTAAAATATCAAAAGAATTCAAACATGCTGGTTTACAACAAACAAAAAACTTGCTCTTCTGATAGCATCACACAACACATTCACTGATATTCTACACACTTTTAATTTGGACTTAAGGAGCAATGTGCAGTTCCTGGCCAAATGCCCCAAAATAGTAGGGGGCAGCATTTCACCACTACCAAAAATATAAAATGAAACCCTCGTAACAGCAATGCCAGGTGGTTACAATATGACCAATATGACAATATGTGTTTATTCACAGCTGAACCCACTTGTTTGAATCCAAATTAAGGATGCCGATTTGTCTGAATTCACTCCTTGTCACATCTGTCTTGTTTTTTTCTGAACAGAGATTGATCAGGTCTAAACCACCTTAGTTCACAGTAAAATAAAACCCCTCTGGAATCACATATTTTAAGTATGTACCGGGCAATCCAACTTCCTCACTTATTTTTCACCAAGCAATCTCGTTTTTTTTGGTCTCTGTGTAAATATGAAGTAGTGTCATGGAACTCTTGGGTGCCCACAAATGGCTACAATAACAACATTGTCAACGTATGTCTGCACCTCCGCTATTGCACGAGAGTGAAAATACATCCATTTTAATCCCCAAATTTAGAAAAAATAACCTCTGAGCTCTCCAGATCATAGCAGAATTCAGTGTGACTACGGGTGTTTGTTCATGTATGTATACGTAGTGCACGGTAAGCCCCATTTATATAAGCAAGGTATAATTACACTATAACCACCTTACCTGCAGGTCATCCCTCAGGGTGTGGCCCCGACTCCATGTATCCCATGTTGCCTGGTGGTGACAGACACGAAGCTGCTAACTTGCCATCAGGACTGTCAGACCAGCTTCTTCCGTTCGCTGGGCAGCATTGATATCTGTGATGTCACTGCCGTCAGCGTGGAGGCTGGGAAGCAGTACTGTGTTATTGTGAGTTGCTATCTTTTTAAGTCCTCTGTGTTAGTTTATATATGGTTTTATATTTCACTTTAATGTATTTATGTAATTATGTGTGTTCTATATGCCACACAGTTTAAATGTATTAACCTTGGAATCAAGGAATGTTATTAAGTTCTCCTGAGTTTTCAGGGATGTGCTCAACTCTAGTAATATTTTGTCATGAGTTACCTTTCTTATCAATTTCTGTTTTGCTTTGTAACCAATAAATCAAGAGGTATAATCTTTTTTATTAAAGAACAATCTCAAATGAAACCAGTGACATTATTGAACGCGACTCATCAACTAAGACAATGGTAACATCTTTTACACTGTATTTGTAAACACAAAACAATGTATGTACCAGTGTACCAGTATATAGTTCTGTTATACTTCTCTTGTGTAATGTAAGCCTTCATGCTTTGCTTATTCCCACTTTCTCCCTCTGTAGGAGTTTGCAGCAGATCGAACCCAGTTCCTCCCTCCATGGGTCCTGTATTTCAGCGGCTGTGAGGAGAGAGACCGACTGTTGGAGGCATTAGACATTACATGGAAGGCCATTTTCCAGGTGGGAAGATTAAATGTTGGTTTAAAGAAAAGAATAAGTGATATTGCAATATTTGTCACAAAATATCTGTATTCTTAACTCCAACAACCATCCCGCTGAACCCTCATGTGTGTCCTCACCATACACAGGTTGACCTTCCCCACAGAGAGGTGTGGGATCCGTCTGTGCAGAAGCGCTGCCGTGAGGCCCTCGCCCTGATGAAGAGTGCCTGGCAGAGAGCAGACAGTCTGGCCCGAGGCAGAGCTCAGCGTGAACCCTGGTGCTGACGGACACACACAGGCACACATACACTTACCTGTGGGTAGCCAGTGAGACAGACTGACCATACCAGTCTGATATAGTTCCAGGATAGATGGATTTAACTCTGGCATCACGGCCCCTGCAAACTCTTCAGAGTTCAAAGCTGAAAGACTGAGATAAACCACAGCGTTAGCTTGTGATGCACCTCTGATTCGCTGATGAAATGTTTCTATCAGACAAACGTCCTGCAGAAGTAGCAATGCATATGGCACATCAGATTTTATTGCATCCTGGTGATACATTATTAGCCATTATTCATTCATTAGCAGTTCTTAAGAAATAGCAGAAATGCAGAACAAATATGCTGAATCAAGTAAAAGTTTGTGTCAAATGTTCTCTAGGTGATGATGGATAAATGTACGCACAAACAGTAGTAGTGTCATAGGAATCCGTCGTGCATTCAAAGATATCCTGCTGAACTGAGATTGAGAATTTTGTCTCAACAAAGTAAATGTCAAAGTTTTCTTCAGAGGAGAAGCCACCTTAAAATTAACACTGATGTGCAGATTTCCTCTTCGAAGCCTTGACTTCAAGAGGTAGACTGCATAATGATAAAACCTATTTAGTACATTGAGGAAGCTGAGTTAGGAGAAAGACAAGGATCCATAACCAGCAGCTTCCCTGCACAGTGAAATGAGAGAATTATTATTTTTTCTTTAAAAAATGAATCTGGTGACATATATCAGGAAAGCCATATATGAAAGGGCAGTTGCTGCTTATTTGCGACGTGGAAAATCTTACACTCCTTGCCTTGCTTACAAAATAAACCAGTAATGCTCTCTGCTCGCACAACTCGCACAACTGTGTGAAGATAAAAGCCACTCTTTGCTTACTAACAGTTACAAGGCGTTCTACTGAACCCTAACTGGGGTACAATTATTGAGTAAATGTACAGCGCTTGTACAGTATCAGTGCATATTCACTGGTGGTTGTGTATGTGTCTGATATTCAGCTTTGGTTCATACCTCCACACTGAATTATTGTCACATTGTACATTAACTTAAGAGAATGAGGATCTCAATATGAAGGATATCTGGATATTTAACACTTGCACTGTTACATGACATGCTCATGCCTGTGTCGTCTATCTGAGACTTTACCAATTCAAATGTTGTCACGCAGATAAAAAAAACCCTTCAGGAAATGCAACAGACTTGCCTTTTTCTCCACTCTGTAGAGACGGGTGGAGGCTTCCATGCAGACTTGCACATTGTTAGTCTTTTTTTTTAATGTTACCAGTTGTGGTTTTGTGCTAATATCATAACATGTGCTATGTTATTTCCATTTTAGAGAAAGTGGGAACAATTGTTACTAAATTATTCAATTGAGTGGTGACATTTTAATGGTATTGACTTTTGTGTCTGCATTAGCAGACGTGTACTTCCCCTTTAGTGTGGGTAAGTATAACTAAAAAGAATCCTCTACTAACTGGCGGCTACAAGTACAAATCTTGGCTTGTCCTTTTTATTTGCACCAGTGGTTGGTGGCATCATACTGTACTGTCCAGTAAGATCTGGCCAATCACACACTAAATTATAACATCCCTTTCTGCACTTTTCATCATTTAGTGGTATAGGACCATGTTTGAAAGATATAAAATCCTTAAATACCCTTTCACTTAGAGCAAGAGTAGTATCTGTACTTAGCATATTAGTGCTTTCAAATAGCCTGTAATATCATCCATTATTAAAGCTTTACTTGGGGAAGAATAAGAATTAGACCCCAAGCCAGACTCTTCGTTTCCCTACAAATTATAGTTAGTAGACAGTAAGTGCATGTGTTACAATCTGCCCTTAACATTAACACTGATGAGAGTATCGCCGCTCTGTTCGTGGCAGAGTGTACCTGCTTTCATTGCGAGGCTGAGATAAGTGTGAGGTTTGTTTTGCAATGACAATGTCGCCTTTTTGACAACATCGACTGAACCGGACAAAAGGCCAAATCTTTTAAAGTAAATCAAGCACTATTTTTTTCCTTTTTGTAGTTGCCTTACACTGCACAATTTGGCTGACTGCATTGGAACACCTAAAACAATCATTTTAGTTCATGTTCTAGTTTCTTTTGACAGACAAGTCAAAATACCGGTATGTGCTGTGTGTAGGGCTGGGTGTCAAACCTCAATCCGCTCCGATTACAGACATAATGGCGTCCTTATTGAATGTTGGCACAGAATGCTTATTCATTGTCATTTTGTTATTCTCTGGGCAGATGTTGCTGTTAAAAATCGGGCAGGTTTTATAACAAAGTTAAGGTATTGAAAAAAAATACCACTTTGGTATTTTTACAAAAACTTGGGTATTGAATTGGCACCTGTATCAAAAACCTTCAAATGATACCCAGCCCTGTACATATTTCACTTATGTATGTTTGTACCAAACTCTTTGTCTTTCATGTCAGCATTAATCAGTGCTTTATGCCTCTCTAAGTGCCACTTGGTCGCCCTCATTTCTGCTCTTTTACAAAGAAATCTAATCTCAGGTGAAAAAAGGTACGTCACATCCAAAACCTTAAGACTCACCGTGTGTTTGTTGTTGTTTTTAAGAGCTGCTGTTTTGTCTAATTCAGTATTTTTGAAATCCCTTTTTCTATTTTGTTTCCTCCCAATGTTCCATGCAGCATTATGAAGTCCTTTTTGCGCACACAGAGAAGGCTATGAAGTAATATTCAATTTTGGAGAAGGTTTTTATGTAAAAGTCCTAATAATTCAAGTGGTTCTAAAATAGGATTGGTTGGCTGTGTAGCCTCTCCCACAGTGGATTACTGAAGGACTTTTTGACCAGGGAGAGTTCAGTTGCAATAGTTGGACTTACTTGAAATGTTGGATTATCAATTAAAAAACGACCTGCTTAAAGTTGTGGCCTATGAAGTGTATGTGCAGTGTTTTGAATGTGAGACATTGCTGGCCAATGATGGGTGACACCTTGTAAGTGATGCATTGTGAAAAAGCGCTGTTTGGTTTTGTTCATAAATGTATACTGCATGTAATATTTGTATTATCTTTAGAAGTTTTATTGAATTGTAAATAGAGCACTAATCAAATATAACAGACTGTACACTCACACATAAAGACGTGCATGTCCAGAAGGTTTTATACTGTTCATAATAGTGATGAATGTACAAATAAATCTTTGTGATTGGACAGTGTAACTGAATAAACTGAAATGAAAACCTTGACTCCTTTGATAATGTATGTGCTACATGTATCTTTGCTTTTGACATTTACATTTCTGTTGCAGGTCAGTGTGTTGCTGCATGTTGAACACATGAGCGCAGTCATGTTAGAGCAGGGACAGAGGATCCATGGGTAAGAGACCAGTTGGGAGTTAACTCAACTGTCTGCTGTTGCATAGCTGAACAAAAAATGCAGTCTTCATTGCTTTCTGTACTTTTTGCTAAAATCCCCAGTGCATGGTATGTCAAAGGATACTTGTCAGCACAAAACCAGCACACAAGAGACAACATACTGACTGTAATAGTTCTGTGGGAGTTAATTTGTTGTTTAGTACCCATGACTGTAGTCTCTTTTAAAGCTCACTTCCCAACCTGTATCACTCTTTTGAAATTGAAACTTCCCTCACTCTGACATTTCAAACCAATACTGCTGGAAGACAATGAATCTATAAAGACTAGAAAGCCCTGTTTCCAAACAAAAGACATGAATGACACTGTCGGATTTCTCCGTTTCCTGTGTTCTGTCTGTGTTTGAGATGTTGCAGTTCCTCCCAGTCACCAGTAGAGGTCATACATGAAGTTCCTCTTTAAACCTGTTTCTAACAAGAAAGAGGTCTTTCTATATGGTAATTTACATATCTTGTAGGTAATTATAAATTGAACCATTTGTAGAGACATTGTACATGACTAAAGGTACGTTTACAATTGCATGGTTGAAATAAGGCTCCTTAGTACCAATTTAGGCAAATTTTTATGCTGCAGCATACGATCACATTGCTTCCAACTTTGTGGCAACAGTTTGGAAAAGCCCTTTCTGTCTGAATAAACTATAACCTCAGTGCGCAGTCAAGTGTATGAAGAAATGGTTTTGTGAATGTCTTCCTCGAATGTCGATGGTAGCATGTTAATGTGCACGTTCTTGAATGAGATGTTCAAAGACCCCATATATGTAATGATGAAGTGTCCACATACTTTTGACCAGTTAATTATTTTTTTCAAAGAGACAGCTGCTGAACCAGCCTCTTAAGTCTTTATATTACGCATATTCCAAGTGTCTTGCTTAAGTGTTTGTGGACTAGATATTTTGAGACTTTCCTGTAAACTCAGACCATTTTATGGTCTTCATCAAGAATGTCTCGGCAGCTGTCGTCTTTGGGATCATATAGTATTGAATTTGGGGCATCTTTTGAATACTACAGAAGTTGAAATTTAAAGATCCCCTCCAGACATGTATTAATGGTCCAGTGGTGCAACTTATGATGTTATGTTATGACTATTGTAATGTCACAGATCATGCTCTTAGGCCCACCCCTTAAAATCAGATTTTCACCTGGAGACTTTCTTTTAGCAGATGAATGTAGAAACATTCTTCTAGCCTCTGCACAGTGAAGCTCAAACATCCAACTGTAGGAACAAGAAGAAAAACATATTTTTGAGTTGGGGGGGGCTTTAAAGTATGGAAACATATCAATTAGATATTTTCAAAAATGCTGGAAATACAGATCTACTAACTTTGTGCCCATTACAACAGAAGGGGTTTGGTACCAGCTGTAATGAGTTCATAGTGAAAAGAAGACAAGACAACACAGCACAAAGCAGTTAATGTTCACAGCCTCTAGGGGTATTGATTATCTTTTTGTAGTTGCTAGGGCAACACGTCAGCACTGCTCTTGTTCAAATCATTGTTATTATTTTAGCAGCACAATGATAATGTCACCTTGGGTGTACTTGTGCTGTTACCATGGTTTCAAGGAGCTATTAAGTCTTCTCCTGGCCCGTATTGTTTTCTCTGCACACAACAATACCGGACCGGATAAAGAGGATTATAGGGAAGTGTTTTTTTACTCCTTATTTCAAGGAGAGTGTCAATAATGGCTGATGGTCGACAGAGAATTTCAAAAGCTTTAGAGAGAAAGGGAGGAAAAGGTACATTGATCCCCTGCATGAATGGAAATTGTCAAAGAGGACAATAGAGCAGAAGTTATAATCAGACTGTTAAAGATACAGGTTGAGGTTTATGAAGACCCGAAGATGAGACCAGAAAAGAAAGTTAACAAGCACTGAAATGATCAGTCAGCACCCTGTTTCACCTCTATTGATGATTCAGTACTTACAGAAAACTACGCTGAGGGTGCAAGCCCAATTCCAAGTAAAAACAGCATGTAGAGTCATCCTCAATTGAAAGTGTTATAACAGAGTGACTCAGCAAAGTAGAAAAGTCAATTCAAGGAACACTTGTCAGATCAATAAGATGGATGAGAAGTCCAGTAGTGTGGGTTGAGTCCCTTTGGGAGGTGCAAAGGAAACAGAGTTGAAGGAAATTAAATGAAGACCGTATCAGCTGTGGCTCTTAAGCAGGAGGAAAGTCAGGGGGAAAGACACTTTAACCACAAGTGGTATTCAGTCCACGGTGTTAACAGCATACTGATTACTTAGCTCTTAAAACCTTCAGCAGGAAAAAAGGAAGAGCATTGGACTATTGCTGCTTTGTAAGTGATAATTACGGAACATCAGTCCCTGTCGGATCACTGCAAAGTCATATTGTGTTTATGGAGCAGCCACCCTCCAAAATAAAAGGAATCCAAGAGCTCAGGGCAGTGCTGGATTTGACACGGTAACAGAATAAATGGAATACTATGGCACCTCTAAAGTACATATTAAAGGGCTAGTCAAGAAATTTGATAAATTGTCAAAATCAAAGCAACAGAAGCCAAAATGTCCTTATTTGTAGTCCCTTGGTTGGGTCAACCTCCAAAAACACTGGACCCTACCCTTCCCACAATGCAACTCAATGCATTATTCATTAGACCCTCCCTGCCCTCATCTTTCTAACTATACACCTCCAGTTGTAACACAGATATTCCACTCTATATAACCCTGATGATGACATTTTATGAGCACATTTAATATTTCATAATTTTATGTGACATTTATCCTGTTGTTAATATTTTAGCGTTTAAAGTGCTCAGCCAATATTTTTTTTCATATTCCTGTATTCATTATTTCAACCTTTCTAAAGTCTACGTTTGAATCTCAGCTGAAACTGTAGATACTTCTGGAGTGATGCATTTATGTGCAGTTGTACAGTTGGTTGTAGTTGGTGAACACAGTACTGTTTTGCAGTGGTTTATAACAATGCTTTCTCTCATTTAATACCTCACTGTCCATTAGCTTTCCTGGTGTACCATGTTATCTAAATTAAGAAACTACTACTTCACAAAAATAGATCTTAACTCACATGACTTACAGAAAATAAATCTTAGAGGGGTGGAGCTTCTCTTTTAGTGCTGTTAATAATTTATGTTAATTCTGTGTACATTTCAAAAACAATTAAATTAAACTTGCAAAACTCCTTGTATAGATGAGGGAATACCCATTAACATCAAAGGAAAGATCCCCCCCACACACACGTTATATCCTGCATAATGAGTGTGAGAGAGAGAGAGAGCTCTGGCTTTATTCCCCCTCTCTCTGTCCCTGACTGTCTATTACATTATTTATGAAGTGGGGATGTGTGCTGTATGTCTTGATGTACATTTCCTCTGCTGAAATGCAGCAAAGCACCAGCTGCTGCCTGCATGCTATGTCCATTACGGTAGTTCCACAGCTATCTAGCGGTGGAGCAGAGGAGCTTGACGGATGCAGAGATAGAGAGGAGGGAGAGGACAAGAGAAGCACAGACTGCTGCAGATCCAGACTGTAGCAGCAGCCTAATTACCACCACAGCGAAGGTACAGTATCAACCATTGTTTTCTCTTTCCAGTGTCTTTCTTCAAAGCATGTCTGTAGTTCTGTGAATGACTTCAGTAGTGAGCACATATTTCTTCTGCTGTACAGTTTCATGTGAATGCTCAGTATATCTGTGTCCAGCCACAAGACCCTTTTTTCATCCTCCTCATCATGCTGAGGAAGGGCTCGGAGCTGCTGAAGGGAGACAGAGAGGTCCTTCTGGATCTGGACTATGGGGGTGTAGCACAAACCACAGACAGCTATGGAAGTCTGCAGAACGGGAGCTTCATCCCCCCGAGATATGTGAGGACTATTTTACTTTTGCTGCAGTGTGTTTTCCTTTATTGCAGGAGTCACATAGATATGGAAAATAACTGCACATTCACACAGCAGCCCATAACCTTGCTGCTCCCATCCCTTCACACATCACTGACTTCTCTGAGATGTTGCAGTGAATCTGTAGTGAGTACAATACAGTGCGAGGTACTGTATATCACTGGGAAAACCAAACAAGCCTTGTGGTGAAACACGACTTTACTGCACTGAAAAATTCTTCTCAATCATGCTGTAAAAAGCTCAGTGATCATCTTCTGTCTCATCTTTCTGGACTCATTATTGCAAAGTGGAGGCTTTTATGATGCCGTGTAATGGCACAGGATTTTATGGTCAAACCTCCTCAAAAGGAAATTAACTGTCGATATACAGAACAAAGGGCTTACATGCAGGAGAGTGAGTAGAGAATCTGTTTTGCCATCGGCTCTCACTTGTTTTTAATTAACAGATTTGGATAATTACTAAACTTGTTGGGATTCTTTTAGCTTTCAGCCGCAGCTGCGGGCGAAGATGTGGATGGCGATGATCCCATTTATGTCCACTGTAATCCAAGAAGTAACCAGCCACTTCCACAGCAGGGGAATTACTTCAGAGATGGAAGAACCAAAATCGGTAGGCAGCATCTGCAGCTTGTATTGGGTTAGTTGTCCCAAGCTCACTGATGGATGGCCGAGTCAGTCCTCATTTAACCTTTGGGATCTTTATGGTTTAGACTTTGTACTGGTGTGGGAAATTCGGTCGAGGAGGAAGCGGCGAGGGAAGGGGAAGGTGACCAGTGAGGAGGGGGAGACTGCGCCCACTGAGGAGAACAGCAGATCTGAACGAAGGAAGGCACAGCTGGCACAGTGGAGGGAGAAGTTTGTTCAGAATCTAGAGAGTGCTGGGTTGCTCATGGAAGAGGTGCCGTAAATCACATTCAAGAGTATTCATCTTATTAAAAAGTTCAAAATCTACTCAATGCTGCTTAATTAACAACTTCTCTATGTTGCCTCTCTTCCCTTTCAGGAGCAAACAGCAAATGAGAAGAAAACAATACATTTTCTGAAACTTAGCGCTCCTTGGGATGTGTTGGTGTTTTACGCTGAGGAACTCTGTGTGAGAGCTCCATTGCAGGTTAGTGCTGCTGTTTATAATTAAATATGTAGGTAGATAGATATATAGGTTTGTTTGGCTGTTTATACAGATACAAATTTCTATTATTTTGTTGCATTACTGACAGAGTAGCTGCTGAAGGTGTGTTTGTGGTTGATTTCAAACACTGGGACTTCTATCACAAAAATGCCCTTACCGCTAACCGCCAGTAACCACAGTGTCACCAAATTGTTTAAAATTTTAAGGGTTGTAACTTAATAAGATCTAGTATGATAACCCATGTTCTTATTGAATGAATCTGTGGTTGGCTTCCAGGCACAGCCAAATCTGGACTTGAACACATCTGCTCGGGTACTGAAAAGACTATGCATTCCTAACGTGATGATGGAGTCAGTGCCAAACAGGCCGCTGGACTATTACACATGTGCCTTTCGAAAGTCAAAGATGAACAGGTGAGTTAACCATGGTAAATAATAGGATCTGTTACCATTGTGTCACAGTATATAAAAAATGCATTTGGATGAATGAATCTCTTCTACAGGTTCCTCGGCTGTGACAACCATGAAACCTACTTCACTAATACACAGAGACACCGTATTGTGAGTAACAGGAATTCCCCTACTGTACTTGTACTCAGTGAAATTATTCTCTCATAGAGTGAGAGTTTGTGTATTATTTCAGGTGTATGAGATTCTTGCACGGACGGTGTATGGCAAAAGGAAGAGGGCTGAGGTTGGTGTGGACAGACTGGTAAATGAAGGCGTGTACACAGCCGCTTTCCCCCTGCACGAGGTCAGATATTATTTATCCGCTCTTTAATCTGATGTAAAATGTGTGCTGTTTTCCCTATGTAACCATCATATGTGTTTTTTATTCACAGGGCCCCTTTCAGCTTCCGAGGAATGAGATTCGTCCTGACGAGTTGAACCAGAGGCAGATTCTTTACCACTACTGGGCCCGCTGGTGCAAATGGTACAAGTACCAACCACTGGACCACATCAGGGAGTACTTTGGAGAAAAGATTGCATTCTACTTTGCCTGGCTGGGTAAATATAAATTCCTTTTATTGTTCCTGTCAAACATATTCAACCCTCTACTTTTTCATGTGAATATAAGATTTTTGAACAACAGACATAATCCAAGGTCCATGTACTAGCTGTTTTCATGAGCTTTCAACTCTATCTCATAGTCTATATTATATTATATGTATGTGACATATTGTATAACACAGTAGTCCAGGATATAGTCTGCTTTATTTATCTGGTAAAAAATCCTCCATAGTACATTCCACATTTCAGCGGGAGTCGGTAATTGGCATGGGAAATAAAATCTATTATGTCTGAACAAAGAGAAGAGTGTGGCCTACACAACATCAAACTTCATCAACAGATAATGAAAGGAAAAACTTGAGACAATAAAACATCATCTTCAGCATGAGACACAGATCTTCGCCAGGACATTCCAGCATTAAACACCAGTGCAGCAGTGTAATTGCACATTCCCCACTGCATCAGCCGAGAGCTGCAGCCCTAATGGAGCTTTATGTCTCTGCAGGTTTCTACACAGCCTGGCTGCTGCCGGCTGCAGTGGTTGGAACCCTTGTCTTTGTGTCTGGAGTCATGTCCATGGGTACCAACACACCAGCGTGAGTACATACACTACATAGTAGATACATGTGTAAGATAAGATAAGTCTTTATTGATCCCCAGAGGGGAACTCAGGTGTTGCAGCAGCACAGGGACAAAAATAAGTTCAGATAAAAAAAATATTTAATAATTCAAATAAGAATAGAAACTATACAAGAGCAATTAAACTCAAAACTGCAAGGTGTGCTGCACACATACAGAACTCATGACCAGTGATGTACACTAATTGTGAGGTACTGTCTCAAGTGCATCATTTAGCCCAAACTAAATGATTAACTCCCCGAGTTTTAGAGTAATTATGTAATGATTGCTACACTATTGAATCAGTACTGTGATGATTCTGCCTAACTGAATGAGCATTCTGATGCTTCAGAATATACATTAAAGTGAGACTATGTGCATTTTGAAAATTAAATTTTTATATAATTATTTTTACAGACTGAGGCCTGATTCAATATAGTCAGAGGTTCTGCTGCCATAACCTTACCTGGTCTGGTGTGACCAGTAGCTTAAGGAGGCTAATGTTAGCGAACCTAAGATACATATTCTGCTGTGTCGGTTTGTTGTCTCTGTGCCCCTTCAATAGTTGTGTTTTTCCGTTATTTTTTATCACGCCACAGATGAACATTTCAGTGGTTGTATCACAAAAGTAAAAGCGATAACAGATTGTATCTCACCAAGTGTTTGTTTGTGATCTCATTCCAGTCGTCTTTAAAGAGAATCCTGGGAAAATTCAATGTGCCATTAATGTGTCATCCTTTAGTTGTCACTTGTTGTTAAAAAAAAAAACAGTTTGTGATTTTAAAGTAATTTAAATGATGGAATTATTCTTGCCGAACAACAACTGGACACCGTGACTTCCTGAAGTCCTGTCGCCACAGTGAGGTTGCCAGTTTTCATACCATCATACCAGAGACCTATACTAAAACATGTGCTTACTGACCATATCTGGCATCCGGCAGCGTAGCCATAGTCCAGCTCTGTACTTAACGCACACACAAGATTAGTATTGATCCAGTCTTTGCTCCTTTATGAGATACAGGAATTTCCCAGAAATTCTAACTCCATGTACACACTTCCTCCCAAATTATGCTAAGCAAGCACACTTTGAGATACAAATATAGCCAACCATCAAAGCACAGTCTATTCTGCATAAAAACAAACTCTGCATTCAAACAATCCACATGGGGTATGTCTGTGCCCCATTATCATACATAATTTATCAACACTGTGGGCTCTGTTCTACCTACACAGCACTGTGTAATCATTTTTTATTCAAAGTAAGTGTACCTTAAAGTGTTTGCACCCTAATATTGTCTGTTTACCGTTCTGTTTCTGTTGCATCCTGTTTGTTTCAGTGACAGAAAATTCATCTTGCTATAAAATAAGAAGGGAGGTTAGAGAGAATGCAAAATGAGTATATGTCTCAATAAAGGACACAACCAAATGTATCAGATTCATGAGGTTCATTAGTTCACACTGTAGATTAAGGCCATTGATTGGTGGAGAACGGATGGAGAGCAGTCTGAGGCAGCAATAAACTGCAGCCATCTCATGTGATAATGGACAATTAGTGCAGAATAATCTCCCCATTATATAAATAAGGAAGATAGACATGTCTCAGTGAGTCCAGACTTCATTTGTGCAGTAGATCCCATGTGTGTGTTTTTTAGTAACTCACTGAATAACTGTGGTAAGTAAAAGTGCTGAAGCTCTACTCCCTTGCGGCAAGCCTGGAGACTGATTTCAACACCTTTAATCTGTTCTATTTTCTCACTCAATCAATATACCCTGGGTCTGCGCGAATACAAAAATCCATTACAGTTAATTCACACAGTCCCTTCACTCTTAATAACTATCATGAACAGCATGTGATTAAAAGGCCAAATATCTGTTTCTGTCAAATCTGCTTAGCCACCTGGTACAACAAAATCTGAAAAGTGGTCCTGGTTTGAAAGCTTTGAAACATGATTTCTCAGTTGCAACTAATCTGTGTCTGTGTGTCTGTCAACAGTAAGGAAATCTGTGACAGCGGAGCTAGTTATCTCATGTGTCCTCTCTGTAACACATGCAAGGCCTGGAACATGTCTGAGATCTGCACCATGGCCAAGGTAACAATCTGTCAGATCATTTCACTGGTAAACAACCCACGTCATAATCATAATGCAAACAGTCTAAAGGTTGCCATTTGTTCCTATAAGTATGTACTGTACCTTATTGCATTGCAGTTGGGCTACTTATTTGACCACCCAGGTACGGTCCTCTTCAGTGTGTTCATGTCCTTCTGGGCCGTAACCTTCCTGGAGTACTGGAAGAGAAAGATGGCCACCCTGGCCCATCACTGGGACTGCATGGACTTCCATGAAGAAGAGGTTTCACCTCCCTTTCTTGCTCTTTCAGTTTGATTATAACCATTCTGGTCCTGTATAGTTTACAGTTCTTAGGTATGTCATGATCTGCGTCTCTTCCTTTTTTTATTTTATTTACAACGTTCACAGAGTTCTAATGCACAGGACTTTATATAACGTTAACACAATGCCAAACTTTATATAAGCTAATCACTAACAGCACATTAGCTAAAAAACGTTTATCCTTTTCACCATTTTTTACACAGACATGACAATGTTACCTTGTCATCATGAACAAACAGGAGTAAACAAACTTGTAAAACATTTTTGCTGGTATATAAAGAAAGTCATGAACCTCCCCTCTGGGGAACATACTCTCTACATAGACCTTGTAGACCTGGGGTCACTAGACCAGAAGTCTGCGCAGGTCCGTTCTCAGCAAACCAGATTGTGTGCATTGATGCTGATATCATCACTTTGTTCCCTCAGGAGCGTCCTCGGCCAGAGTTTGCAGCCATGGCCCCGACTATGGAACCAAACCCAGTGACTGGGGTCAAAGAGCCCTACTTTCCAGAGAAGACCAGGTTGTCCCGCATGTTCACTGGCTCCATGGTCATCATCATGATGGTGAGGCACTGTTACCAGTAAAGACTGGTGTTGTGCTGTGAATTTAGCATTATTGTAAATGAAGTATTTGATGTGACAGAACATTCTTTCCTTGTTTTCATTTTAACTATACATTTTTATTGTAGTAAATATTTCGGTTTGCTGGTATCAGCCATTGTTTATGAGTCTGGCATTGTCAGTGTCACAACTTAGAATCAGATGAATACAAATCAGTTAGTTTGATTATTGTGATTACTTAATTTACTTGTCTATAGAAAGCATCATGATTTGATTCTAATGAAACATCCTAATCAGATCCCATGCAAGTTTCTACAAACTCTTATTCTTCCAGTCATTCTCATTATACTTGGTTTCAGTGAAGAGTCTTTGTGTCTTCTGAGGTTTAACTTTGGTGATCCTGGAGAGAAAGAGAGGTGGGGTTTATACCTGTGTACTATTCCACTCAATCCTGCAGTGGTAACTGAACCCTTTTCTAAAAATGAATCCAGGTCATGTGCCCACAGGGCTAGATATGATCTGATGATTTTGGCTATACACTGTACACTCACTGTACACACAGTCTCAGGATTAACTTGCTCTTGAGCAGGGATCTGAGGATCAGTTTTCACCCAACCGTCTCCTGACAATACTGATGGAGGTGAAATATTGAAAATGCTACCATGGCACCAACACACACAGTCTGTAAAGGCAAACTGCACAGAACAGTATCAATTATCACCTACGCAGTCAAGTAGTTTTTGTTTTTACTGTCGAAAAACAGATAACTCGGAGTGGTGTAGATAATAATGGCTGCACTCCATTTGGCCGTGATGGTGCACCATATCAGATGTAGCTGTGAGGGTTTGGAAACCTGCATAAATGGAGTACACCTCCGAAACCTCATGAAGAAATACTTCACTGAGATATTGTAGTTCCAAAGTTTCCTAGAAAAAATCCCCAACTGTAATGTTTTTGACCCAATATCCCTCTGTCTTCCCTCTCAGCTGTGCGTGGTGATGATCTTCCTGGTGACGGTGGTCATGTGCCGCGGTATCATCAGCGTGATGATGTTTCACACTGGGAGCCCTGTCCTACGTACAGAGGTATATCACAGCTACATTGGGCATGGATTTAATTAGTTCTATTTTGAGTATTTTGTTCTTGTAATCGGTGTGTGCTTGTTTTACACTCATACTGTACGTGTGTGTGAGTCCTCAGGCAGGGACCATAGCCAACATCTCAGGCAGTATTGTGAACCTGGGCCTTATCCTGTTAATGGGCCGTGTCTACACTGCATTAGCTGAGCAGCTCACTAAATGGGGTAAGAATCAATACTGCTCTCAAACATGTCAAACCTCAATACTCTATATTGATATCAGCCTCTCACTGGAGTTCCACTAACTAAAAGCCGAGACTCCTCATAGAGCAGACAAAGTCTTGAATTTGATCCCAGCATCTTCGATAAAAATAGTCTTTCGGTGTGGGCAACAAAAAGACATTTCAGAGTAGGAGAGTGCATGTATCACTGCAACACACACACTCTTGTTGTGTTTTTGACATGCACATTCTTTCAATCAATGTATAACAGTAGCTGCAACATCTGGCAGCCTGATGGTGGATAATTGACACACAAATAATGACATAATAAACATACTACAAGGAGTTTTAACTGTTTTCCAAACGGTGTCAACTTAGTATTGCCTCGATATAGATACACATAAACAAACAAAGTGAGAAAACTGGCTATTTCGATGCAGTTATGCTTCCTCCATAGACTGTATATTGTAGTCTCAGTGATGTCACCACAGGTTTCTGAAGAGCCGTTGTGAAGCTCAGCTTTTGTCCACATGGACCGCCAGAATCAGCAAAAAAATTTAAGTTTCTTGACGGGGTTCAGTCACCATTTAGACTTAATTAGCTAGTTTTAACTATCCAGTAAATCAACATGCATTACCTAACTTCCTGCATTACTTCAAAAGATGGTGATGATTTTTTATGTTTTACCAGGTTCTATTACTTTAGCTAGACTTTAGGTAGATAGCTTAAAGCTTTACACAACAAGAGCCAACAAGAAAATTATGCTGTCATGTTAATATGCTCAGTGTTTACCAGCATATTAACATGCTAACACATCCTGACATGCAAATTAGCACTAAAAACAAAAACATGATGGAAATGTCATTAGTTTTAGTATAATAGTATATAAGTAAATTTAAAAATGAAATTGTGACTTGATAATGGCACTACATGAAAGTTCAGAGGATCACCAAAGTTATTACAATTCATCCTGTGAGGAACATGGATGTGTGTATCATATTTTAGGACAATCAGTGACTGTCTGAAACAGTTCACAGTGTTCAGAGTTGTTGTGTTCATTTCACTCCATTTGCTACTTTAAAGGATAATTCTTGTTTATTATTTATTATTTGGCCATTGTTTCAATCAGTTACGATACAAATATATTATATATATTAAGTTATTGCTAAGATCTCTGAACATGGCAACATGTGCAGTCAGATGATCAGATCAGGTTTTAGGAAACTCCCTGTTGGCCAAACTTGTGTGGAAGAGAAAACAAAGGCGAACAGTGAAATTATAACAGAGGGTTTACTGTCTCTAACACTGTGTGTCTGTGTTTCTCTGTTGCAGAGATGCACAGAACACAAACCCAGTATGACAATGCCTTCATCTTCAAGGTGTTCATCTTCCAGTTTGTCAACTTCTACTCGTCCCCCTTCTATGTGGCTTTCTTTAAAGGAAGGTGAGACATGAGTCACACAGAAACAGTTGAGATATGAAGAAGATTTTGTGCCAAATAACATTTTAACTGTGTCTTCATTCTCTGTGTATGCAGGTTTGTGGGTTACCCCACCAACTATGGGACCTTGTTTGGGATGAGAAATGAAGACGTGAGTCTGTAATTTACCAATAAGTGTCAAAGGGAGAAAATATTTCAAATCCCTTCTATTATGTATTGTGTTTTTTATCCAAACATGCTCCACTGTGTGTTTCTGTGTGTCTTCACACTCTATTGCAGTGTGGCCCCGGGGGCTGCCTCATTGAGCTGGCTGAGCAACTCTTCATCATCATGGTGGGAAAGCAACTCATCAACAACATTCAGGAGTTCATTATCCCGTATGTTTCAAGATTGATATGAGTTTTCTGAGACTCAGACATCTGTTATTATACTGAACTTCTTGTTGTTCTCCTTCTTGTTCTCTCTCCAACATGATCATGTTTTCCTACTTGTATTTAAAAGCTTTAAGGGGATGAGACTTTTTTCAAACCTACCTCATGGAGCTTATGAGCCACTTTGAGAGGAGGGTTTCCCATTTAGTAAATTTAAATTGTAAAAATAATCAGGCTATCATCAACATGATTACATAAATAGCTTTCAAAACCCAGATTCAGAATTGTCAGAATTAGATAGAGCAGAACAAATTAGAATCGGCATGTGATATTTATAGTCTGAAGACTACATATAACCCCTAAGTTATATATAGCTTTTTTCCCCCTGCATCTTATTGTCATTATTTTTTTAAGTGTTGCTTCAGACTTCTGCATCCTAATTGCAGCTCTGTCTGTTTGGTGCAGTAAAGCTTATTGCTGTACCTCTGCAGCACTGGCACGTGTGTGTGTGTGTGTGTGTGTGTGTGTGTGTGTGTGTGTGTGTGTGTGTGTGTGTGTGTGTGTCCAGACACACAGCTGACCAGACAACAGGGCAGAGTCAGGGTTGCAGAGGGCTTTGGAGTTTCTGACCACAGGTGGCACTGTAATGCAGCGTTCCCTTCCTTTTAGAATTACCTTCAGTTTGAAGGGGTCTTCATAGAAGTGACCTATGAGGGTCAGTGGCAAAGGTACTCACTTATGAAATGGAACCCAACAAATCATCAGAAACTGACAGCAGAATGGCAACTGCATGGGAAAATGCTTTCAACTTCATTCTTGATCTACATGCAAGGTTGTTAGGCAAGTGACATTTTGTTGTGGGACAGGATTTATTTCACATAAACATAGTGAGGTCTCATGTGTAGCTTCTGTTAGTTTGAATTAAGTGATTTATTGTAGCTGAGTGTGTAAGTCAGCAGCCAGATTTGTTCGAATCCTTTAAAGGACTGGCACGTCAAAGGTTTATCCTATTGATGCACCACAGGCCACTCTGACAGTGGCAGGGTGTCCTTCGTGTGGCGGCATCCTCCTTTTTGGAATTGCACACCTGTCCTAGTTGTCCTTTTTTGTCCAGCACCTGATCTGTGTCATAGCAGGCACTTCACCCTTAACAGCGGATGGAAGACACCTGCTTTGACCAACTGTTACAGCTCTGAGTGAGAGTCAACCTGGAGGACTGGGTGCGGTTTCCCTCATTTATGGATGGTGGAGGCAGAACCTTGTGACACTGTCTTAATATAAATAGAAGATTGCGTGTGTGTTGTTTGTGATTGATCAAAGTGGACATATGGTAGGCCTACTGATTTGTTTGACATGCACATGAGAGTTTGGAGGCAGATATGTGTTGCAACAGAGCAAGAATGAGCAACGGCTGTAAGATACCAGTTGCAGCCGCAATAGAACCATCTGCAACTGCTTTTGAAGGTTTGAGCCTAGGGGACTTTTATTCAGCCCCAAATGAATCCAGCTTGGTAGAAATGAAAAACCTGTGCTCGTGGCAAATCCTCAACACTGAAATTGAACTAACTCAGTTATCCATGTAACATAATACCTATGAATTAAAGTTTGAACTAAGAGTAAAGACACAAAGTTATGAAAACTATGTAAACAAGAATTACACACTCTGTTTTGTAGATGAAGATGAAAAAACACTATTTTCAGAATTATTGCCATGTTTATTTCACATTTTTAAGTCTCTGTCTCTCTGCTCTGACAGTAAAGTGAAGGCCTGGCGCCAGAAGAGGACCTTGGCCAAGGTGCTGGGGGGTAAGGCATCCCATGAGCCTCAGCGCTGGGAAGAAGACTACCAGCTAGTGGAGTGTGAAGGCCTGTTTGAAGAGTACTTGGAGATGGGCAAGTATCCTCTACTGTATCTAAAGGACATATCACTGTATACAGTCACATACACTATGATGAATATATGTTTAAAAAAAGAAGTTTAAATTGTCTGCCGTGTTTCATTGCGTAAATTGAAAATGACTCATTGTGCTGCAGTGCTCCAGTTTGGGTTCATCACCATCTTCGTGGCAGCGTTCCCCCTTGCTCCGCTCTTCGCTCTCCTCAACAACTGGGTAGAAATCCGTCTGGACGCCCACAAGTTTGCGGGCGAGTACCGCCGGCCGGTTGCCGAGCGCGCTCAGAACATCGGGGTCTGGTTTAACATACTTGAGGCCCTGTCGCACCTGTCGGTCATCGCCAACGTGAGTGGTTTGAACACGTATTCCACACCGAAGACTAATCTCTTTTTTCTGCAACATGTTCTTACATCGTTCTTCTCTTGCCTCCTGCAGGCTTTCCTAATAGCCTTCACATCAGATTTTTTACCTCGCCTGCTCTACCAATACAAGTTCGATAACAATCTCAATGGATACATCAACTCCACCTTGGCTTACGCCCCACTTAACTACACTGAGTACCCCATGTGCAGGTACGCTCTATGCTGATTGTCAGAATGCATGTCATCTAAGAGTAGGAAAAAACACTCAGGTTCAGATATGTTTCATTTTATGTCACTTGGGCAAAATCCTTCCTCAAAATGGTATCAGTTTTAATTTAGGATCACAGATTTGATCCAGGGTAGTATTACTAATGTTTAATCCCTTGTTTCAGTTTGTTCTCATGTCCCACTGCCACAGTATGTTCTGCAGTAACTCTGTGTTTTATCTATGTATTTATTTTAGATATAAAGCATACAGAGACAACAATGGAAACTACTCACTGTTCTACTGGGAGCTTCTTGCCGTCAGACTCGGTTTTATCATTGCCTTCGAGGTATGAGTGCTTCGTCTTGCTAACATGTTGCCCACATTTGATTCATTTCTATCTTTTACCCACATCTCTCTGTGCCTCTGTTACTAGATGCATACCTGAGCTGCTGCTCATTTAGCCTTCTCTTAGTGTATGTTTTAGTTTTTCCATCATAAGCTTGCCCATATTAGCACTTCATGTTGTATGTTATTTCCTCACTTCTTCTTTCTTTGCTTTCTTCTCCACCATCCCTTTACCTCTCTCCCCATTTACCCCAATAACCATCTCTCTTTCAAAGTTTATATTTATTCAGTTGCATCCTTTTCTGCCACTCCCTCCATTTATCCACCACTCCAATTTGTTCAACAAGTTCTCCTTCTGCTCCTCATTTTTTTACCTTTCTGGCATTCAGAGTGCAACAGTAGAGTGAACTTCAGGTCATAAATCTCTCAAAAGTCCACACAAACACAGTCAAGGGAAGTGTACATTGTATTTTCTTTACTGCCAACAAATCTTAGAAAAAGACAAATAACTGTATTTTTAAACCCCCTAAGCCCATTCCTCCTAACAAACACACAATTCTTTGAAAACAGGTGGTCACTGTAGTTTTTAGGCAATTGTCTATTTATGGCAGCAGGACGCTGTGTGTGTGTGTGTGTGTGTGTGTGTGTGTGTGTGTGTGTGTGTGTGTGTGTGTGTGTGTGTGTGTGTGTGTGTGTGTGTGTGTGTGTAGGATTGACAGTGGTGGTTATCGTACTGAGGAAGTCTTATGTCATGCAGGGTTAGCAACTGATGGATCTGTTTTTAATAGTTTGTGGACAATATTGGAGCTCTATAGCACAGAGGGAAAAGATATATCTGGCTCTGGATACACAGACAAAACATGCTATTAGGATCAGTTATTTTTTTTTGGTCTTTTCATGGGACTTTGCAAATGTGTTGTGATCTCTGATCAAATGTGTCAGATTAAAGTAAAGAGCAATCACTAAGGAAACAAATGGAAGTAATATTTTGATGACATTACAGCGTTTGTATGATTAGCCTTTAGTCATTTAGCTGTGAATTCTGAAATAAAAATGGGAATTTTCGAGGTCTATTTCAGACAGTGAGTGTTTGAAATTAATGAAATCTCTCAGGGAATATGGAAATATCATAAAAAGAGGTGGAATAGATATGGGAAATGGAACTAGACATGTTTGACAAAAAAAAGCTTTACTCAAAGTTCACTTGCAAAATTTTTGCCAGAGTTTTTGCCATGGAGATAATTCAACTGAGCAAAGTCAATTTGCAGATAAAGGCTAGAAGTGGCTGAAAACTCCAGAAAAGAAAGTGGACTCTTTTGCTTTCCACATCTTTATATGTGATATCCAGCTAGTTGTGCACTTAAACTTCAACAGATTCTGTCACGGGAGAGGCAGTTTTCTCCAATCTGACAAGGAGCTTAAATGTCTTCCCTCCTCCAGCATGCAGTGTTCTTCGTGCTGAGAGCTATCGACTGGATCGTACCCGATGTCCCCGAATCCTTGGAGCTGAAGATTAAGAGGGAGCGCTACCTGGCCAAGCAGGCTCTGGCCGAAAACCAGGAGGCTCTTTTGGTGAGTCGAGGCCGAGGGGCCACCCCCGCCACCCCCGGCACCTCCAGCCCAGGTCAGTAGAACATGGGACACACACTCAATGCTGTGCAACACACACTCATTCATAACACTGGAAATTCGAATTCTGTAATTGAATATTTATGGAAAGAGTAAGTTCAGGCTCCTCAAATGTTTTAATGTCAGGGAATAATGAAGGCAAACTCCTCTATCTTTTGTATTTGAAGGAGCCAGTTCACTCAAATTGCACTAGTTTTCTCATTTTAGAAACTCAGATGTTTAGATTTAAGTGTATCTCTCCAGAAACAATGTCCTTGTTTCTTGGGGGGACCAGACCTCTTCTATTTATAGCTATTATATTAACTAGCATATCGGCTTTATTTTGTCTGTTCTAAATATCAGTCATATTGTAAATGTTTGATGTTGTTGTCACTGTAGTTCCACCCAGGTGAACACTGAAACAATGTACCAGCAGGGTTCACAGGTTACATACAACGTTAAACCTGTCACTGAAACTGTTGCCTCTCATAAATAAATTCCAGATTTTAAAGGCTTTTAAAAGCTCACCCACCCATGCACACGCCTCCACAGAGCATTTGCAAAGCACCTGCGGCTCGATGAGCTGTTATAAACTCGCTACACTGCACGCAACATGATCATTAAAGGTAATCTGTGTGGGATCGGAGCCAAATATGTCGGTGTCAAATGAATTTGATTACATCCATAGACCTCGTGGGTGGATGTTGGCATAGTTGATCATTTCCTCTATCAACACTGCTATTGATGTCTTAACTTAATAAATAATTAATAAAATAGAGACCACCTGAAGATCACAGCCTGTACTTTTACATTTTACAGTCCCATAGAGCATGTTTTCATCCTTGTCTTGTGTGTGTGTGTGTGTGTGTGTGTGTGTGTGTGTGTGTGTGTGTGTGTGTGTCCCTGGGCTCTGACTCTGCTGTTGTCATATGTCTCATGTAGTGAATGTAGCTGAATGAGGGCAGGTAAGTACTACACAAGAAGTAAGTACATGGCATTCTCAAGAAGGACGTTATTATTTCAGTAATTGTAGCATAACTGATCAAAATAAAATGAACTCACCAGATCAGTTCATATATGTGGAAAAATAAGTACACAGCAAAATATCTGTAAAAGACATGCTAGGTGTATTTTTTAACATTGGACTGAGCCAGGCTAGCTGTTTTCCCTCCACCCAGGCTTTACGTTAAGTAGGCTAACCCCATCCAAACTCCATACTAACACATGGACATGAGATTTTATAGTCTCCTTGTTCTAAAACTTCTAGAGATTAAAACAACACGTGTTAATGCCATTGTCACTTTTATAACCATTTTGTTGCCATAAGAATGTAGTACAGTAGCAGCCAGCTATAATTCAGTGGCATGTTGCAACAAAGATTGTCTGTGTCAGCTTTTCCCCTCTCCTTATCTCTTATATTCAGTCTGACAGAACTAATTCTCTCCTCTGTCTCTCTGCTTCTTCTCCATTCCTTCCGTGTCCAAACCCAACTGCACTGCCTTCCCTGAAGCAAGCGACGCGTCCTTTGGAAACATGAGTTAGGTGTCGAGCGGGGAAAATGAGTGGTTTGATGGGAGAACAGGATGAATATTGGAGGAATAAAAGACACTCCTTCACATCTGGGATAACATGAGTGAACTTTTCCCCTTCAGTATAAAACTGTCTTTGCACTGGGATTTTGTTTTCATTTTACTTATGTGCATACTGCTGCACAGACAATATAATAATCAGGTGTTTAATAGAGGCTAAACTCACCCAAACTTTACTCACCTTTTCATCTGGAAAGCACAGTTGCTCAACATTTCCAGGCAGACACAATGATAGTCTATAACTTACATTAGTAAACGACCTATTCAGTGACAAACGACATGTTCGAAAATGTGTCCCTGATCTGAAAAGGATCTGTGACTTTCTTATCCAAAGTGGGTACTGACCCTACAGCAACTGGGCCTAAGGCAATAGAACAAAAGTGTCATGAAAAATGTGATTAAATTAGTTTGATGATGCACTGCCCCCAATTTACTTTAAAGCTGCAGTAGGTAACTTTTAAAAAAATAACTTTTTGTAATATTTGCTGAAACTGTCACTATATTCCCGACAGTCGTACATTAGACAGATCATCTGTGGAAATCAGTGCTCCTAACAGCATTTGCAAGAATATAATTCGGTCAGTCATTCAGCAACCAACTTCGGTATTTGACAACCTTACCTGCTGCAGCTTTAAGCCTGCTTACAGTTTTTCCTCTTTTACATTACCAAGTTCCAAAACCAGTTAGAAAAAAATACAAAACTTCAAAATCAAAACTTCTGTTGCCTTGTTTTGCCAGTCTGATGTTTCTACTTTGGACCAAGTGCAGTTATTTATTTCTTGTCTTGGCAGAAAAGTAAAAGTGGTACATAAATATATATCAGAATTAATAGTGAAATGCATTGGGGATGGCTCGTTTGGAGGAAAACTCAGTAGCCAGAATGCAACATTCAAAGGAAAAGGCACAATATCTACCATAATGAAGCACATCCATACCAGTAAACAGCTGCATTTCAACTGACTAACTAAAGGTGCAGCATGGATTGTTAATGCTGTCAGACTGTTTTGGGGTTCTGTAGATGCTGTTCGAGCTGCACAGAAAACCTGACACCTACAGGAGTGTGTGTCAGACCTAACAGGGTGTCTAGAAAGTGTGACCAAATAATATTAAATTGATGTGACCAAATAGTATTAAACTGATGTTAAATGTTTTAATGACATTAAAGAGTAACTTAATCCCCCCTGAAAATAATGGTTGTTGCTAACCTCCAGTGGTTTAGGTTCTCACCTTGATGCAGTCACTGTTGGATGTGGTTGTAGTAGAGCACACTTCTGAACACACATAACCACACCCATCAGTGAGGCTGGTTGTGGTCAGAGGTTGAAATTTCAACCAGAGAGGGCAGCGAAACACTGCTGGGAAGTTACTCTTTAAAGGGGCAGTCTGCTGATACAGTGTTGCACTTCCATAAAGTTTGGGGCAGTACAGTGTGGGTCAAACTTAAAAACAAAAACAGCTGGATCATATATTTCCTGTTATGGAACTTCTTTCATAGAGTTGCAAACTGGGAGGAGTTATTTTAGAGGCTTCCAGGAGGAAAAAAGTCTGCTTCTTCTGCATAGAAACTCTCCTCTTTGTATCATCAGTACAATATTAACTGTGCTAGAAAATATCAGGATCTTTAAGTCACTTACCCTTAAAATTCTCAATGTGTGCTGCTAACAATGAGCAGAAGTGGAAGATTATGTCATAAAAAAAAAACTGACACAATCTGGAGCTTAAATGAATTTCCTCTGGGTCACTTTTGGCTAAATTTGGCCTTTATTTAGAGCCATCCGCTACGTTGAAATAATTCAGACTGATGGCCATAACATAAACCTACAGTATCCTGACATTGTCCAGGACATTCTTGTGCTTCTATGTTGCGGAGCATTGAGGATATTATTAAAACAAATACTTGAATGGGAATTTACAGTTCCCATACGACTCCTCATACTTAACTTGATTAGACTTTCCCTGGCTGGTTAATACCTTGATACAGTCTGTAACGCAAGCTTTCTATCAAACATTTGTGGTCTTTAAACCCAAGCCAAGGTAACCCTGATGTGGGTTATTTTCTCAGACTTGGGTAAACTGTTGTTTCTGTGTTAAATCAGTGGACTGCCCCTCCAGTTTGAGTTGACATTGTGTGTTTTCTTTATGATGGCCTCCTGAGGTCAAAGTGCACCCATCTTTTGCCACTAGCTGATACTGTAAGAAGAACAGTCTTTTTTGTGGTTTATTTTTAAAAGGCTTTGATCGTGAGCTGTTATTATTACACAGATTGTCCGTTGCCTTCACTATGATGAAGAACAACTGCAAATATTTACACCCTTGTCTGCAATGTATACGTACATGCACATATACTGTACATGTTTACTGAGCATGTCCGTCTTTTCTACTTGAGGTTTGTGTGGAGGAGTTCTGAGAGTGGCTACTGTACGATGGAGTGAAATAGTACCTCCATATTGTAGGACATATTTTGTGTGTGAACTGTTTTGCATTTAAGACCTTTTAGAACGAAATAAATCTAGTTTGATGAATGCAAATGCCTCTTCAGCGTGGAATTCTGAAATGCTGATGTGCCAGCTGGGAGATACTTTTCTGTACTGTGCTGTAGGGATAAACTTTAATGTTATCACAGCTTTCCATCTACCTTCTCCACTTTCTTCTCCTCCTGCCGCCTCAGAGGATGTAACCTCCTCCCAGCAGCAGAGACCTGCAGACAGATAAAGAGGACGCTGATTTATTAGGAGTCAGAAACAGACAGGTGTTCACTGATGATTTCTCTCTTCCTCTCCCTCCTCCCATCACAAACTGCACTGCGGGCTTTGGCCTTGAGGCAACTCCTGACTTTTATTTTATCCCCCCCTCCTCTTCCTCCTTTCTTCACCCTTTTCTTCAACCTCTCCTCCCTCTGTCTATCTTTTTTCATCTTTGTCATCCTTGTGTTTTTTTAGTACATGCATTTACACTCTCTTTCTCCCTCCCTTTTCCTCTCTCTTGGCCACATTCATCTTCTGATTGTTATGATTGCTGTGCGTTCCTCTGCCATGGCCTGCAGGAAGAGTGAGTTAGTACATGTCAGCGAGCACAGGTATGCACCGTGGACACCGGCTGGCTCATTCACTGGCTGCTGGAGCGGGGAAGGAGACGCTTGCATGCACGACCTGCAAAACAAAGTCGTAGGGTTACGATGTTGCAAAGTATGATGCAGATATACTGTAGAGCTGGGTGATATGTCTGAAATCATGAAATATGATATTAATAAGAATATGTTTGCAATATTGATATACTGTATATCACAAATATGTAGAATACGTGCATAATTACATATAATAATCTGATGTTCAGTGCAATTAATTGTTAGATTTGTATGCATAAATCAGAAAATGCATTGTGTAATATGATCATTTCCACAATATGTTCATAATCAATAATTATGAATAACCCATACCTCTGCTGATCTTATATTGAACAACAAAACAAAGAAATCACATTAAGACAACCTCTTAATGACCACTTAAACCTCATTGATCCTTGGTTGGTCAGTCGTTACAAACTCTTGTTGGGCAGCAAAATATTGTTCAAACCCACAGAACTTTATTTAAAATTTTAGCAGAGGTTGTAAAGTTTCCAAACACTATAAAAGCTGCAAAAGACATATTATAGTAGTAAATGTCATTTCAAAGATTTTAACAAGATAGTATCAGATACAAATTAGTGTTTAAAGAAGAGCTCTTTATATACATGTTAAAACATAACTGGAGGGGCTCTTTAAGCAAAATAAGGTCAAATACACAGCACTGTTATATCACTTTATAAAGCTGGCGGCACTCTTGGTAAACAGTCACCTATTTAGAACTTTATGTGCTACGTCTGGAAATGAAGCCAAAGCAGGCGGTTTGTCTAGTCTAATTTTATTTATATAGCCTAAATTCACAAATCAAAATATGCCTCATGGGGCTTTACAATCCATCCCTGTCCTAAGACCCCAATTTGGGTAAGGAAAAAAATTTAAGAAACTTCAGGAAGAGCCACAGAGGAGGGATCCCTCTCCCAGGACAGACAGACATGCAATAGATGTTGAGTGTACAGAGTAAACCAACAAAATCACAATAAATACACATTTTGATGACACAAAAAGAAGATTATAATGTGGATGCAGGAGGACGTTGCAGGCCAGAAAACCAAGACAAATAATAACAAATGAGGCTAAAATGCCTACTCGTGCTGAGAGAAACTGCAGAGTCAGATGATAATTCTTATAACATTGTTAACATAACATGTTGATTAGTGCAGTTTTAAAGCTACTGAGGAATGTTCAGGGTTAAAACAACTTTGTCCTATGTTATTAATTTGATTAATTTGAACACTTTAAAATATTTTTGTCTCAGGCATACAAAAGGAACATCACAAACAGCTCTCAAGTCTTTAGCGACCTGTTTTCCCCCTGTAACAAAAATGGGGACAATTACACGTCCACTGCTGAGTAAACTAGTGTTCCGTGGTAACCCGCCCCACTACCCCACCCCTACCCCCACCGCCACCAACATTTTTTTCATGTTTGATTAGTGTAAATAGTTGATACAGCAGCAAGCTGAGAGCACTGCAAGAGATGAAAGAGTTCAAGCATGCTGCAGCAGCTTCTTTCTGTCACCAACTCACAGTTTGATGTTTAGTGAAAGCTGCATACGGATAAACAAACACACACACAGCCGCAGGCATTTCGATCTGCACACATACACTGATGCAAATACAGACATGCACAAAGCAAATGCGTACTTTTGCATGCAAGGATTTGTGCTTGTTTTGAATTTAAATGTAATGTAATGCAAACCTCACATATTCAGTTAACACAGTACACAAGTATGTATTGTTTTTCTAATAAAGTAGACGCCAACACCATCACACAGATACACACGTGCACATTTTTACTTGTGCACACTCCCATCTAGGAGCAACATTTTTCTCTCCATTTCTGTCTGCTGCCTTCCTCTCTCTGTCTCAAAGCAGGTGCTGAAATGAGACACTAAATAACTATTAGTTAGAGGAAGGGCAAGAGAGGGGGAGGAGAAAGAGAGAAAATGAGAGAGCTCTTCCCCAACAGTAGCAGGGAGACAGAGAGAGAGAGAGAGAGAGAGAGAGGGAGGGGAAGGGAATGGAGAGCAGAGGAGCTTAGAGAGAGGATCTGCATTGTAAGTAGCTCTGAGAGTAGCAAGTGGTGGCTGTTTTTCAACCTGTTTTTGTTTTACCGAGGAGGCTGAGAACAAGAAGAAGAAGAACCAGGCAGAAGAGCACAGATTAAAAAAGTCTGAGCTGCGATTTAAAAAAAGGAGAATAAGAAAAAGACGAGGGAGGAGAACGGAGAAAAGAAGCCGGGAGGAACACAAGGCAGCAATGGATAGCAGAGTGGCTCAGCCTGACCCTGGGATGGCCTGGATTCACATACTGCTGCTGGCCACCATCCAGCACACACACTAGGCTGCTAACACCAATGAGGTAAAGTACTGAAAAACAGCAACAATAACTCATTTACATGAACACGGCAGAGAAATACTTTCACGTTCCATGATCTCTTCCTGCTGGGAGTGAAAGTTGAGCTGTGTTAGTTGCAGGCTCTGCTTTGTGTGCACTTTGGAGGAAGTAGTGCTGTGCAGCTTGTCAGGTGCATTGCATTTCTCTCACAGCATATACACTCTGAAAACAATGGAAGATATTGTCTCCATATAGGATTCAGGAAACCACTATGCAATGGACTATCGGGTGGCAAACACAGGACTCTTTTTGCCTGGATATTGTTACATCTCTACTGACAAAACCAGCCAATTCCTTGAATATATGCATGTGCATTGCAGTGAAATACAGATTTAAAATGTGAAATTTGACAGTTTTACCGTTGTTTTCCTGCATCAAAAAAGTTGCAGAGCCCAATATCTGGCACAAGTAGACGCATTAATTCTGCCAGTGAGATTCACTATTCAATTATTCTCTTGGAAGAAGTGGTTGCTTGCATCCATAATGTTTCCAGCAGCTCCCTAGGCAGTGCAGGATGAGCTGAGCCTTGAATGTGATGGTTACAGTGCAGCAATGAGTTGTTGCAGAGCGGGGCAGGTAAGTGCATGTCTCGAGTATGTTGGATGAGGGGTTGTTAAAAACTGTACATGGCTGAAAGTTGGCGCAGCAGCTCACACACTCTACTCTGCTGCTCTCCTTCGTGGGACATTTTAGCATAAGACTCAAAACACCTTCTCTGCCTGAAAGAGCCTGGGGTTGTTGGCCGAGGAGTGTGCATGTTCATTAGTTCATGCATTCATGCAGATAAGTGTGTTTCTCAGTTTCTCAGCAGTGCACAGTGGTTTTAGATTCACCCTGAGTTGTTGACACTACTTCATGAGAGATAAACAACAATTCAAGGCTATGATTTTTAGCTCTGCGGAAGCTGCTACCTTCTTGTTGTGACCCACATGTGAGACAGATTACCACCTTCCAGACTTTTTCTCGACATCTTCAAACTCCCTCAGCCAGGAGATGGGCTGAGGTGACGGATGCCTTTTCTGTCTGCCGTCCCGATGACTAAGTGTATTGTCATGTGAGTTGACTCCTGTTGCTGTGTGTATGGATAGTCTGGAGGTACATATTTTGTCTGGAGTGCAAATAGATAGCTGAGGGTGTTTTCTGGATAATCTGATTTACTACGATATGTCTGACTCAAACGCACCACCTGCACGTTGGGCAGACATGTACCAGCTCAAAGCATAAATCAGGACCTTGAACTGTTTTACTGCACTTTATTACTGGCTGGAGATCCCCTGTGTGATGGCAGACTTCAGATAACAATATTCTTTTGTTTTTTAATAGTCATCACATTGAAAAAAAAAGGAGATTTAGGATGACTGATTTCCTTTAGCTGAGAATCAATTTCTAGCCTCTAAAGAACGCTACTGTACATTTGATTTACCTCTGCATGCCTGATCATATCACACACAGATCTATATCTCAGATACCACAAGGACCTCCCTCTTCCCACTTCCTCCCTCCCCCCCTGTACGTCTGGAGAGCACCTGCCCCATCACCTGCCACTCAGACAGTGGCTGTCTGAGCGTGTGTGTGTGTGTGTGTGTGTGTGTGTGTGTGTGTGTGTGTGTGTGTGTATGTGTGTGTGTGTGTGTGTGTGTGCACCATAGCACACCTTCTACCCCATACCTCTCTCACCTCCCCCTGCTAACCTCACATGCAAATGCTACCTGTGCTCGCATGTTATTTACATTCACATGCACACGCACACACACACAAACTCAGCTGCTAACCTGAAGGTGACTGTCTCTGCTCTGTGTTTTGCACTGACCTGTTTTTCCTAAAAGTAGGTTAAAATCATTAGGCATAATCATTAGGCACCATCGACTGAAAGGAACCTGCCGGTTAAACATCAGTGACACTGATATTTTGTGGAGGCCCATGTCACTTTCCTGGCCTTTTGGCTCGTGGCCTAAATAGCAACAGCCTTAATAGCCCGTAATAGTAGTCCTTGCTCTTGCACGTGTACAGTTGAGTTTCTTTGTTGGTCTCCTGCCTCGGTTTAGTGGTCAATTTCAGAGGAATGAGCTTGCCGAGTCATCCAGGGAATGTGGAAAAGTGTCTCTGTGTGTCAGAGGGTTTCATCTCAGGGTTGGGGTGCCTCTGAAGTTGGACGTGAACTCAAACCTGGACTATGAAACAGACCACCTACTGAGTTAAAACCATGTGCATTCACTATACAATAATATAGTAATGTGATGGCTTTGACTTGTGATTAGGAAAGCTGCTTTTCTAAGACAACCGGAGATCTCCTTAAAGGAACAAACCCTTCACTTTTTAGGCAGCAGTGCTCAGGCTCTGTCATTTATTAGTTAATCTGCGTGTCAGAGAATATTTGGCCCGTACATGAAGGTTAAAACTTGAGCCTGGAGGCGATGTGTGCCAAGCGCTGCCCCGGCTGTGTTGCTGCACACCTGTCTAGCACTCTAGCCCTCAGGTTATTTCACGTTATGACTGGGCCAATATGAAGCGGTGTGTTTCACATTTTTACTCGTACGAGATAATACCTTTCTGGCTCAGAAGGCATTGCTTCTTCTTGAAAATGTTTGTTTTTTGTGCTCCTCTGGGGGAAAAAAACACAAACCAGGTGTTGCTCTTCAGTATAACAGAAGCAACTCTTCTTTTTCTTTTAAGGGCGTTTAGCTGGCTTTTAATTCATGGCTTTAATCCTGTATTCACAGTTTGGTTTTCAATAGTTTACAGCTTTAGCTCTGGATGGTCAGCTTGTTATAAAAGGCGCGTTCCACTTATACCCGATCACATTTCAAAACAACAAGCAGCCCGGTGGATGGCTTGTCCATACCTGTTCAGATAATAAAAGCAAGAAGCAGGGTGGTGGAGGAGGAGGAGGTGGGGTGAGGAGAAACTGCTGGTGCTCAGCTGGGAAAAAAAGTGGAGCAGAGAGCTTGAAAACAGAGATGAAGAAAGTGAACACAGGAGCAGATGAATGCAAGAGATGCATCAGCAATTTGTTGTAAAGTAGGTCAGCCTCTTGAGAGCTCAGTGGCGAAGGATCAGATTGGAATCAAAGTGCTCTGATTGACAGTTTGAGTACAGCAAACCCGGCCGCCTCCTTTTCAATGAATTTAAACCAGAAAAGAAAAAAAAATCTGAAATGAAACTACAGCAGATACATGAATGGCACACCTTCTTTTAGTTATGCTCAGTTGCTATGAAGCTTCTGGCATTGATACGATTGGTCGATCAACAGAAAAGTAATCACCAGTAACTTTAACATAACACTTGGCATTTTTGGTTGTCTTAAACATTTAAAGGATAAGGTTGGTGATATTTAATATTTTCTTATTGCCAACAAAGCAACAAAGCAGTCTGTCTCTCAATACTTACCTACCTTGTCTTTGGCTTTCAGCCCCCCATTGGTTCTTACTGAAGACAGAAATCAGGTCAATATACAGTTTCAAAGACTAAGTCATTTCCTAAAACAGGTTGGCACTGTAGTTTATAGAAAACATTTCTCAAAAAGGATTAAACAGGGCATTTGTTGGGGACTATTTTCAGCTGCAGAGTAATAGTGTATGTGAGATTGACTGAAAATAAAAAGTGAAATAGTGTGGCTCACTGATGTGTTTTTAATATATTTTGGACAACAATGGAGGCTTTGGCTACACAGATGATACTTGTTTGGATCAATTCGTTCTTGGTTTTAGTCTTTTTATGCAATTGATTGACCACAAGAAAACTAACTTTTGTCTTAAAATTTTAAGTTTAAAAGTTGTTTATGAAGCAAAACTCAAACCAGCTTCTCAAATGTGAGAATCTGCTGCTTTACATCTGTTTCCTATAATTGTAAAAAAATATTTTTGGACCATTAGACAAAAGAAGAAATTCGAAGATGTCTCTCTCGGGATGTTGTTTTGGCAATTTTAAAGTATTTTCTGGCATTTTATAGGCAATTATATTATTAGGCCTATATAACAGTTTTTTTAATCCACAGATTATTGGATAATGAAAATAGCCACTAGTTATGGCCCTAAAATGGGGCCCTTTGACACATTACATACTGGTTTATCACATTTACTCCATAATCTGTTATTGAAGAAATCGTTGTTAATGTATGTGATGGTGGGTTTTTGAACAAACCGACCAAGGAAGTAAGCGAACAATGTCTTTTCTCTACAATAGTATTTGATTTAACTTTTCATACGACCATGTACCCTGCCAAAACATCCTCAATCAGCACTCCTTTTCTTAGAGTCTCTGCTCACATACAGATAACCATCGTTTGTCAGAAGGTACTGATTATGAGATTTTCTGGATTTACTGCGTTGGATCCTTGCCCCTCCATCCACTTGCTAGCTTTTCCGACTTATGACAAAGCACCATAATTAGAGGAGGTTATTTCCATAAGTTTGTCAATAGCTCCTTTGTGTCTTCACTATCCTGACTGTATGTCTCCTGTGTGTCAGCTTATGTGACTGCAGTTGTTATAGTGAGAGAGTAAAGCCGGGGGGAAGGGGAGGTTAAAGGTCCAAAAGTCTTGGCGTTTACGTGTGAGATGGTCGCCATTTTTTCAGGCTTTCAAATGAGAGATTACTGTTTGTCAGTGTCTGTTAGCGGGAATCCCGCCGGGTGAGACAAGGTCAGGGAAGGCCTCTCTGCGTCTTGTCGCTTTCAATCAAAAGACAGATCTCAAACACACACACACACACACTCACATTCAGGTGTGCCTTTTGTGTGTCATAGCTTTGTGTGTTTGTAAGCCAGGTTGTCAGTATGCATCTTCGTAGTGTCTCGGAAGGTCGTGGGTAAATTGCCTGAGGCTGTAGAGGAGGATTAAGAGGACCCACACCATGTGTAAACATTTGGGTAACCACCCCCCCAACCCCACCCCACCAACCTCCTCTGTAGCCTCTGGGGTGCTCACCTGTCTCAGTGGGTGGAGGCTAAAAGAAGAACGAGTACCA